AGTTCTTGTAGACATAGGGTTAGGTTGTTTGTTTGGAATGTTTCTAACTTTTTTTAGGTGGGCCTGTATCGCTATGACCTTCCCTCTCAGGACTGCCTTGGCTGTGTCCCATATGTTTTGGGTTGTTGTGAGTTCATTTTCATTTGTTTCCAGAAACCTTTTGATTTCTTCCTTAATATCATTCTTGACTCATTCATTGTTTAATAGCATTCTATTTAATCTCCATGATTTTGAGTGTTTGGGGTTTTTTCCCTTGGGGTTGGTTTCTAGCTTTAGTCCCTTGTGATCCGAGAAAGTGCTTGGTATGATTTCAATTTTTTTGAAATTGTTGAGGCTTGTTTTGTGTCTATCATGTGGTCAATCTTTGAAAATGTTCCATGTACATTTGAAAAGAATATGTATTTAGCTTCTTTGGGATGGAGGGTTCTGTGTACATCAGTAAAGCCCATTTAATCTAGGGTATTGTTCAATGCCACAATATCTTTGCTGATATTTTGTTTGGAAGATCTGTCCATTTTTTATAGTGGGGTGTTAAAATCCCCCACAATAATTGTGTTGCTGTCAATATCTTTCTTCAAGTCCTCTAAGATTTTCTTTATGTATTTGGGTGCTCCTATGTTGGGTGCATATATATTTACAATATTTATGTCTTCTTGGTGGATTCTTCCCTTGAGTATTATGAAATGGCCTTCTGAGTCTCTCTTTATGGTCCTTTTTTGGAAGTCTATTTTGTCAGATATGAGTATTGCTACCCTGACTTTTTTTTTTCCTGTCCATTTGCTTGGAAAACTTGTTTCCAGCCCTTCACTTTTAGTCTGTGCAGGTCTTTTATCCTGAGGTGGGTCTCTTGTAGGCAGCATATGTGTGGTTCATGTTTTCTTATCCAATCAGCTATTCTATGTCTTTTGATTGGAGCATTTAATCCATTTATGTTTAAGGTTATTATTGATAGGTACTTATTCATTGCCTTTTATGTACGTGTGTTCCTCTCTCACTCTCTCTTTTCCTTTCTTTCCTTAAAGCAGTCCCTTTAGCATCTCTTGCAGAGCTGGTTTAGTGGAGGTGTATTCTTTTAGACTTCTTTTGTCAGAGAAGCTTCTTTTTTGGCCTTCTATCTTGATTGAGAGCCTTGCTGGGTAAAGTAGCCTTGGTTGCAGACCTCTGGTTCTCATTACTTGGAATATTTCTTGCCATTCTCTTCTGGCTTGGAGTGTTTCTATTGAGAAGTCAGCTATTAGCCTTATTGGGGCTCCCTTGTATGTTACTTCCTGTTTCTCCCTTGCTGCTTTTAAGATTTTCTCTTTGTCTTGAAATTTTGCCATTTTAATTATAATGTGTCTTGAGGTGGGTCTCTTTGGGTTCCTCTTGATTGGGACTCTCTGTGTCTCCTGGATTTGTGTGACTTTTTCTCTCATCAAATTAGGGAAGTTTTCCATCATTACTTTTTCAAATAGGTTTTCTATCCCTTGGTCTTCTTCTTCTCCTTCTGGTATCCCTATTATACAGACATTATTATTACGTTTCATATTGTCTTGCATTTCTCTTAATCCCTCTTCATTCTTTCTGAGCTTCTTTTCCTTTTCTTGCTCTTTCTGGGTGTTTTCTTGTACTTTGTCCTTTAGCTCACTGATCTGATCTTTTGCTCCATCGATCCTGCTTTTCAATCCTCCTACTGTGTTCTTCAGTTCAGAAATTCTTCATTTCCTCTTGGCCCTTGTTGAGAATTTCTATTCCCTTTTTCATGCTGACATAGTTTTCAGTGAGTTCATTATAGCTTCCCTGTAGTTTCTGGTAGCTCATTGTGAGCTCATTGAGCTTCCTGACAATCATTGCTTTGAACTCAATATCTGATAGTTGAATTGTCTCTATTTCATTTAGCATTCTTTCTGAGGCTTCCTCCTTTCCTTTCATTTGGAGATTGTTTCTTTATCTTCCCATTGTTTGTGAGACTCTTCTTGTTAGCCTCAGCTTCTTAAATTGATCTGTTCTGGCTCCTTGGGTTTGTGGTGTGAACTTCTGTGTTAGAATAGCAGTGAGTTTCCGTGGTGCAGTTTCCTTGATGTCCCAAGCTCACTGGTCTTGGGCTGTCATTTAAGTTGGCTTTGTGTTTGCCTTTGGGTTTTGATTGTTGTTGAGTCTTTCTTTGGTGGTTCCTTCCCACCAGCTGGTTAAATGAGGGTCACTCTGTCCACCACCTCCTGTATTTTGTTGTGCTGGTGAGGGCAGGTTATGTTGAAGCTGGTTCTTCCATGTGTATAAGGTTTAAAGAATTCTCTCTTGCTCTTGTTCAGTTGTTTGTATTGGGTACTGTCTCTACTGTTTAGTTGTATTTCCAGATAGGTCCTGGATTGAGGTTTGTGTGGTTATTACTCCCTCCTTCACCTTCTTCTGTTATTATCTGTTAGTGGTTCCTTTGTTGTTGGGTTTCCTCTTCCAGTGAGTATCCTGGTGTTCACCACATCTACCTATTCATTTTTGTCATCATTTGGAGGGGGAAGGCAAAATGATTTAAGACAGGAACAGAGAATTCTATGATATTTACAGTAGTAGCAAGTAGGGAAGAGATAGGAGATCCTTTGACTATGTATAGTGTTAACCGTGATCTTCCACCCAGCCTGCTGATTTTTAGAAAGGATGGAAAGAACATAAGACTCTTGTTGGGGAAGGAAGGATTGTGAGTTGGATCTATAAAGCAGGGAGGTTGCGGGAGGTCAGATTCTGAGGGAAGGTGAAAGTAAATGATAGTAAATAGGTGGAGTGTGTGAGAGAATAGAGTTAACCACTACAGTAATAGAGTTCAGGAAACTTTGAAATGGGCTAAAATCTGGGTGGGGGAGGAGTGTTGTGAAGTAATTACAATTGCATGGAACAGCAGTTATTTACAATAATATTATGGCAACAATCATATGATGGAATCTATGAGATCTAGGTAACAAGAATAGGGAGTACAGAACCTCGAGTAGTGTGCTAATGGGACACAGGTGAGTTACAGGACAGTAGATTAGCAATACAGTATGGAAAGAGATATCAGGGGAAAGCTGTCAGATCATACAATATATCCAGCCTAGCAAAGCAGACTATACAAAAAGAAGAAGGATACAAAAATACTATTAAAAAAAGATGTGGGAATACTGGAAAAATAAAAATAATACAAATATGCAATAACTTGCAGGTTCTCTGTAATAGCAGAGTGAAATTTATCTCACTGTCCCAGCTGTTGTGGTGCTCCTTCTTTGGTTCAACTTTGGTCTTTTCACAGATCCAGGATTTTGTCTCACTTGTAAGTATTTAGAAAAAATTTTAAAAAGTAAAAATAGAAAAGGCAGATGAAGGAAGGAAGGAAGAAGAGATAAAATTGGAGGAAAGGAAGGAGGAAGGAATAAAGCAAGAAATCAGGAAAAAGAGGAAAAAGAAATCAAAAGAGAATAAAAACAATAAAAATTAAAGAATTAAAAATTGTTAAAAAAAATAGAATCAAATTAAAAAGTCTCTTGGTTTCAAAGTGGCCAAACTGGATTTTCTGCTCTTGCTGGCTGCAGCAGGCTGCAGGCTGAGGGGTGATTGGTATGGCTTTTCTTCCTCGGCCTGTGGAGCTTGCACTGGCTCCTCAGCCTTGCGCCCCGGGTGTGGGAATCAGGTCTTTCCCCAGGGTTACTGCTGTGGACTGGGGTAAGGGGATGCTCTCCCTGCATGTGCGCCCGCACGCCCTTGCACCCACAGTTGGGTGGCAGGGAGGCTGGAGCAACTGATCACTTTAGGAGAATTCCCCAAACAGTGTCTGTCTATTCACTCCTTCCTCTTGAGAAATTCCTCCTGTTCAAGCCTGCCACTCCCCACAGTGGCCCAGCTTCTCCTGCCACCAAACTCTCTAGCCAGACCAGTGACTGTGGGGGTCCCGGCCTGCTGCTCGACCCAGGCTCTCCGGTGTCCACAGCCTCCAAAGGTGCTCACAGCCCTTGTGTGTTTGCTAGCACCTGGATTCCTCCCAGTGCCGCTCAGACCTTGTTTGGCTGGGGAGGGAGCAGTTGTCCCGGCTCTCTCCCAAGGAGTCTGTGGCAAACACAGCAGTGGGCCCTGGGCCTGGGGCTGCAGCCCACGGACCACACGCTGGTCCCCGGGGCCCTACCTTGTTGCAGCACTCTTCTTAAGGTCCAGCTTTTCGGTTCCGCCACAATCCTTGGTACCTTATTTTCACATATGCTGAAGTATGTTGGTTGATTGCTTCTCTACTCCATAGATCGGTCAGGAATTTCTCCCCTGAGCAGAGGGAAGCCAAATCTGCTCCTTCCTACTCCGACAGCATCTTAGCACCCCAGATAGTGATTTTCTTTAGTTCTCTTTCCACATTGTGGGCATAACAGGAACATACAAACATCAATATATTACCATTGAGATTACATGATCATCTTATGTTGTCCTCAGCTATTCACTGGGTTGAAGCCTCATTGTCCACAAAAGGAAAGATTATTTATTGTTTTTATTTCCTTGTCTACTTTCAGATCCCTGTATCATATCTGAAGAAATCCTGAATGAAAATAACATACAATTTAAAGGGCAAAAGGACAAGACACACTACGTAAAAAGAGGGGATACCATTGAGTTTTCGTGTAAACCGGGACACAGTGCAGTGACATCAGGGCAGTCATTTAAAGCCGTGTGTTGGGAAGGGACAATGCAGTTTCCCAGATGTGAATGAACGCGTTTCCACCAGCCACCCACACTGCCTCAATGCCTGCTAAAAATTTTCTGTCATTTCTTGCTCTTTTCTACCTTATTTCAGGGAAATCAATACAATACATTAGTCTGAGCTTTCAGCCTAATCTTCTCCCAAAGGTGGTAAAATAAACTGTGTCATTGTTTACACTTGTACCAAGACAATCATTATTCACCATTTTGAGGGCTGGACTAGTTGCCTAGAGATTATTGAACTCAGTATGGATGATAGTGTGGCTTTGTGCATCTTGGATTGGAGGTTTAACACTGAACACATGTGAGCTTAGGATTTACTGGGGGAGCCAACACAATGAAAACGTTAGATGGTAAAACAGTGAGTGAGAACAGGCGTGTCACTCTGTCCCCTTGCTGCTGTCAGCAGGGGGTCCCTGGACCAGGAAAGGAGTTTGTGAGGGTGACAAAGATCCATCCTTCGTCCTGCTCCCCTGAGTGAGGTTGGAACTGTGTCACAGTGTCGGGCAGTTGCTCTTCTATTTGACAAAAGCAACACCTTATTTTGAAGCTGCAAATCTTATACTAGCCAGTCATGGAACAATATACCTGATGCTAACTTAATAAAGGAACTGAATTTTTATTTTCTCGATGCTTATTGTGAAAGCATTTAAAAAACATTTAAAGTCCCCACCAAATAGAAAGCAGTGTCTTAAAACCAGTCTCCAAATTACAGTTGAGCAGAAGTATATTAGTCAAACTACTTCTCAGGGTGAGACTTCATTCTTCCCTAATTTTCTACTGTAAGCCTCTGAATGTAGTGTACCTTAAATGACAAGGTACCTCAAAGCACATTGGTTACCAATGTCTCAGTGCCCAGGATGCACAGAAACTCTTGCACTCTCTGATGTGGTCTATTAAAGGTTCACAAAAAAATCAGTGCTTTTCTATGGACAAGAAGTTACACAGGCTGGAGTGGGTCCAGATACATGGGTTGGTACTCACAGACCCTAAGCACTGAGGCTGGGTGAGGACACATACAGGACAAGGAACAATTACAAGGATGTGGACTCAGAGTTATTCCCACTCCACCTCTGGGTGGAGAAAGAACCTCGCCCTTTTCAAGAGTTGTTTATTTTAAAACCTTGTGGTTCATATTGCCTTTTTTGCCTCTGTGTCAATATTCCATGGAATATGGAATTCTATTCCATAGAATATTGTTCTTATTGTTCATAAGAACAATGAGAAAATGTAATCAAGAAATAATTGTGAAATCATAAACAAAAATGTACAGATCTTGCAAAACTCTCTGAACTTTGATTTTCACTAAGTGACCTCAACAAACTGGCATCCTGGTAGTGCCCTTAAATTCAGGCTCACACTACCAACTTCTCATGAGGCAGAGTCACAACGCACAGAGCACGGCTGGATTATTCGTGTTGATACACCGTCGGGGATGCCCAACATGCTGCTGTCCCTGGTCAATGTCATTGTCACCTTGTGGGTCTCCTGGACTTATGGACAAGGTAAGCTGCACACAGAGCTGCACACTCAGCTCCCTCCCACCTGCAACTTCTTGTCATTCCTACTTGCTTGTGTCTCTGGGTTTAATGAACCTACTCATTGGAACAGTGAGTATTGTGACTTCACAGCAGAGAGTATCTTATAGGAAGATTGTCATATATTCATCTCCAGGGCAAATAAAATAAATAGTTTTCTGTCTTCTGTGTTCTACAGGCTGAAAGCCTCTGCACAGATATTAGAGAGTCGTGTGAATATGCTCATGAAAATTTGACTGGGAAATGGGTGACAGGAAAGCTAGATGATCCCAAATTGTCTGGGGGAGTCATGACATTTGCTCTGTTCTCATGGACTTGACTCTTTTCCTGGACAGTGATTTCTGCATTATCCACCTGTCCTTTCTCTTTTCAGAAACAACCTGTGATCCTCCAGCTATTGCCAATGGTGTCTACGCACCTCTCAGGACCAAATACAGACTGGAAGATGTAATCACATACAGCTGTGACAATGGCCTTTACCACTCCTCCCACGGAAATACAACAAAGTGCACTGAAGAAGGCTGGGCACCTCCTCCCAGATGTAGCCGTAAGTTCCATTCAAATCATTATCTGCTTCCTAATTCTGAAATTACTTCTATTAAACATAAAATTGGGGACATAAGAAGTCACCATCATTGACTATGGAGAACGGAAAGCAGAGGATTTTATAACATTCTCTGCTTTTCAAAGTAGCCAATTATAAAAAGGATAGAGTCATATATTATAACTGAGGAACTTTTAAGTTTTGCTATTCAATATTAAATATGTGCATGTATGTCTAATTATTTCTGTAACTGATATGCTTGTAGCAACCAAACTGAAACATTGGATAAGGCTCATATTGTATAAAAACAAGCATATTAGGTATTTATTCCTTTGTACAAATTTCCAATAAATACTGACTGAGAAAAACTGCTCTCTCCTGACTCAGGGTCACAGGGTCAGCCCTGGGGAGAGGTTCAGCCCCCTAGTTCCCCCTCACTCTCTGGGCGGCACTGGGACACTGGCCCAGAGTGTGGGCTGAGGGCTGGGTGCAGCTGGGACCTGCTTCCAAGTGGGCACCTCCCTGGTGGTGCAGGGACTTCAGGGCCTTAACACCTGGAGTCTCCATAGGAGCCTGAGTGGCACTAATGTCCCCAGGGTGAGTGATCTGAGACACAAGAAGGACAACTCCACGTACTTTATGATGTGCTCACACATTGTCACCTTGACCATTTGTACCTTTAGAAGATGGTCCCTAAGTCCACCCCACACTCAAAGGTGGGGGCAGTGGGCTCCTTCTCTCTGGGAGCAATGTTGCAGACGAAGTTGATTTTCTGACACCATCACATGTCACAAAGTGCCACTCAGTTCAGCAGGGCATTTACTTCTGGGGATGTTTCTTTGGCTTCCTTCCAAGAGCTTTCTGCCTCCACCCTCAAGTTCCTCTTGCTCACGTATCAGTTCCCTGAAGAGGCGTCCATGGTGCAGCTGGACACTCCATGAGTGAAAAACAAAATAATGCTAATAGGAGGTCAATGACTTCAGTGTCAGTTCAGGACAAATGTCCACATGAATGTGACAGTGTGATGCCCTTAGAGAGGATGCTGGCATCACCGTGACACAGACCTCAGTGAGCATGACCACCACGAGGAGAGTGTCCATGTGCTCACCTAGACAGAACTGAGAGGAAGCACTGTGTTGTTGCAGGTGCACAACAGACGGACTCCGAGTGTGCACATGTCGTGAAATGACCAGAAACGCGTGTTCTTTACATCATCTGAGTTTACAACCTTCCTTGTCCTAGAAACCCTAATGCAATGAGTGCAACTATGTTAAAAACATAATTCATCAAGGAAACCATTTATCACTCAGTAGATTCTATTACAGGAAAACATGACTTATATTGTTTTTGTTTGTTTTTATTTCAAGTTAACCCATGTGAGTTTCCAGACATAAAGCATGGAGTCCTCTATGCGGAAGTCTTATACAGATCACACTTCCCCGCTCCTCTGGAAAAGTGGTTTTACTACTCCTGCGATGAAAACTATTTGCCGCCTACAAAAGACTACTGGGGCCATATCACTTGTACACCAGAGGGATGGACTCCTAAAGAGCCATGTGTCCGTAAGTAAACCTCTTCCTCCCTGTGCCCGTGGGGACCCTTCAGAGAGGAGGGGAATCACACCAGGCAGAATGATGGAGCTGTGTGACCAAGATAAGATGGAGGGCTGAGTTCTGAGAGCAGGACAACCAATGTAGCTTGTTTGTTTTCTTGGAGGTTTTTCATTAAAAGTATGAGACAGAAAAATGGACTCTACAAGAATATCTATGACATTTATACATATTCTAATTGTGAAAACTACAGATAAATCCTATTTAATATTGACTTTGCTTTTTAAAACACTGTTGGTAGAGGCTTTAGTTTTTCTTCAACTACGTCTTAGGGGATGCTAATCATTCTCACTTAAATATCCTAAAGATACATTTTAATGTATTCCTTTGACCAAATTGATGGGGTTGTTTTTATGATCATTTTCCCATTCTCAGGAAAATGTGTGGTCAATAATTTGGAGCATGGACACTCTGCAAGCAATGGAAAGACATATTTACAGGGTGAAACTGTGGAACCCCTCTGCAATCCTGGTTACAGCCATGGAAGCCCCCAGAGCATGCTCACATGTACAGAGAATGGCTGGTCCTCTTCTCTCTCTTGCCTCAGTAAGTAAACCGCTCTGGGGACCAATCTGTGACTTTCTGGAACCCACACATATCTCTGCAGAAAGCTTTATGTACCAAACCTTAAGCTGATGCATTAAGTCTTCTTTGTCTTGAAGACATAAACATGTTTCCATTCTAATTGTGTCTAAATAGTTTTTAATTTTTCATCAGGAGTAAATTATGTTACTTTACTGAGTTAAATAACAATAGGACTATACCTTATGAAAGTCACTAAATGTTAAGTTAAACAGATTAAAGCCACTTTAGTATTTACATTGAAAGCATGCTAATTTGTTCATTGAAAAGGAATTTAAAATAAGTTGAAATTATAAATAAATACACTGCCCAAAGTCATATACATATCACAAACATTTTACATATAATATACATGTATTAGTCCTAGGATGTAATAAATTTGGACTCTCTCATGGCAGTTATGACTGGCTTTCACATATTAAGTTGACAGGAATCTGTAAGTTGTTTCGTGGATGTTCTTTGAACTATAGAAAATCCATTTTATGGACATTGTATTATAAATCAACTTTCAGAGAGAGATGATGTTCGAGTGAAATGACTTAAGCAAGGAAGGAATTCTGTGTATTTGAGGACCACTGATGGCCAGTGCAGTGCAAACAGAGCGGAGAGGAGGAAAAGTGGTTCAAGTCCAACCGGGAAGCCCTGAGTGAAAAGGAGCAGACCTGCAGGGAGAGCCCTGGGAGGTTCCCGTGGGGGAAGGGCCGAGTCTGCACTGATGGGAAGCTGCTCTGAGGCTGCTCCCCAGGAATGGCCCACAGTCCCTGATAGGACAGTCCAGACAGTGGGACGACGGTACTCCAGGGGCATGTGTAGAAATGGGGACGAGAGGATGTGTAGGAGGAATCTGTGGGAGTGACAAGATCTCCATCTGATGTTAGATGGCATGGGAGGAGACTCAGTAGGAATCTGTTTAATGTATTTACAGACTGATCAATTCCCTGGGATTTAAACTGCAAAGGCTTATTTCCCCAAATTAAACTACTAAGGTTAGAAGTTCAAAAGCAAAGTTGGCCCTGTGTTCTTTGGGTCCAGGCTTCTCCCTAGTCTCTTCTCACCAACTTGTGGTTCTCCATTCCATGGTCACCAAAGGACAGTGGCCTCAGGACTTTGGGTTGGTTTTTTGGAAGCAAGGAGGAGGCTAGAGACATGGGGGGGTGGGGAAGAAATGTTCCAGCTGACCTCCAGGGGAGGTTAGTGCTCCTCTCAGTCTGAAACCTTTCCTTCTCTGATGGAGACCACGTCTGAGTTCCACAGCCACAAGCTCAGGGAAGGCTGGGCAGTCGGTCCTTTTCCAGAGACACCTACACGTAGGTAGGAACAAAACTCGGTCACTGTGCAAGAGAGACAAGGGGATGGTGATATGCAGATATCCACTAAGGCAAGGTGACAGCCCTCTCAGCCCATTTGCATAGTGAATAAATGACTCCCACCCATTCTCTGTCAGCATGTGCACGTTGTGGAGGGGACTGCTGTATGTAAAAATGCACCAACACTAGAGGGGTGAGAAGATAGGTAAATATTGGAGACAGCAGTTAACACGGGGGGCTGACACACACTTCTGTGTGTAGAGGGGTTGCTACCAGGGAAGGGTGTCATCCATCTCTTTCCATTCATTCATTGTGACTCTTGTACAGCAAGCCCATGGGGGAGGGACTCCTTAGGGAGCTTGATGGGCATACTGACAACACCTACTGTGTTGTCACCTGGCACACTCTTCTCATCCCCTTCCTCATATTTTAAAGTGACCAACCCCTTCTACCTGATCTCTTGCTCAGAGTCTTAATGTACTAACCCTCTGTGACACCCACAATCTCACACGTGCTGAGATTTTCCTTATTCCCACGAGGGCATGGGGAAGGACAGAGGAAACCTCTCTGTGTGACAAACCTCAGTACCACTGACCCAGGTCCTTTCTCCCCGCTCAGATATTGTAGGACCAACCACATGTTAAATTTAACAGTTATTCCTGTACAATTTCATATCCAAAATTCCACTGATACCAAAGTTCCCATCCATTCCTTTTCCACACAGCATGACATTGGCAATGATAATTATACATGTTATTAGATTCGAGTTAGATAAGCATCCTAAACAGTGTCCTAAGTGAAAAATACCAAATACAACTCTAAAGTTTATTATCTCAATGTCACCTGGCAAACTGGCTGATTTGCCTGATATTCATTCTTACATTATAAAATATTGTTTTCCATTTCTGTGCTTGTCATGGACTCTCTTTAGTGAAAAACAGGACCCTTTGCTATGGATTGTTATACTCAATCTTGATTGATTTTCTGTTATAGCAATCATGAGGATGAGAGGGTGCACTCTATGCATACACATGGACTGTGTACCTGACCTCTTCGGTTTTACTCTAAGATACGCACCCCTAGTATCTCTCAGTAAGTCTCGTATGTAAACACGTACATTACCTCGGACATTAAGAATTTCATCGTCCTGAAAATGGCAATATCATATCATTATGATAAGGTAATTCAGTAACAGCCAGTGACATGCAGGTAAAAAACAGAAGTGACCAAATGTTCCCACTGTATGTTTACAGGCTTTGAGTGACGGGAAAGCGATGCACAGGGAGATCTGCGGTAGGTGCTCCTGCACAGAGTGACGCTGGGTGTCAGAGCATGTTCAAGTCATACTCCACTGGAGTCACACACACTTAGGGTCATGGTGATTTCCCCCAGAAGAAGGTCTCCTTGCTGCATTATCCATGGTATGGCCTTAGACATGCAACTGTCCACTCTTCTTCCCTCTAGAACATTGTGACATGCCACTGTTTGAGAATGCAACAGCCATCATCACTGGAAAAGCTTTTAGGCCTAATGACACGCTGGACTACCAGTGCCTGTATGGGTACGAAACCAGAGATGGACGCACCTCAGGCACCATGGTGTGTGGGGAGGACGGCTGGTCACACTTGCCAAGCTGCTTCAGTAAGTTCTTTCATTCCAGTGTTTCCCTCGTCATGAAAAGTCTGTTGAAACAGTGTTCATTTGAGGGAAATTATCAACCACACTTTTAAGTCACAGGCTTACAGTGCAGGACTTCAGAGTTCCTGTAGAGCTTTATTTACATAGCCTCCAATAAAACTACGAATTTTTCCTAACATTGAAAATGCTATTTTTTAGAATCTGCAGAAAAGTGCGGGCCTCCTCCAGCTGTTGGCAATGGAGACATCACCTCCGTCCCACTGGCTGCCTACCCTCCGGGGTCAAGAGTTGAATACCAATGTCAGGCCTACTATGAACTTCAGGGTCCTAAATATGTAACCTGCAGTAATGCTAAGTGGTCCGAACCCCCAAAATGTCTAGGTAAGCTCTCCATATTCTTCCGGATCCTGAGAAAAATATAGTAATGTTTCAGTGCTCATACATACTCCAGCACTCCTGCAGGGGTACTCTAGACTGTGTTCTCAGACAGCTGTCCTGACGGAGGTTGGACATTCTAACACTCACTTGTAAGGCCAGATGCTAGGAAAATTACCAAGTAAACAATGACAAAGTTTCATTAAAACAGGAAGGTTCAGACATGCTGATTTTTTTGCCTTTTTTAATGCTTTTATTGGGGTGAGTTGGTTAATAAAATTATTACAGGTTTCAGGTATACAATTCTATGATACATCATCTGTAGATTACATTGTATTCACAACCTTGAGTCATCCACCATCCATTTACCATTCATCCTCCTTTTACCCTGTTCCAGCTCACCTCACCTCTCTTCTCTCTGGAAATTAACATCCTGTGGTCCATGTCCATGAGTCTACTCAGCCCCCAACCACCTCCCCTCTGACAGCTCTCAGTCTGTTCTCTATATCCAAGAGTCTGTCTCCACTTTTTAGTTTATTTTCTTCATTAGATTCCACATGTAATGGAAATCCCGTGTATGTGTCCCCTTCTATGGGATTTGTAGCAACATCAGTGCTCCTGACCCTGGAAGTGGCAGCACTGGAGATTGACTGCACACCCACAAGTCAGAGTCATCTAGAAATAGCTCCCAACTAGAGTTTAGGGGAAAAAAGGTGTTGAAATTCCAAGATAAATTCTCAACCTCACCTTTGAATGACAAGTCTAAGATGTGATTCACAGCACAGGCATTCCTTTCTCCAAACACTGAGAATGGGAACCAGTTATCGTCATCTGAGGACACAAAAGCAATTCTGTGACAGAGAAGTCAGCCTGTATTCTGAGTCACTGATTGGAAATTTCAAGTGTTGTATCCAAGTCAGGTCATATATGTCCCCAGATGTGTGCAGGGGGCCACTGATGAAATTTCTCTCTCCCCTCTATTCCTCCCTCCCTCTCTGACTAAAACTCAGTAAAAGTAAAGAAAAGTTCAATAGAAAAGCAGAAAGGAAATTCCTGGAATGGATGTTTGGAGGTTGTAGACCTCATATAGTACATACTTTTGGTTATTAACATGCATGAGAATGTTTATTAGACTTTGAAAACCTATGCATATCCCAAGTGATGTGAATTTTTATGAATCTTCATCATGTAAGAGTTAATGGGATGTGTGGGAACATAATTGGAGCTATTTCTAAGGCCTCACCAATGTCAGTGATGGTGGAACTAGAATGCAAAACACTGTGTGAACAGAAGAGACAGAGGAGCCCACGGTGTGTTCAAACTTTGGTATATGATTGGATAAAGATGCGTACACGTGTCAATGGAATACCTCGCAGCTATAAGATGAAACACTGACATTTGTGACAACCTGGAGGGACATTGAGAATATCATGCGAGTGAAATGTCAGACAGAAAAGGACATAAACACCATGGTTTCACTCATACATGGGACATAAAACTGAAAGAAATGGATGAACAAACTAGAAAAACAACAAACAGAAACTAGTGAACAGACAACAGTATAGTGGTTCTAGAGGGATAGGACAAGGGGGGGTACAAAGGGAAAGGGGTTCAACTACCTGGTGACAGGAAAAGATTTGACTTAGGAAGGTGGACACCAGATGATGTGGCAGAGAATCGCACCCCTGAAAGCTATATAATCTTATTCTCCAACACCTCCCCAGCACACTCAACAGAAGAAAGTTAAAGTTACTCACATGTACTAATTTCTACAATGCAGTAGCAGCTTGTTTACAGAAAAGAGACAAGATCTACAACAATATTGTAACATATGAAATTCTGCTTGCAGTCACATTGCAGTAGCAATGAACTAGAAACTCTGATGTCACAAAACATTTCAAAAATGGAAATATACAGATTTTATGCAAGAAGACACAGGGATATAGAAAGGTAGAGAAATTTGATCACAACAAGTTGAAATTCAAATCCACACTATGTGTATAACTGTGCCGCTCTGCAGCCTGTCTTGACCTTGAGCAAGTAGAAGATGATAAAGGACAGGTAGATAGATAGATGGATAGATAGATAGATAGATAGATAGATAAGGTGTAATGGATCATCGGGTAGATAGACAGATATAGAGATGATTTATGTACATTTCTGTGGGTAAGTGTATTTTAATGGTAGATTCTTTATTAGAAAGCTTGTGATTTTCTTTAGTTCTCTTTCCACATTGTGGACATAACAGAAAACATACAAACATCAATATATTACCATTGAGATTACATGATCATCTTGTGTTGTCCTCAACTATTCACTGAGTTGAAGCATCATTAGTCCACAAAAACAAAGATTATTCATTGTTTTTATTCCTTTTCTACTTTCAGATCCCTGTGTCATATCTGAAGAAATCCTGAATGAAAATAACATACAGTTTAAAACGAAAGGGGACAAGACACACTACGTAAAAAGAGGAGATATCATTCAGTTTTCGTGTAAACCAGGACACAGTGCAGTGACATCAGAGCAGTCATTTAAAGCCGTATGTGGGGAAGGGACAGTGCAGTTTCCCAGATGTGAATGAAGGCTCTTCCACCAGCCACCCACACTGCCTCAACGCTTGCTAAAGATTTTCTGTCATTTCCTGCTCTTTCCTACCTTATTTTAGGGAAATCAATACAATACAGTAGTCCGAGCTTTCAGCCTAATCTTCTCCCAAAGGTGGTAAAATAAACTGTGTCATTATTTACACTTGTACCAAGACAATCATTATTCACTATTTCAAGGACTGGACTAGTTGCCTAGAGATTAATGAACTCAGTATGGATGACAGTGTGGCTTTGTGCATCTTGGATTGGAGGTTTAACAGTGAACACATGTGAGCTTCAGATTTACTGGGTGAGCTAACACAATGAAAACGTTAGATGGTAAAGCAGTGAGTGAGAAGAGGCCTGTCACTCTGTCCCCTTGCTGCTGTCAGCAGGGGGCCCTGGACCAGGGAAGGAGTTTGTGAGGGTGACACAGATCCATCCTTCCTCCTGTTCCCCTGCGTGTGGTTGAGACTGTGTCACAGTGTCGGGCAGTTGCTCTTCTATTTGTCAAAAGCAACACCTTATTTTGAAGCTGCAAATCTTATACTACCTGATTATGGAACAGTTTACTTAATGCAAAGTAAATGTAGGAACTGAACTTTCATTTTCTCCATGCTTATAGTGAAGGCATATGAAAAACCATTGACCTTCCCGTCAAATTAAAGCCCTGTCTCGTAACCAGTCTCCAGTTCACTCAGGGCTAGACTTCACACCTCCCATGTTTCTACTGTAAGCCTCTGAATGTAGTGCACCTGACATGACAAGGCACCTCAAAGGGAATCAGTTACGAATATCTCAATGCCCAGGATGCACTGAAACTCTTGCACTCTGCAGTGTGGTGCATTGTAGGGAACTGTTTTGCGTGGCGTGGAAATGTAGCTCAGCCTCCATGTGAAAAACCAGTGGGGAGTGAGTGGAACGCAGGACCACGCCCACAGAGAAGTTTTCTCATGCAGAACCAGGCCTGCATTGTACCTAGACTGCTATGAGACGCTTTTGCTAAAACTTCCTCACCCTGAATTGAGGCAGCAAGTGCTTACTGTCACTTCCTAAATTCTGAGCTAAATTTCCCAAGTATGAAGTGTGACCGGTTTGACCACTTTTCCCTTTGGTCTGCAATATCCTTCTCTTTGAAGTAATTAGCAACATTCTGTCCTTTGTTGTCTGTAAAAGGTAATCACCTGCAGCGAACCTGTGCATAGTAAATGAGGACCATCCTCAATGTAATGTCCCCAGAAAAGCAAAAAAAGCCTGTCCAGACAGGGACTGGAGGCCTCTGGCCCTCTTGCCCTCTCTCTGTCTCTCTCAGAGAGTGGCCATGCTGTCCCTTTTTCTCCACAGGACTTTCGTTGTCCTTGTGTATTTGTTCACGAGCAGCCACAACACACAGGGATCCTGCCGACCACAATCCACCACAGTGTATTAAGGGTTTCCAAAAAAGCGGTGCTTTTCAATGGACAAGAAGGTACAGAGGCTGGAGTGGGGTCCAGACACATGGGTTGGTGCTCACAGACCCGAAGGACTGAGGCTGGGTGAGGACACATACAGGACAAGGGACAGTTACAGGGACGTGGACTCGGAGTTATTCCCACTCCGTCTCTGGGTGAAGAAAGAACCTCGGCCATTTCTAGAATTGTTTAATTTAAAAATTAGTGTTTTGTGTCACTTTTGGAGCAGGTGTGTTAATATCACTGAGGCATATTGTGCAAGGACAATGGGGAAAGGAAGTTGGAAGAGATTGGGAAATTTTCAACAGAAATTTACAGATCTTGCAAAACTCTCTGAAATTTGATATTAAGTGAACCCAACAAACTAGTTTCCTGGCAGTGCCCTGAAATTCAGGCTCACACTAACAACCGCTCATGAGGCAGACTCACACCCCACGGAGCACGGCTGGGATATTCATGTTAATACATCGTCTGGGGATGCCCAACATGCTCCTGTCCCTGGCCAGTGTCATTGTCACCTTGTGGGCCTCCTGGGCTCATGCACAAGGTAAGCTGGACACAGAGCTGCACACTCAGCTCCCTCCAACCTGCAACGTCTTGTCATTCCTACTTGCTTGTGTCTCTGGGTTTAATGAATTTATTCATAGGAATACTATGTATTGTGACTTCACAACAGAGAACAACTTACAGGAAGATTATCATATGCTCATCCAGGGAAAATAAAATAAATTATGACTAACTTTATTTCCTACATTTCACAGCAAAAGGACTCTCAAAAGCCCTTACAGAGATTATTTGAATGGGTTCATTCAACTTTAGCAAGCCTCTGGGAACAGTGGAATTCTCATCATCTTACCTATGGTGAATGTCTTATAGAATCATATGTGAAAACTCATTACATCATCATTCAAATAAATGCAATTTACAATTTCTATTATACCTTAAAAAACCTATAAAAGTAATTGGCATTGCAATCAATTTAATATTGCAACAAAACTGACAGCTGGGAAAAACAAATATTTATTTCAACAAAAAGTAAAATGTACTCTTAATTTCCAATAGAATTACAATAAATTTTTATTACACTTCTGAGTTCTCTGGTAACTATTGAGTAAATCACTAAATTCTTTTCATAGCATTATCTCTATTCTTCACTGATTTGTTCTCATTTTTATAGCAAAATATTGTCTGTATTATCTCTAATATGGAATCCAGATATTAAGAAATTATATCTTATAACAACATAATTGGTAGTTTCTTTACATTCATTTCATTAGAAAGCAATTTATTTTGTGTTTTAGTTCAAGTAGCATTTATTGCATGTATAGAAACTTTAAGATTTTATTGACAAAATTATGTTTTTCTCCTTCCTCTACCGTCTTCCTAAATCCTCCATGATTATATCTTTTCAAAGTCTTTTACTTTCCTTTAAAACCAAATACGTTCCTGAGTTCCTGTCAGTAAAACCCCTAACGTGCCTCAGGACCGTTCATGCCACCGTCTAGAAATAGACTGTGAATCTCTCAGTTGTATCCCTTCGTCTGCGAGAGGGATTCATTCAAATAGTTTGCTGCCTGCTGGGCTTTGCCTGCTTTTTCAGCTGCTATTGGAGCAATTTCCTTCTCTACCACCTTCTCCCCACCCCCCCAAAAAAAAACAACCATGCAACCAAGCCTCTATCCCATGTAACACAATTTCTGTTAGTGACTGTTTCTCAGTGACCTTTGCACTCCACACCCTGTAGCAGGCTGGGTTGCAGCCCTGTTTTCCAGGAGAAAGGAATCTCGGCTGAGGGGAGAGACAATCTGAGAAACACCTTTGTGTGTCTTGTGGGCGGGGCTCAGTCCTCTCCCTCCAGAACAGGAGTAGTGAGGCCCAGACTCCTCAGACCTCAGAGTGCAGCTGTGCGCAGAGGTCAGCTCTGCAAAGAGGTCCCTGAGCTACCCCAGGTCGCCACCGTGGGCCCCAATCCAACCAGACTGGTGTGTGCCCACTGGTGGACACGGGCCACAGACTCATGGACGGGGACCGTGTGAAGACATTAGCGTGACGCCCATGGACACACCGAGGAGAGAGGCACCAGCCCTGCTGATGCCTTCATTCTGGACTGTTACTGTCTAGAGCTGTGAAAAGAACCAATGTCTGCGGTTAAAGCCGCCATCCCGTGGTGCTGTGTACGGCAGCCGTAGTGAGCGCGTGCAACGACACATACACATTTTCCTAAGTGGACAGTGCTAATCAGACACCGTGTTTCCAGTTCCCACTCCAGAATGTTTCTGTGCCTACATACATGTTTTCAGGGGACACTCATCAGAACTCAGTAATTCTACCTTGGTGGTAGTGGCGTTGCTGATGTTTTCCACTTGATGAGCATTTTATATTCAAATTCTCTTCACGGCTTCATTGAAAGTGTCCCACTGAGTCATATGCACACGTATCCGTATACGAAACTGAGCTCACACGTATGTGTCACAGAAATCGTTGCCTGGACTGGGCCCAGATTTCCGAGGGCCTGCGTGCAGGAGACACAGGAGGACGCAGAGCAGGAAGTGACCCGAGGACTAGGGACAGTCCTACCGTCCCCGCAGAGGGGACACCTCAGCTCTGGCAGGGTTACTGGGTTCAGCCCCTGGCATCCTCCCCCTCAGCATTTGCATTTTCCCGTGTGACCAATTTTAATCTTGGAAATACTTCTGAGGGACTTGAACCTTAAACATCGCAACGTCCTCCAGTCCCTTCGAACTCTTCATACAGATGGTCCCTATTCTCCAACCAGGAACACAAGCAGATAAAGTGGGATCAACAGAACAATAAATGTACCCGCGGGATTATGCAGATTGAGAAGAATCATGCATTCAGGTGGCATGCCATTGTTTTTTTCTGCAGGGAGAACTTGTGACTTTCCAGAAATAAAGCACGGGAGCATTTATGAGGAGCACAGATACAAGCAGACCTTCCCCGTCGCCGCGGGGAGGTACTTCTACTACTCCTGCGACCGCAGCTTTGCGTCTCCTTCGCAGTCGCTCTGGACTCGAATAACCTGCACGGAGGACGGCTGGTCGCCAACACCCAGGTGTCTCAGTGCGTAAACAGGCAGACCGCCTGGAAAATCCTGGTCCACAGGATTTTCTCAGCACATTCCGCCAGGGGGGCAAGACGGGGAGGGGCGGCTGGGAGGGACCCCGGGGTGCAGACAATGACAAAGCCAGGGGCCAGAGGGGCCAGCAAAGGTGTGATCCGTTTTTCTTCAGGCACAGAATCAGCAAAAAGTAAGATACACGCTTGGTGGAATATCTCCAGGGTTTGTTTTTTTTTTCATTTCAAATATTGGTGATCGGTAATTACAACTGCTTATATTGAATTTAAACACCCTGACTTGGTAAGTGTAGGAACACAGATTTTTCTCAGCACAGTTCCGTTTTTACGTGTAATGCTTGTTCAAAATGAGCTGCTCTTTTGGATATTCAGAAAGCGCTTTTGTAAAGCTTTTATTTTTATTTATATTTGTTGTCTTTAGTTTTTATATTTTTTACTGTTTTTCCATTACAGTTGCTCTAGTTCTTCCCCCCATTACTCTCCCTGCCTGGCCCATCCCCCCACTTCCTCAGGCTCTCCCCACCCTGTCCTCTGTGTCCCCGGTCCTTTGTACCAGTTTCTTCACTACACCCTCCCCTTCCCGCCTCCATTACCCCCTCCCCCTTCCCCTCTCCTCACTCACTGTCAGATTGTTCCTTATTTCTATGCCTCTGGTTCTATTTTGCTCATTTGTTTTTTTTGTTCATCTTTTAAGTAGATTTTACTATTTTCCTTTTGTGTTTTTCAGTAGTCGCATCTTTGCGAGTTACATCTGCCTTACTTTCTCAGCGAGGTCAGAGACACGAAGAAAGCAGAATTAGGAGAGGGAAGAACTAAAGAGGCAGGTAGACAAAGGAAATGAGAGTCCTCTCCTCCTCCTCCAGGAAGCAACTTGGTCAGTCAAATGAGAAAAAAACGCAATCACTCTCTTGATATCTGAAGGAATTTCACAAATGGAAAAATGATTTCATACCTAAGCAATGATTAATGACATTACATATTAGTGGTAACGTGCATGAACTCATTTTTTAAGACAGTAATTTTGGCACTTTATTTGTGTGTGAAGTTTGCAAAACGTGACACCTTTCTCAGTGTGAAATGCATAGAAATCATCTCTTGGGCTTTCAGGACAGTGCTTCTTCCCTTGGGTGGAACGTGGTCGGTCTGCATCTTCAGGACAAACCCATCAGGAAGGCGACACGGTGCCAGTTGTCTGTGATGAGGGCTACAGCCTCCCCCTTAATCAGAGCAGCATCACGTGTGGAGAAAGGGGCTGGTCCACGCCCCCGACGTGCAGTCGTACCGGCAAGTAAAATGCTGTCCTCCAGGGTCCTGTCTTCTTTTTTAGTTTATAGAGAAGTGGCTGTAGTTTCAGGGTTCCAATTCTGTCTAAGCAGATGTGCCAATCTCTGGATAATAATCACTGGGAAATTATTTTGCCTCCTCCCACAAATTAAATGTAGGAAAAATTAGAGAACGCTCATGAGGAACACAGTGAAAATGGTTGCAAGGCACTTACATGTTTCAGCAACATGAACTGACAGTGTACAATGAAATTATGCAAAATCGGTTGAGGTACCATGACAATAAAATTAAATTTTATACAGAGTGATAGTTGAAATATCACAGTTGTGAAATCACCTGGCCTGCAAACAAATCTACTTGACAATGACCAAATTAAATGCATACCATTAAAAACTAGCACAAAAATATCGATAATATCCACACTGTCAGAACTCTACCTGTGAAATCTCTGTTTCCAGGATATGTTTTATAATATGGAAAAACACTTCATTAAGGAACCATATGGAAACTGGGCGTATACTGGAGGGAAAGCAGAGTTGGAGTTCCTTATGCTTTTGCCTGAACACAAAACAGTAGCTACATTGGAAGAAGGGAACCCAGAGAGTCGGCTCCCTGAAGCGCAGGGAGCACCTCCGGAGATCAGTCCCCATCGTTGTGTGTCTTCCCACTCTAGCGGGAAATTTGGTTGTCATTTATCATCTAATCAACATTCGTTATATTGTCATTACGTCATGTTTATTGTGCACTTCTTTGCATAATTTTTTAAACTATATTTTGTAGAGAGAGGGGAAAGGAGGGAGAACAAGAGGGAGAGAGACATGGACGTGGGAGAGCAACGCCTACAGGTTGTCTCCAACCAGGGACAGAACAGGCCATGCAAGCAGGTGCCCTGACCCGGAATCGAACCGCTAACCTTTTGCACTGCGGGATGACGGCCAACCAACAGAGCCACATCAGTCAGGGCCATTTGCAGTCTTATAATTGCTTATATAACTTGTCCGGGAGCTGTAGTTGGACTCAGGAGAGGGAGTGCAGGAAGTCGTGCTTCCAATCCATCCTTCCAAACCAGGAAGTTAACCTTCTGCCAATTTGTTTCTTAAAATTGTGCAAGGAGGGTTTTTTTATGCAAATGAAAATGAAATGCCTAGAGCCCAAAGGATACTGCAGCATGATCGGTGAGAGCACAAGGAACCTTCCGTGGCCATGAACTATGTCTGCCCAGTGCTGTCATTACGTAAACAGTGCTGCACCGGAATAGGACGCAGCACACATCTGTCCTTCTGGTTCACACGAGCTCCACCGAGACATCCATGGGAAACTGCAAAGCATTGTGCTTCTCACTCTGCCTGATTAGATTGTCTCCATCGAATCCTTTCCTCAGACTCACACAAGACTTCATATTATACATTGTACTCCATTTTTACATTCCTCTGTTTTCCATACAATGGATTTGTCTCTTAATAAATCAAGTAATATCTGTAGGTTCTAGAAGAAAATGTGGGCGCCCTCCAACCATCGACAATGGGGACATCACCACATTCCCATCAGCCATCTACGCTCCAGGAGACTCAGTGCAGTACAAATGCCAGGCCTACTATAAACTTCAGGGAAACAGGATCCTAACATGTCGTGACGGAGAGTGGTCAGAACCACCCAAATGTTTAGGTAAGTGCGTTGCCGTTCCCATGGGTCCTGGGAAATCTGTGTAGAGAGTGTGATGTTCTGCTCTTTATACCAGAACTTTCATGGGTTACCACTATTCTGATGAATGCTTGACTCTCTCATAGTGATGCGTGAGTGAATAACATATGACAAATTCTTAAGCAGGAAGACCAACAAAGATTCTTTTATGGAAACTCTACACATGATAACTGGTATTATGAACTTTGATTTAACGTTTAGTTATCACACAGAGTACCTCATGTTTACATCATGAATTGTTTGAAATGACTTACATCTACAGGATGGCTTTTCAATGAATCATATTGAAAAAGGTTCTGAGAATGAGTTCCTGGATCAGTGTAGAAGATTCTACATGACAGTGTAAACTTCTCTACTGAGAATTTGTATACCACTTAATGTTTTACATTTCTTGTTTTTACCTTTAGAGGCATGTGTAACATCAGAAGAAATGATGGGAAAGCATAACATACAGTTGAGATGGAGACAGGACAAAAAACTTTATTTGGAATCAGACGATACTGTTGAGTTCACCTGCCGACCTGGGTATCGTGCAAAGTCACCACCTTCCGCATTCCGGGTAACGTGTCGGGCAGGAAAACTGACGTATCCCACTTGTGAATGAAACGATGGTTATGTTGCAGTCTGAAAATTGAAATACACGTATTCATTTAGAGTATTTTATATTAATCCAATTCTCTATTTTTCAAGTGTATTATATCTCATTTCTCTTCATAATCAGAATTTATGTTGATACCATTATAATGTGAAAGACCAATGAATCACTCTGAAAGGGATCTCATTAAAATGTGGCAAACCACCATGCTGTGTGTTCTGTTCATCAAACATCTGTGGTGAGAAATCAGAAGCCACCCCTTTATGGCCCACTTGCACCCAACCACTCCAGTAACTTTCCCAACACTTTGTCTGGAACTTCTGAGGCCATTTGAGACTCTTGTTGCAGAGGAAAACAATGGGAAATGGGAAAAAATGCTTGTCTCTATCTTCAAAATGTAATCACTTCACAAACACATAAAAACCAAACTATGTCACACCTGTGTTGGCAAGAATATCTCTGCGGCTATTACTGTCCTAGCGAAACACTCACCAGAGATGGTGACAGGCGTGATCTTCTGCAGCCTGTCCCCCCAGGGCACGCAAGCTCTCAGACACGCCACACGGAGCAGGCGGGCTCCAATTCAGGGCATGACTGCGCGCAGTGGCACACGCCCTGATGAAAACGCAGCATCAGTATGCACACATTCACATGTTTTTATGACATGCTGTGAACCATGACCACGTGTTTACAGAGCAGAGACCAGCAGGACATGCAATGACACACTTACCACACCTCTGTTGGAGGTAGAGACAACGGGGGTAGGAGTTGGGGTTCAGTCCCGTATTCCCCCCAGTCTTCTGTATTGAACATGTATCATCTTCGAACAACAAAATATGTTCATTTAGAGTAAATACGCACAAAAATATTCTAGGTGTTCGATGCTGTGACACTTCCGCACGGTGACAGACAGACAATCCGTATTCTCAGTCAAGATCCTGAGGATTAAAAACGCTCCATTTTGCTCTCTTTCAAGACTGTTCTGGCCATTTCTACGCGAAGTTTTGATTCGTGCTGACCATTATTTTTGGTCAAATAAGAGAACTTTACTTGGGTCATATTTAAAGCATAATGAATTAGGGAGAATTGACATCTTAATGATAGTAAGGCTTCCCATCTGTAAATGTCATGGACTTTTTCTTTGTCTTTAACTTTTTTTCAGTAATGTTTTACAATTTCCAGTGTAAAGAGCTTATGAATATTTTGTCCAATTTGTTTCTCAATATTTTAGGATTTTTAAAAAGAATCTTTATAAATGATAATGTTCTTTTTAATTTTTAATTTTCTAATTCTTTTTCTCTAATGTAAAAGAACTACTTTTGTGTATTAGTTCTAGGAGCCCTATTTTTGTGGAAATCTTAAATTTTTCTAAATTATAAAATTGTATTTTACTCTTTGCTTAAAAGTGTCATTCCTTCTTTTCAGGTAACTCTCTTGAGTTTTATTGATCTAATATTACCATAACCACTCAATTTTCACACAGTAGTTCATACAATGTTTATATTTTTCTACGTTTTGCATTCAGCATGTGCTTTCACATCTAAATTATTTCTTTGGAAAACATTCTTATCCACCTCTACTTAATCTTGTTTTTCATTGACCTAGTTAATTTTAATTTAATATCAGTAACTAATATTGATGGATTTACTTACACCATTTACCAAGCACTTCTAATCTGTCCCAGCTACTTGTTTATATTCTTTGAAATCCTTCCCTGCATTATTCTACATTAGTCTCATGCTTTTAGCATGTCATTTTATATCATTTTTTGGTTATTATTTATCATTTTAGTAGATTATCTAGGTCTTGTATATACATCTTTCACCTATCACAGACCCAACAGATAATGTATTTTTTGCTACTTCATGTAAAATGTCAGAACCTTGCCAACGTATATTTTCTTTTATATTGTTTTTCTTACACATTGGCTTTAAACCCTACATTGTGTTTTAACAGATTTAAGGATAGAAATATATATCGTCTTCATTCACATTTTGTTCTTTGTTAGAAACATATACCTCTATTCTTAAACTCCGTAAGTCTTTACAAATCGTATGTATCTTTCCTGTAGAGTCTTTAACTTATATTTCACAGTCATTTTAAAGTGACATTGTTCTTACTCATTTTAGCATATTGCTTGTCTTTAGGTTTGTATTTTTGATAGCCTTTCTCCTGAATACAGCTCATATTTTCTACTTCTTTGCATGTGTACTCATGTGTTACATGAGTAGTCCCACCAGTCCGTGGGGTGGATGCGCTTCTTTGTCCAACAACCCCTCCGCCCGCTCTCGCCTCGCTCCCTCTCCAGACGACTTTTCCAGACCTTCTCTGGTCTTTTCAGACCCTTAACTTCCCTCCCCACATATCCTTCCTCATTCTCAACAAATGCCTTTTCCCTTCACAGAGGAGGGAAGAAGCTGTAAGTCATGAATCACCTGGTTTCGGACCCAGTCCCAGTCCCTCCTCCCACCACAAATGGTCTTTCTCTACTTCCACCTTGAGTCCCATTTCTATTCCACTCCATCAGAACCATCTGTGATGCATTTGCAACACCCTCTGTATCTTCCACCTGTCCTCCCTGACCCCTCCCACTTCCTGTGAAGATGCTCAGTGTTCCCCTGCTTTATGCAAAAAGACCTCCTTCATCACTGTCCCCCCACCAGGCTGCCTACCTCTGTCCCTCCACCCTGATACTTAGTGACAAACTCAGGACACCAGGGTCTCTTTTTCTTTGTGCCTTATATTTTTATTCCTCAACCTGCTCCAGCCTCAATTGCCAGGTGATGATGCTGTTCCTTCAAAGGTGATGGGGAATATGGGCAGTCTCACCTGGACCAGCTCCACCTCCTTGTCAGGTCCCTCAGTGACATTGCCGGCTTCCCTACCACCAGTCACTAAACCACGGAGCCTCTCAGAGCTCCGAGGGAGGCCTGCTTCTAACCTGTGTGCTACCTTTGTTCTGATAGACATCTCCCAACCGACGACTCCGAATTATGCTCTGCGCTCTGTTCCTTTTTATCAGTTTTCTAATTTAAAAAGAAATTTAAATTTCAGTTTCCATTCAATATTATTTTGTGCTAGCTGCAAACGTACAGCATAGTGGTTAGACAATCGTACATTTTACAAAGTGTGCCCCGATATTTCCAGCACCCACCTGGCACTGTCTGGGTGGTCATCACAATACCATTGACTATGTTTCCCACTCTGCACTTTACTTCCCCGTGACTATTTTGTAACTTCCAACCTGTACTTCGGAATCACTTCAACTTTTTCACCCAGGCCCCAGCCAGCGCTCTCCTCTGATTGCCCGGCTTATATGGCTGCCACAGCTTGGGTTCCCAGAGAAGCGGGCTATCAGATGGAAATCTGCAGCCAAGAGGGTGTTTGGGGACTACTTTTCGGATCCACCCCAGTGGGAGGGAAATAAGGGGGCAGGATGGACAAGCTGAACTGCAAATGAGTTTCTAACGGTGGTGTCGGCTAACTTTATGGAGAGCTCCGAAGCTGGGACGGCCCTTTAGAGTTAGTCTAAGCTGGCGCGAGGGGCCTTCTCTTTAAAACTGCTGCTGACCACTCACCCATACGGGCCCCCCTGAAGTAGGTAGTACCCCCGAGGGAGCTGATCATTTTGAACTCCCAGCCACTGCGGGAGGAAGTTGTTTCTGAAAGAAATCTTGGTGATGCATCACAGCATCAACCATGAGAATCAACTGCTCCCTTCATCTTGTTGCTTGGCAACTACATTTTTGACTCAAACATCTGCATCTTCTCACCATTCGGTCACAGTGCTTCCTCCTCCACTGCATCCTGTCCCGCCGAGACGGCCCCCTGTCCACTAGGTCAAGCCAGAGACCAAGCGGGCCTCCTGAAGGCTTTTCCCTGGCTCCCTGGCTCCTACTCCGTGTCTAATCCATCACCTTCCTGATGACTTCACGTCCTAAATCTCTCTTCCTTCCAGCTCCTGGGTGCCGGCTCTGCGCCACCCCCGGTGTGAGTGACCACCGGAGCTGGTTCAGATGAGGACGTCACTGTCCCAAGTTCTCTTCCATGGCCTCTGTCAGATCAGTCTCCTGTTATTACAGTCACCGTTTCTCTTCACAAAGCACTCCAGCGTCTCATTCAACCAGTGACTGTCAACAAGTCTCTTCTTCACTGAAGAAAACATTCTAATACAAGGCAGAGTTTCTTATCATTAGGGTATTTGTGTTTTTTAAATATTGACTTGAAGATTGAATTAAAAATAATGGGAGTAAATGGACAATAGAAGACAATAATTTTGATGCGTCGATCAACAATATGACAGAAGACAATGCCTTGGCTGGCGTAGCTCAGTGGATTGAGCACGGGCTGGGAACCAAAGTGTCGCAGGTTCGATTCCCAGTCAGGGCACATGCCTGGGTTGCAGGCCATGACCCCCAGCAACCCCACATTGATGTTTCTCTCTCTCTCCTTCTTCCTCCCTTCCCTCTCTAAAAATATATAAATAAAATCTTTAAAAAAACAATATAACAGAAGACAAACTACAAATCCAAAGACTTGTTTTAGTTTTTATTTCCAGGTGAAGAAAATGTTCATCATAAATGATATAGATTTGAACCTGCAGGTAAGTGAAAACTGAAAGGTTTCTAGTCCAGTATTTTTCTCCTAAAAATTATGTTTCTCAAGGGATTTCATGATGTGTTGACATACAATTCTTCTTTCTGCCACTCAGTTTATGTCCTTAAGGCTTCTTGATGATAAAACCGTGAACTGGATGGGGGTGGTGGAGGACAGGGGAAAAAGAGAGAGAAAGTTTTGAAATAAGCATCATTTCTGTTTATATTTATTACAGTATTAGCCCTTTGATATTTCATAGAATTAGTTGTTATTTTTGACTAGGTACTTCTAAAGCATAAAACCACACTTGAAAAAATTAGGCCACCAATTCCTTTTAATAAGCTTAATATCATTTACTACATTAACACTGTTTTTTATTCCACATTTCTAAGTTATTTACTTACTTTTCTCTTAAAAATTAGAAATCCAAGATGCACTAAAACAGTTAAATGACATATAACATTTTTCTCTTTTGAGTTTTACCACAATTAAAACTAAAACTTTTACACACATTATTTTATTGTATTATTTTAATATTTTTTAAAAAAACAGGTGATTTTACATTTGTCAAGAAGTTGAAAATACATTTTTTACTTTTTCATATAAGAAAACTCTGGTAAGTGATGTTAAATTTGCATGTAGAAATTTGTTCCTGATAATAAATACCATAATTTTAATTATTTTTATGGACTTCTGGCCAAGGTAGAGACATAAGTAGACACACTGTGCCTCCTTGCACAACCAGCATAAGGACAATAACAATTTAGAAACAAAATAGCAAGCAGAACTGACAGAAAAATCAAATTGTATGGAAGTCCAATAACCAAGGAGTTAAAATAGACACATTCATCCCGACCCATAGGAGGGGTGGATTCAGGCAGACAGGCAGAGAGGAGTCATGGCAAAAAAGGTGGTGGAAGAGAATGTAGAGAATCTCATGGGAATTTCAGGGGAGAGTGGGAAGGGTTTATAGGGACAAATATAAAGGACACATGAACAAAAACTAGGGGTGATGGAAATGGGAGGGAGGTGGGGAGCGATGGGTGGTGGGCTGGGATGGGAGCAAAGGACAGAAAACTGTACTTGAACAATGATTAAAATAAAATTTAAAAGAAAAAAAATTGGTGGCACTGGGCACGCAAGATGGAAGTAGGGGGACCCAGCGAGGTGGCTACTATGAAGCAGGCCACTGCGCACAAGGCAGCCCGGGCAGTCCCACATTTGCAAGCAGATGACCAGGCAAAACTGTGGAGCAAGATGGACCCCACAGCCCAGGGTCCCAGTGGCGGGAAATAGAACCTCGGGGCACGAATTGAAAACACCTGTGGGGTTAGAGGCACAGAGAGAGACTCCCAACCTCACAGGAGAGTGCATTGGAGAGAGCCACGGGGTCCTAGAACATACACAAGCCCACCCACCTGGGAATCAGTACCAGAAGGGCCCAGTTTGCTTGGGGAAAGGGGCAGAGGGGACTGAAATCTGACAGAGAGCTGAGCAAACACCATTGTTCCCTCTCGGACACCGCCCCCACATACCGCATCACAACCCAGCGACTGGGTTGCCCCACCCAGAAGAACACCTAGGGCTCCGCCCCTCATATGTAACAGGTGAGACAAGACAAAAAAAAATGGCCCGAATGGAAGAACAGATCAAACCTCCAGAACAAATACAACTAAGCGACCAAGAGATAGACAACCTATCACATGCACAGTTCCAAGCACTGGTGATCAGGATGCTCACAAAATTGGTTGAATTTGGATGCAAATTAGATGAAAAAATGAGGCTATGCTAAGTGAAATGAAGGAAAATGCACAGGGAAACAATAGTGATGGGAAGAAAACTGGGACTCAAATCAATGGAGTGGACCTGAAGGAAGAAAGAAACAACCAAACAGAAAAGAAGGAAAAAACAAGAATTCTAAGAAATGAGGAGATGCTTAGGAACCTCCAGGACATCTTTAAACGTTCCAGCATCCGAATTATAGGGGTACCAGAAGGGGAAGAGGAAGAGCAACAAGTGGAAAAGTTATCTGAACAAATAATAAGGGAGAACTTCCCCAGTTTGACAAAGGAGATAGACTTCCAGGAAGTCCAGGAAGCTCAAAGAGTCCCAAAGAAGTTGGACCCGACGAGGAATACACCAAAGCACATCATAATTACATTAGCCAAGATTAAAATGAAAGAGAGAATCCTGGAAACAGCAAGAGATAAGGAGACAGTCACCTACAAAGGAGTTCCCATCAGACTGTCAGCTGATTTCTCAAAAGAGATCTTGCAGGCAAGAAGGGGCTGGAAGGAAGTATTCCAAGTCATGAAAGGCAAGGACCTGCATCCCAGATTGCTCTATCCAGCAAAGCTTTCATTTAGAATGGAAGGGCAGATAAAGTGCTTGTCACATAAGGTCAAGTGAAAGGAGTTCATCATCGCCAAGCCCTTATTATATGAAATGTTAAAGGAACTTATCTATGAAAAAGAAGATAAAAATATGTACAGTAAAATGACAGCAAACTCACAATTATTAATAACCACACCTAAAACAAAAACAAAAAAAACTAAGCAAACAGCTAGAACAGGAACAGAACCACAGAAATGGAGATCACATAGAGGGTTAGCAACAGGGGAGTGGGAGGAGAAGAGAGGGGGAAGGGTACAGAGAATAAGTAGCATAGATGGTAGGTAGAAAATAGACAGGGGGAGGACAAGAATAGTATGGGAAATGTGGAAGCTAAAGGACTTATGACACATGGACATGAACTAAAGGGGGGGAATGTGGGTGGGAGAGGGTGTGCAGGGTGGGGGGGAATGAAGGGGGAAATGGGACAAATGGAATAGCATAATCAATAAAATGTATTTTAAAATAAAATAAATAAATTAATAACTATTGCACATACAAATCGATTTATTTATCAAATTGCCAAAGGGCATGTGTATCACAAGGCATACAGTGCTTTGAGTTCAGACAACTCAGAAAGCATGTTGAATTCATTCATACTTCTAGGAGCTTGCTTGCTTTTAAAAAAATTAAGGAAATTATTGTTTTCCTGTATAATGACCAAAAAGGGCAAGTGTCGCACAACCTAGTATTTCTGAAATTTACAACACGATGACTCCCCCGACGCACAGCACGCCCCAAACCAAGCCGTCGTTGTTACCTTTCTCTTAGGACGCATCTGGGATAGTGCAGCTGCCCTCTGTCACAGACCACTCTCAGCGCAGACTCCGACCCAGACGACTGGGGCAGGAAACTGCCTCCTCGGCACACAAACTCCACGTGCTCGCCATGGATAATCCACGGTCTGTTGTCGAAACTCCACTTCAGGAGCAAATTGTTAGATTGCATCTCAGTAAAAGATAGTCTGCAGGGCTCTGAAGAAGAAAAGGAGAGAGTTTATCTCGATACGTGTTGGTACTACCAGGAAGTACTGTGTTCACTCCTCACCATAACCTTAAAACCCCTGGGCATCAGCAGGCCAGGGAAGGTAGACAGTCACTGTTGACGTCAGAAGACCTGTTCAGTGCTCGCGGAAAACCCGCGCCATTTTCCTCTGTGCTCCTCCACCATGGGCCTCACTGATAGACGGTGGTGACTTGCCTCATCCTTCTAGATGGAGGTGGCCACGCCTACCTGTGTTTCTGCATCATGGTCATCTTCCTATTACAGCACCAGTCACTCTGAGTGCTAATCACTGACATCTTTATCCTGACCACAACGGCTCCCTGATCTGATCATCCCACAGCCCACCACCACCGACCTCATGGATGGCGTGTACCTAGCAAGGATTGGTTCGAGCCAGCTGGGCTACAATTATGTATGATCTAGAGCAGTAGTTCTCAACCTTTCTTTTTAATCTCATGGCACACATACACTGATTACTAAAATTCTGCAGCACACCACACTATGTACTATACATATTTTGCCAATCTGACAAAAACGTAAGTGTAATTTTGATTTGCTCACAATGATGGCTGTTTTTATGTTGGCTGTTGTCACTTTTTTATTTGACAACATAAGGGAAAAAAGGTGAGTGCCCCAGAATAAACAGTCAGGTATTGCGTGTTTTAGAAATTCATGTGGCACACTGGTTGAAAATCACCAAGGCAAGAATAGAAACTAGTGGTGAAATAAGCCTTCTAACAAAAAAATACAAATGCAAGATGTTAAGCATTATATTACTGTTGGAACAACTCAAAGAAAACAGAAAGTGGAAGAAGGTCATTTTGTCTTATTAAATAGAGACATAAAGAGTAGCACATACCTAAACAGGAGGGCGGTGCAGTCCACACTCCTTCTAAACAGTAGGACTCTTTAGACCCTTGTAGGAAATAGTACTGCAAACACCTGTATTCCACCAAGGAGCCGTTTTCATAGGGTTCGGATTTTGCATGAACAATGTCTCCATTTGCAATCAGTGGAGGAGATGCACATGTTCCTTTAGACTCTGCAAAAATACGCACAAGGAGATGCTATAATCAGTGTCCAGTGCTCTTGCAATTGCTACAGAAAGACAATGAAATATTTCATGGAGAATCATGTAGAAGCTGGTTCTCAAATAAGTTTTAGATATCAGGAGCATTTCTGCAATGACTTCATAGTATAAAATTGACTGTTGCTGTTAGAATCTCATATTATACTATTTAAATATACATTTAAAACTAGCCAAGACTTGACCATCTTGATTTCATTTTTGTCTTTCTACCTAGCTGAAAGTGAATGTATGCAATTCCCCCTGAAGCCACCCTTTATATATTCTCTTCCTTTTTCCTTCTCACAAGTCAGAGTTTTAGGTCCAAGGAGCACACGCAATCTGTCCCTTCACACCAAGCCCCTCCTGAGAGGACACTCCTCCCCTAGTCTGATGGCATTTATCCAACTTCTTGACTTCTCCCTTTATAATCGCGACTGATTGAAATTAAATGAGGTCAGCATAGTCTCCCTAATTAAGTGTTTGGGTTGACTGGAAATTGACCAGACCATTCCCGGTTTTATAGATCCGAAGGTGAAGGTGGCGAATTGCTTTGGGATCCAAGGGGCGACCTTGGCCCCTCGAGGACCTGTGGCAGGCACTGCTGTTTTACCTTTTCTCACGCATCGGGGGTACTCCACGTGCCCCCTGTCGCACTGCACGGACAATGCAGACAGCGGGGTGGATGGAGACAGGTCGAAGCCCTCCTTGCACACAAAATCGATCAGGTCTCCGTGTAAGACCTTCCCCGCGTACTTCCACTTCACCTCCATGTGGTTGCTCTCCATGTCCTCCTCGCTCACGGTGCACGGCTCTGCAAGACACGACGCTCCTTTCAGCCCTTCGCTCACCTGGCAGCTGCAAAAGTGATACAGTCCCAAAATAGAGACAAGGACAAGCACCGACAGCGACACTGGATATTCCACATTCATCACAGTTCGCCCTCCTCCAACACATACAGAATGGAACACTTACTTCTCATTACTATCAGATGGGCTTATACACTCCCTACCATCTTCATGATATCCTGAATTGTAATGACTGACTTTGTTTTTTAGAATTTAAAACAGTGTTTGCAGTACAGATGCCATGCAATACTATCTTAGTCTCAGGTGTACACCATAGTGATTAGACATTGATGTACCTTACCCAGTGACCACCTGCTAAGTCTAGTAACCATCTGACGCCATATGTAGTTATTGCAATATTATATTCCCTTGCTTTTGTGGTCTACAGAGCTAATATTTTTAATGGAATGACAATTTGAACTTACAGAGAACTTATCATTACTATCAGTAGAAGTCACAATGGCCCAAGTTAATTGCAACTGTAGTGACTGGTCACAACACTTTTAAATGTCACCCTGACTAGCAAAGTTATAAAATGAGGCAAAACTCTAAGCTGAAAAGGACAGGTGAAGGTTATTTTCTTAATGTTTTCTCAAAAGTGAGGCACTCATTTAGAAAGCTGCCCCAGTTCTCTGCTGGAAACATTACCACCAGCTACACCCCATCCCAACGCAAAATGTATTTACAGTCACTACAAATACATTTTTATTTGCTCAGCAAAGTATAAAAAAGGTGACCAACCATTCAAGCAAAGAAGTGGTAGCAAAGAAACCAATAATAATATGCCATACTAAAGAATGAAGTAGAGCCCTGGCTGGTGTGGCTCATGGACTGAGTGCCAGCCTGCACAGTGGAGGGTTGCAGGTTTGGTTCCAGGTCACGGCACGTGCCTGGCTATCGGGCCAGGTCCCTGACTGGGGGCATGTGAAAAGCAACACATTGTTGTTTCTCTCTTCCTCCCTCACTTCCCCTCCCTCTAAAAAATAAATAATGTTTTGAAGAGTGAATTAGATTGATTAGGGTCTCTCCAAATGACATCCTGAGTACCATGCAAGCAGAGACATTGAGTTCTACACTCGTAAGACATTTCAGAAAGGCAACCCAAAAAGTAGCTAGTCTCGAAAACATAAATACACTTAATACCACTGAAATGCACCCTTAAAAGTCATTAAAATAATAAACTTTTTTGTTCATCTTTTACCACAATTTTTAAAAGTAGTGAGTAAGAACAAATATAGTCCTAGACCCTAAGCTATTGGAGATTGTCTGCTTAGAGAAATGATAAGGGGAACCAGGTGACAAAACTTACACAAAATCATTATGTCCATGTACAAATCATTGTATGAAAATCACATAAAAATACGGACATAATGGTAAAAGAAAATAGACAAGTTCTAAGGGAAGTACGTTCTAGGGTCTGATGTGCAGTGTGGTGACCACAGTTCACAGCACTATTCACATACCTGACAGCTACCAAGTGAGTAGACATTAAACGCTCTCATCAGAAATAACAACAGTCCTGGCTGGTGTGGCTCAGTGCATTGAGCACTGGCTGGGGAACCAAAGGGTCGCTGGTTCCATTCCCAGTCAGGGCACATGCCGGAGTTCCAGGTCAAGTGTCCAGTGGGGGACACACAATGTGTGGACAAACCACACATTGATGTTTCTCTCCTTCTCTTTCTCCCTCCCTTCCCCTCTGTCTAAAATAAAATCTTAAAAAATAATAACAACCAAAAATGGGAATTAGGTGAATGTCAGCTCTGTAAAGTCACCTGACTGTGGTCCTTTCTCAAGGCTCTGTAAGTGCATCACATCCTCAGGCCGGTACCCCTCACTCTGACGCAAGGTTATACGTCAGTCGTCTCCGTAAAGCTGGGGAAAGCTTCTGAAGAACATTCGGTGCGTCTTACCTAAGCAAACAGGCGGGGCGGACCACTGGCCGTGCTGACACCGAGACCTTCCTTCCCCCTTCAGTAAGTAGTACTGGTGGCACTTGTACTCCACCGAGGAGCCCGCTGCGTAGCTCACCAGCAACCTGCCGACAACAGCCCCGTGTAGGATGTCAGGCGGAGGCTTACACGTCTCCCTGTTTGCTGAGACAAAAGGTTATTTGGAAACTCCTGTGACTGAGATGAAATAATACAGTTCCCCACACAACAGTGCACCAATGGTTGAACCATCTAATTTCGACACCTGCTTTCTAAATTCACGGGAAACCAGAAATGTGATTCTGCCCCTCCATTTTTCAAATGTCCTAAGCGAGACCGAGCAGCAAATGTCTTGCCTTAGATCGAGGATGAATATTTTCCACTTTTCTGGCTTGTGGAAGAACCATGATATACATATTCTTAGAATGTGTGGAAAGGTAAGCAGTGCCCTTTAACCCGATGATCGGGGGCGAGTCTAAATACGTCCCTGGTCATCACCCACGTTCATTTTCTCCTCAGTCTCCTTCGGCTCCACTGGCAGTCAACCCAGGGACCAAAATTTCTATCCCCTGTTCTCTTTCGAGTCTTCCGCTAACTCTGCTAACTTCTCCACCATCTCTAATAGCTTTTCTTTTATGCAGTAAATGCCCTTGGTGCACGTGCTCATGGAGGCCTCCCCGGGACCCGATGGAGAAACAAAAGGGAGAGCAGGAGGGGGCACCCAGGGGTGGTGGCGCACCCGGGTTGTGCCCTTCAGCACAACAGGAGACCAGGGACCCGTCTCAGGGGTCAGAGGCTCCGAAGGGCCAGGTGCATAAGCACGATCAGCAGGGCTGCCCCAGGGTCAGGAGCAGAGGGCTGGGTCCTAGCAGGGCTGTCCCGTCTGCAGCCCGCGGGCCACATGCAGCCTGGCATGGCTCTGAACGCGGCCCAACACAAAATCGTAAATTTACTTAGAACCTTTGTTTTTGCTCATCAGTGTTCGTTAGTGTTTGTGTATTTAGTGTGTGGCCCAAGGTAACTCTTCTTCTTCCAGTGTGGCCCAGAGACGCCAAAAGGTTGGACACCCAACGTAGGACACAACGGGAGAGGAAGCAGATCAAGGTCATGGCCAGTCCCTCCATCCTTCATGTCCTTGTTCACCTCCTTAATGAAGCCCAGCGACACTGACATGCTGTCATTTAAATCTCCTGGGCGGTGGTGTCAAACAGGGCAGATCAGAGCGTCAGGCCTAATGTACATTCAAAATTGTTGGGTTGTTGTTTTTGTAAGTTCCCCAGTCCCTTGCACTGGCTGCCATGCTGCCGATAGACACACACAGACAAACGGCAGATTCCAACTCCCCTCTGCTGCGGTCTCTTGCCCTTAGGGTGCGGGTGAAAGAAAAGGAACAGGAATTTTTACACGATCCTCTACATCCATGCCAATGCAGCACACATACCCACACACTCGGGGGGGCGTGTCCAGTTCCCACGGGTACAGGTGATTTCTTTCGGTCCACGGAGGTCGTAACCACTTTGGCAGCCGTACGCCACTGTGTCCCCACTGTAATACACCCCGGAGCGGAGGTTTGCCGCGCCGTTCTCCACCAGGGGCGGCTGCCCACAAGCTGCCTTCTCCGTCACTTCTGAAAAGGCACAATTTCCAGAGAAGGGACCCTTAGCGACACGGGGCGGCGTCATTGTGGGGAGGGCTGGGGGAGCTGTCGCTAACCAACGCATTTGGGAGGTTCCGTCCAGGTCCCGCTGTGACAGCGAATCTGGTCCGACCCCCGAATCTCGAAGTCCGGGTCGCACTCGATGCGCACGGCTTCTCCGTGGTGGTACGTGGCCGAGTAGGTCGGCATCTTGGAGTTGGGAGGCAGCGGTGGAGGAGGGCAGCGGCTCCTTCTCCCTGAGGGAGAAATACCCGCCTTTGCAGCCATCGGGTTACCAGAAGAAGCGATGCCTAAGATTTACTGGGCGCGCGCGCTGTGCGCAGCGCCACAGGAGCCAGGGCAGGGGCCCAGCCTCAGGCCTCCATCCCCAAGGTCGAGCCCCCCGCGGCCCACTGGTCCCCGGGAGCGGGAAGGGAGGCTGGCTTCGAACCCACAGAGCACAGCGCAGGGGATGGGATGGATGGATGTGCTGCGGATGCAAGATTTTACAGCATCAAGTCCTTCTTGCTGAGAGAAGCAAGCTGCCTCACCCCCCCCCATGAGCTTCTGGGGGGCCAGGGCGGAGGGACGGCTTCCCCCCCCCCCCACGCAGCCAGCAGGAGACTCACGCCCTCCGCTCAGCAGCCCGCAAAGCCCTGGGCGCCCCCAGCATCCCCGGGAGCGGGGAGGCCAGGTCTTCCCCAGTTGAGCCTCACAGGAGACCGCAGCCCCCCCAACACACCTGACCGCCGCTCTGGTAGACGCGGAGGCAGAGGAGCCGGCCGAGCTGTGGCCTGAGTCCTGAGCCCCGAGGCTGCCCAAGGACCCAAGGGTGCGCTGTAAGCTGCCAAGGTGGTGACGACGTGGCTTCGCCCCAACAGAAGCCTGTGAAACTGCACCCACAGTCTTGGCATTTCACACCCACAGTCTTGTCTGGCCCTACAGTAAGCTTCCTAAGTGGGGAATGGAGCACCTCCCACATTCCAGAGAAATGAAAACTCATAAAGCAAGCAAACCATTAGTTAAGTGAAGGATGTATTCTTGAGCCTGTGTCTCTCTGAATTAAAATCTGTCCTTAAATTTATAAAATACTGACTCTATTAATTTCCTACAGCTGCTGCGGCACATTACCACAATGCAGTGGCTTACAATGACAAGTTTACTTTTCAATAGTTCTAGAAACCAAAGTCCAGGCTCAGCCTCCAGGGGCTAAAAGTGGGTGTCAGGAGAGGCCTGTTCTTTCTGGGGGTTTTGGGGGAAGCTGTGCGTCTTGGCCCTTTGGAGCCTCTGAAGGTCACCTGCATCCCTGGCTCATGACCCCTCCCCCCTGTGACTCCAGCCTCTGGCTCCACTGTCCCTCTGCTCCGTCAGTGTGACGGTCTTGTGCAGGTAGGGCTGGGCGGGCGGGGAGGCACTATCCAGGCTACGACAGGGGGCCCTCCCTCTACCCGCCAATGACCAGAGGAAATGCAAGCACTCCTGGACACGCTGACCCATTTGGAGGGCCGGGGCCTTTCACGCCAGGAAGGGGGTGGCCAGGCAAGACAGGTCCCCGCAAGGCTGCCGGCTCGGGATAAACACGTCTAGTGCTTCCCTATCCGGACAATGGATTCATTACAACCAGGGGCGTAAACTTTATAAAGGAGCTTTCCTTTAAAAATGAGGTTAAACTGCATATCCGTTCTGCGATCTCATGCAAAACTTAAGATGTCTTTAGATTAACTGGATTAAAGATTTCTGAAAATAGCCCTGATGTAAAAGACAGTATTTATTTATTAAAAAACAGCACTGAGGAGAAGAATTCGATGCCATCAAAGACATTTTTTTCATGGAAGTAGAGCCGGTTAGCTCATGGTTTTCATAGAAGTGGAGCACAGCTGTGTGTGGTGCCGGGCGGGGCCTGGAGATACCGGGGGGGCCGCTACAGAAAGTACACGATTGTCTGACCACTCCTCCGTACCATTCAAATGCATGCAGAATAATATTAAATGTAAACAGTAACTGAAAATATAACTGGAACTTAAAAAAATAAAGTATAGAAGTATTTTATTTAAAAAAAGAGAAAAAAGACAGGATATTGTATTTGTATGCGTGAAATTTTAAACTTTACCTTCACATACAGGAGATTCGGGGTACCAGCCGAAGTTATAGCACTGAATTAGATCAGAGCCACTTAGGTAATAATTTTCGTTGCAGAAAAACTGAACTACATCTCCTTCTTCATAAGCTTGCTTGACAGGGTGAAAATAACTGTTTTCTATTGATCTTAAAGAAGGGCAGTTTAATTCTAAAAATACAAAAAGACAAATGAAAACACAAAGAAGTGTTATTTTTCCTGCTAGAATAGGATTCACCCACCACTTATATGTCATATCTGGAATAGAAATGTCAAAATTCACCATATTTTATTATATAAAATAAAAGCTTGTCAATTCATATATTTATTAAATATCATTAGGCCAATTTTAATTTAATTACTTGAGTAAAAGGATTTCTTTCCTATGAGACAGGTTTTAAGGATGAAAGCCTACTGTCAACATAATTAAAAGCAGCAGCAAAAAAAAAAAAAAGAATGAAATTGAACATAATTAGCGTCAGAACTTATACACACGGCTGCCCGAGAGGACACTTGCAGAGGGACAGTGAGCGTTGCAGACCAGAACCTACTGGCGCATTTCGGTGGGAGGGACCACCCAGATGAGTGACACTCGGCCTCCTCCGAGGTCCCGCCCCCGGCGGTGAAGTAGCCGGGGTCGCACTGGTACCGCACTCGGTCCTTCACGCGGAACCTCTTCTGCGCCGTGGAATAATTCCCGTGGTGCAAGTCCGGGGCCACGCATGTCTCTGACAGAAAGGACAGGCGTTTTTGTCATGGACTTCGTCACTGACCTCGGAATAGCAAAAACAAGTCTCCCGATGAATTGTCACTGAATCTTGAGAATATACGGCGGAATCCAGCCTTGGAGAAAATGGGGAGGAGTCCAAGGTCGCTTTGCCTCTCCGTTCCCCTTTTTCCTCACGCGCCTTGCACCCTAGCTGCACCCGAGTTCTCTGCTGGCAGTTCGAGTCTAGTGCGTTTGACCGAAAGCCAAGTTCAACAGAAGGCTCAGCAATTTTTGATCATGCACCGTTTGTGGATTTGTGTAATTTAAACAACTTACAGCACACTACCAAAGTGTGCTCATCTGCATTATTGCATCACTTTAAGTACATCTGAGATTAGTCTACAATATAAACCAATGGACGTTGTCTCGGTGTCTTCTCTGGAAGAGGAAATAGTAACTTGCAAGACACAGGTGTATGAAGGTATTTTCCTTTTATTCCACTTCAACTTTTTTAGATTTTATTTATTTATTTATTTTTACAGAGACGGGAAGGGAGAGAGAAAGAGAGGGAGAGAAACAGCAAAGCGTGAGATACATGGATCGATTGCCTCTCACGCACCCCCAACCCTGGGGACCTGGCCCCCAACCCAGGCACGTGCCCTGACTGGGGGTCCTACCAGCGACCTTTTGGCTCGCAGGCCGGCGCTCAGTCCGCTGAGCCACACCAGCCAGGGCTGCACTGCAACCTCTTTGTTATTAGTGTCAAATGAGAACAACTGGAGTAGGTGTGTTGTGGGAGTTGAGCACCTCACATAAAGGAGACATCTGGCATTTGAGAAAAACAATGGGATAACCCCCTACGCTTGCAGACAATATGAAAACCTGATTACGTTCAATAAAAACACCCATCCATACATGAAAATAGTAGCCACATAAGCTCTTCTCATCAGGTTCGGCAGATGATGGTTAAGCACTTACCCTGCTCCTTCCTACAGGCCGGCGGAGAAGACCACCCCTCGGCGAGACAGTGCACGACCTCTTCGTCCCGGCCCCCCGGGGTCTTGTACCCCGAGTTACAACGGTAACGCATGCCCTCCTGCACCGTGTACAGCAGTTTTGCCTCGGGGATGTGCCCGTGTGTCAGGTCAGGCTTCGTGCATTTCTCTACGGGAGAAAATTGTCCTTGGCTTAACTTGACGAGATTAAGCTTGTCTTCTCCTCACTCGCAAAATGGAGGCAGAAGTATGATGTTATTCTTGGAATTTTAAGGAGAAAAAATGTTCACGCTACCATCCTTGATTTCATTTAGTTTTGGAAATAACCTACATATTCTGCGTCAAATTTATTTAAAAACGGATTCAGTTTGACGGTATCATTCTTTAGCTCATACCCCCATTCCTCCCTCTGCCACGTCTACTTTTAGAACATAGGTTAATGGCAAATAAAAAGGGATCTTTTGGATTTACTTCCCACTCTTTGAAGCCCACGGTGTTTGAGGACTTCTAACATCATTAACGAAAGCGCGTTCCTACCTCCTGGATCTTTGAGTAACTCTGCACACGTCAGCCCTCGGCCGGTTTCGCGTTAGTCCTTAAAGGGACTCAATTGCATCTCTGTTCCTTGCAATGTGATGCTTACCAATTTCAGTAATTATTTCGATTTTCTTCACAGGGAATTATGAGCAAATTAAAAAATAATATTTTAAGGAAAACGTTATTTCAGAGTATGCCTTCATTTGGAGGGAAAAAGACAGTGGACCGGTCCTTCCGCTGTTACCTACCGAAAGGACTCACCCTCGTACTAGCCCCTTACGTGTATGGCCGGAGGGACTACAGAGAGGCAGGTGGGCGCGCGGCGGGGACTTACTGAAGCACCAGGGCTCCGGGGACCAGCCCTCGGCCGTGCACACCGTTTTCTCCTCTTGCTTCCCCGAGAGCGTGGTGTGGCCCGCCAAGCAGGAAAATGACACTTTTTGGTTTACGCTCATTGGAAAGTAGAAACTTTCAAAAGTATAGTAATATAAGGCGATCCTCCCATTTTTCACACGAGGAAGACCGCAGGGCTTCTCTGGAATGAGAAAAGAATCAAGCTGGAAGCCAAAGAACGGACCTGAGACCATGAACTCGGTGGCCCAGCAACAAGACGTGCACTTCAGAGCGTTTGCAGACACGGGGACTAGGACTTATTTCGAGGACCTCAGGTTTGAAGTAGCTCTGTGACCGTCCCTTCCCGTCGGACGTCAGCGGCAAGCAGCCCCGACCCCCGACACACGGGCAGATGGAAAGTGGGGGGGCCGCTGCCCACGGAGGAGAGCCCTAGCTCCATAAGGCAGCGCTTTCTACTAGAGGCATCACGCATGTCATTGGAGGGTTGCTAGAAGCCACATTATAAAAGGACAGTCAAAGTTAACTTCAATAATAGGCTTCATTTGCCCCTGTGTGTTAAAAATATGTCTCATTCTTTTTTTTTTTTTTTCCTGACTAAGTCTGTGTGGCTGTGAGTCTTGACAGAGAGAGCACAGCCCAGTGTGGGCCAGCCGCACCTCAACAGCCGTGAGTGGCCCCGGGCCAGCCGAGGTCAGGACAGGTGAAGCTCAGCTTCATGCACGTGAACCTGGGATCGGAGTGGGAACAGGAGGTCATGGTCTCTATCTTCAGGTGGCATATGTCTTTCGTTTGTGCAAAAGAAGACTTTAACCATGGAATAATTAGAACATGCTGGGATATTGCAGTGTTTTCATGGTATATCTAATAGGCAACCCTATCAGCTGGCTTTTCTATCCTGATTCAGACAGAAAAATAAAGCCAAAGGGAAACATTCATGGAAATGCTATCTTATTGTGCAATTAAATGTATAAAAACAGGATGTGTCCTAATGATTGCACTTACATAATTTTAATTGCAGGCCCTCTTTTTCATAGAAAATGTGTAGCAAACTATTCAACCGAAAGCAATGATAATGTGTTTGGATGTTTTATTTCGGCAAATTCCCTCCGGGGTTTACTTTAGAAAAGTCCCGACGCTGGGCTTTCCTCCTTGGCCCCCTCAGACTGTCCGACAGGGAATCACCTGGCGAGTTTCTTATCTCTGCAGCCTACTAACGCGTCCGCTCGCCACGGCACCTCCCCCACACTAACCTCACACTAGGCCACCGCCAGTAAAGATTGCCTACCGATACGGAGTCCACAGCGACTGGTTTGTCTCAGCAGTCCTCACTCACAGCTGCTGTCCCACGGGACTGTTAACAGAGCCCCTTCCCTCTCACGCGTGTCCTTGTTAGCAGGGTCCTCCTGCTAATCTCTATTTAGTGACTTCAATCAGTGAGTGAATCAGGATGAAAATCAGTTTCAAGAGCCAAAAACTTTTCTGCCCCTTTATGGCTCTTGCTTTTACACATTTCCCACATTCCACTCTCACTTTATGGACAGAGAACTAGCTTTCTCCAAGCTCTGCAGCGCTAGGAACGGATCACGATGTGGCGTGGTCGTGGAGGCAGCGTGCTGCGGCTGAGTGGCCGCCCTGTGAGGCTGAGCCCCTTTAAAATACTTGGATCTTGTCCTCCTGAGCCCTAAATCCTGGGGATGCCAAGGGTTTGGGGTCTTCTTCCGTCTTTCTAAGTTCTGTTGCTGTAAGAATAGTTCACTAGTTTTTTCCCAAAGGAACACAATTTATCTAAAAATTAGAACAAATTATATTTATGAGAAGTATGCTTTTTATAAAACTGATACAGAAAAATGAAAGCCTATATTAAAAGCTCAAGTTAAATGAATATTAGAATTTCCTTGGATAATTTTGAGAGAATAAAGAATATGAAAAATTAATTTTACCTTCTGCATAGAGTTCTCCTGAGATGATTAATATGATAATAAAAGCGAAGTCTTTTGACCTCATCTTCAATGGTGCGCTTAACAAAGATTTTTAACAATTTGAAAGCCCTAGGGACTCCTCATTAAGTACATAATACTTCTCTGCAAGAAAAAGTTAATTATTTACAACATCCATCTAAGTCTCTGGGAAACAAGTTCAGCCGAAATATTTTTAAGCAATACTGAAATAACGGAACTAAGTTCACTGACAGCACTTCTCACGCCAGAATCCAGCGAGACCGAGGTAACCCATACAGACAACGAGAGCAGCAGCACAAATGATTAACTCAGGGTAACAAACTGGGTAAACTTTCGCCTGGATCCCCTATGAGAACTCCAGAGTAAAGTTCACTGCTGACTTCTCTCTCTACCGCCTTTGATCAAATGGAAAGGAGAACTTCGGGACAGGAGATAATGAACAATGGTTAAAATACAGCGTTGTCTCAGTCACACTGATTTCAGAGGAAAATGACCTTGGTCATCTTAACGAGATCATCGCAACGAGAGAACAATGTTACTGACCATAACAGCTAATTCCAGAGACTTTGTGTTTGTTCAGTGGCAGGTGCGATGATATATCATCCGTGTCCTGGGTGCCCACCAGGCACCAAAGCCACGTTCACCTCTCGTGTAGAGAGAAGTGAAAAACTAGATGAAAATGGCCTCCCCTGGCAGTCTGATGTGTTCTGATGGGTTTTAATTTAAGCCACAAAATGATAATGCTGTCAGGCGAGAGCTAGCATAATTTCAATTCTGTAACTTTTTGAAAAGCACGGCCCATTTGGAGAAAAGTGCACATACCGTAAGGTCACAGGTCAGTGGGTTCTCCCAGCGAACCTTCGGTGAAACCAGCACCCACAACAGGAGGCAGGAGGAAGACAGCCCAGCGCTTCCCTCCAAGCCACCGCCGGCAGCCACCCGGGAACACTGTCTTGCCTTCTGGCAGCATAGATGGGTCTCACTGGTTCATCTACGAGTGAGCTCTTGCCCGTGAGAGCCATCCCTTTCTCTGAGTGCTATTTCCTTCTGTTCCTGCGCCACAGGTTCCCTGTTTCTGTGACTCTTCATGGACATTCAGGTGACTTCCCGTTTAGGAGGATAATATGGCCCCTGCTCATTTTCAATGAATTTTTTCATTCTAAAATGGTCGGTCACCTCCACCAGTGAGATAGGGCATGCAGAGAAATTGCTGCAACGAATAAGGGCTACAAGGACTATGGGAGAGATAGGAGGAGCAACCCCAAAGAGATTTAGGGCTTAGACCCAGCAGGCACCAGCTGGAGCCAACAACAGGCGGCTGACCTCACCCTGCAGGAGCCCCTAGCCCAGCCATGGCCAGCCTGTCCATCTCATGGTGCACATACACAAATGACCAAAATTCTGCAGCACACCAAAAAAATACTTTTTGCTGATTTGACAGAAAATAGGTATAATTTTGATTAATCCACAAAAAAATAATAATAGTAATTATCTACCCTTTGTGCTCCAGAGTGGCTGTAAAAAAGCAGGTGCCTATCCTTGTGCGTTAGGATTTGTGGTACCCAGAACCAACCCATCGGACACAACCTTGACATGCGACAACATGACTGACGTGAGGCCACTCTACCTATGACCTGCATATTTGACCTGCCTATGACCTGGCATTCACACCAGACAGCTGTCATTGTGCTGGCTGTTGTCATTTTTTAATTTGACAATCTAAGGGAAGAGAGGTCAGTGCCCATGACTAAAGAGTCAGGTGTTGCATGTTTTACAAATTCTTCCGGCCCGGTGGTTGAAAATCACTTCCCAGGCCTCATTTCACACTCATTGAGAAACATAAGCATCCTAAATGACACCCGCCCCACACCCCTGTGGTAGGAAACAGAAGCCCATGTAATGACACCACATGGCCCACAGGGCTCTTCCGAGAAGTCTCCGCCCCCTTCCTGGAAACATCCGGAGCGTCCCTCCCCTTAGTGAGTGATTGAGTGCCCCACCCCTCAGTTTAATGAGCCCCAGTGATGAAGTGAACCCCTCTAAGGAGCGGCTGCCTGCCGGTGGAGGAGCCCACTCTCTGCCCTACTGCTTCCCTGATGAACCATCTTTTCCTTTAAACTCCATGCTGGTTAGTTAGGTTTTTAATTCTTTCCTGTTCGAAGCCAGGAATCCACAGTGGGCTGTGGATCTTCAGGTCCCAGGACCCAGAATGCTTGTATCACCTGGAGTCTACTCTGAACACCTTCCACTTTTTTTAAAAGATTTTATTTATTTACTTTTAGAGAGGGGAAGGGAGGGAGAGAAACATCAATGTGTGGTAGGTTCTCACGTGGTCCCCACTGGGGACATGGCCTGCAACCCAGGCATATACTCTGACTGGGAATCGAACCTGCGATGCTTTGGTTCGCAGCCCACGCTCACTCCACTGAGCTACGCCAGCCAGGGCTCAACACCTTCCACTTTTAAATCACATATTGAGCCACCTCTCCATCCACTTGTTTGGATGCTTTTTAAAGTCAGTTGCAGTTATCTGTGCGTGCCCCTCTAAATGCTTAAGCAAGCATATCACTAACTCAAATTCAGTATTTTTTACAGATTATTGTTTGGAAATGAAATGTACAAAGAAATGCACAGCTTTTTTAAGTTTTGGGGTTTTTTTAAGATTTTACTTATTTATTTTTAGAAACAGGGAAAGAGAAGGAGAAAAAGGAGAGAAACATCAATGTGTGGTTGCCTCTCACGTGCCCCCTACTGGGGACCTAGCCCTCAAGCCAGGCATGGCAACTCTTTGGTTCGAACTAGCAACCCTTTGGTTCATAGGCCCATGCTCAACCCACTGAGCTACACCAGCCAGGGCAGAAATGCACAGCTTTTTCAGCGTACCTTCTATGCGTCTTGAACAATGCACACGGCCGTGGACCTCAACCCCCTACCAATTACTGTCAACCCAGAAAATTCCGTGTGCTCCTTCCGAGGTGTAACCCTTCTCTCCACTCCCCTCTTGGCACCCTGGGTTCCAATTTCCCCAATCATATCACCTGTCCGTTCTAGGGCCTTATGAACTTGGAAATACACAAGCGCTCATTGGCCTGAGTCTACCGTCACTCGACATAATGTTTGGGACTTATCCATGGTGCCGTGAGAACAAGTACCTCATCCTTGTTATCGCTCCAGCATTTTCAAAGCCATGCAGTGCTGATGTTGACGAGGCTGGTTGCAAAGGTCACAAAACTAGGAAATATTAGAGCCAGGGTTCAAAGAAAGTCATTTTTTAAGAAGTTAAATATATAAAGAGGCATCAAAATTAAATATCTAACTGTTTAATCATTCAAACTTACTACCACTTACTAATTTTAGTAGCTATACAATGTATATTGCATCTAGAAAACTAATGAAATTGATAGGGGACTTGAGACTTGAAAAAATTTTAGCTTAAGGTAAAAAGTTGTAAGTCTAGCAAGTAATGTGTATGTTGAGCTTTTGTTTCAGCAACTGCAGATAAGGCCCGTCCTGGCTCCTGGGAAAAACAGCCGACCTCCTGGGGCACTGGCTGGAGATTGCCGCCTGGGGACCTGTTGGAGGCATCCAGGCCTTTGTGTTCCAGGGAGAGACAGATGACCACCCGCCTTGGGAACAGCTAACTGCGGAGGGCAGGAATGTTGCAGCTTCTGAATCTCAAAGCCCTCACCGCACCTTGTTTGTCCTCCCCCACCCCCTGATAAAAGATCTGGCCGGGAAAGAGAAGGGAAGATGGTTTGTTAGGGTATGAACCCGCCATCTTCTCAGATCGCCAGCCATCTGAATAAAGCGCCCATAAAAGATTCAATCTCTGTCATTGCTTATTGGATTTCACAGTGACAGGCAGCCCAAACACCCGTGTCTTTTCCCGTTACAAAATGAGCAAGTATATTTAACTTTTCAAAAATTATGTCTGGAAAAATCTTTTCCTTCAGGTAAGAGCAAAGGTAAGCAACACAATTTTAAGTGTTCATTTATTTTTCTGAATCCATCTATTTACTTGGTACAAATGCCAAAAAGCATAAAGTAAAAAGTTGCCGTCACTCAGCTGTCTCCCGGCCACCCAGTCCCACTCCCCAGAAGGCACAGAACGCCCTCCGCACCGGCTGCGCTTCCTCAGAGCCGCCCCGGCACACACAAGCAGAGCCGCACCTTCTCGCTCGTTGCTTTTCTGAGTAACAGCACACACTGCGTAGCTCCATAGCAGTATGTAAAGGGCTTCCTCCTTTCCTGATCAGGAACATCTTCCAGCATATGGACATATAAATTAAATCAAGTTCATGACTGCTGGATAGTAAAGGTGCTAAAATGGCTGCAACATCTAATCCTGTACATGTCTTCTTGCATGTGTGGATAGCAAGTAGAATAAATCCCAGAACTTAATGTGCATTTATAACACAGAGAAATACTGCTAAACGTTTGCAGTGGGAATTACACCAATTAACTCTCTCGGTAACCCAAGGGGATGTTTCCCCACAGTCCTGGCACTTCGAGTTTGCAATGTGATGAGTACAAACATCATCTCAGCATCATTTACATTTCTCGCACAAGTGAGACTGCAGAGTTTTACATGGATTTGAAAGGCATTTTAGCTTTATTTCTGTGCATGGTCTGGCTTTCTTTTTCTGCTGACCAGTTGGTTTTCTCTCATAGACTTGCAGGAAGTTTTTATATATTCAGGAAAATGTAATGGGTGTGTGATTGTTAGTTGCATTATTTTTTTCCTGGTGTGCAACTTATGTTGTAAGTTTGTTATGGTAGGTTTTGCAAGTTAATTAATCTTCAAGATTTTTGGATGTGTGCTAGCTAAAATCACCCCAAAGTTGTATTTTAAAATACCACCTCGTTTCTTATAGTACTTCTCTGGTTGAATTGTGGAACTGATGACTATAAAATAAACCTTTGTGAGCGGTGTCACTGAAGTCCACAGCTCATTTGTCCCCGGAGGTGCATGCTGCTCCAATTATTTATCAAGTAATCATTTTTTATCGCCACTGATCTGAATGTCCACTCTTCTTCCATGCCGGACTCCCATGTATCTTTCAGGTGTACTCATCAATTCTGTGTTCAGCACTTGCTCCAGTCACGACCTCGGCCCAAACTTCTCCTACACCGGCCGCGGGACACTCTCGAGCGTGGAGTGCGCCCCCTCCCCCCCTGCAGTCTTCCTGTTCGGAAATGGCCCATCGGGCCTTGCCTGCCTGCTTCCTGGAATTCCCCTCCTCTGCCTACCTCATCTTCATGGCGCCAATAATCAATGACTGGGCGAACCGTACAAAATTAAAAGTGGGCTAATTAGGACCCTTAGCAAATAGCAACAAGCAAGCTAAATGATAGTATTTTGTATTGTGTGTTCTTAAAATACCAGGCTTTCATTGCTAAGAACAAATATTATAAGTTCTAGAGAGAATAAATCTTGAAAAAAAAACCCATCGATGGAGAAAAAATTGACAATTTAGAATACGGACTGCACTGAATTTTTTCCTCTCGAGAGGAAGCCAAACTATGGTGTAAATAGATAACAAGCTGAATGAGGGATCTGTGGATAAAAATTTCCAAGTATGTAAAAGCATGGGCTTTGTTTGCAAAATCAGAGCTCTGCGATATTCTGCGTTTGCATGTTTTACACTAAACTGAAGACAGCGCCGGGAGCAGAAGGACACCTACTGGAAATTCGGGTTATTACAGTTAAGAAGGCAGCTAAGTTGAAACCCACCTAACTTCGCTCTCAAAAAACTCACCTACAATAAAACCAGCTTCCAGTTACCTTAGAATGCTTCTTTAGTGTCACGTGACCACTGTAGCAAACAGCTGCTTCTACAGTAAAAGGCTCGATTAACTTCTGGCCCAGCCCTGCCAGCCACCGCCCCACGCACGGAGGCACAGCCTTTCAGCTCTTAGGAAGGCTGAGAATCCTGCTGTGTGTTTAGCACGTAAAATTAGGGGAGATATTCTCCATACCAAATAGGCTTTGATGGCCCTGGCTGCTGTGGCTCAGTGGATTCGTAACAGGGTGCAGGCAGGGGCCCCCAAATAGGGATTTGGAATGGGGTCCAGAGCTCAGGGTGTCCAGGAAATATTAAAAAAATATGGGATGTCCTCACTGCCCACCGCCCCCACTCACCACCCCCCCCCCAGGTCTGAGTTGGGGGCTGGGACACAGGGAGCAGGGCCATTGAGAACTGTTCTGCATAGCAACAGCTTTGCAGCTAACCTCAGTCATGGTCATTAACATGTCTATAACTTTCAACTGGTTTCATGGATACGTTAAATAGCTGTGGCCATGGTCTGAGCCAGGGGGATGGGAGTGACTTCCACCCAGGATGTAACTGGGAGGCAACTCCCCCTGGTTACAGCACCTGCGTGAGAGCTTGGAGATGATTGGCTCCACACCATGGGGCCACACCTGCCCAGACCCACTATGGCAGCCCAGAAAAGCTGGAAGAATGCAGGAATGCTGGCAGGTGTAGCCGATTGTGGGAGGACCCGGAAATGGGGCTGCAGAGGATTGACGTGGGGATTTAAACCCAGGCGTGGCAGCCATGGAGGAGAGAACCATGAGCTTTTGGCAGAGTGGGGACCCCCGCGGCCATGTGAGGGAGAATCACCATGCGGCAGAGAGAATCACGCAGCTTTAGCAGAGAACTGCCACGCGGCTTTGCCAACAGAGAACTACGGCTTTGCCAGAGTGGGAAACCCCGCAGCTCTGGCGAGAGTGAGCGCCCCATGGCTGTGGGGTGCTCCCTTTGGCTTAGGCAGCAGGAGAGACCTTGCCTGGAAGAACGATTCTTGCGTGTGGGCCGTGAGAAGGTGCCATGGGGTTTCGGAATAAGAACTGGAGATCCCGGCGACACAGCTGACGGAGCCGGGAACCCAGGGAGGCCGACCAGCCGAGACGGATTGCTGGGAAGAACCGGCGGCTGCCTGAGCCATGGACTTCTGTTTTCCTGAGATACTGTAGGAGGGTGCAGCCAAAGGGGCCCCAAACAGATATTTGGCATGGGGTCCAGAACTCAAGGTGTCCAGGTGATTTTAAGATGTCCTCACCCCCACCCCCCAGGTGTGGGTTGAGGGAAGGGACACCGGGAGCAGGGCCGTTGAGAGCTGTTTCCCATAGCAACAGCCTTGCAGCTGCCCTCTGGCGTGGTCTTTTAACATATCTAGGGCCTTTGGCTGGTTACACAGATATGTTAAATAGCTCTGGCCAAGCTCTGAGCCAGGGGAATGGAAGTAACTTTCCCTGGTTACGGACGGAGCCTGGGAGGCAACTCCCCCTGGTTACAGCGCCTGTACCTGCGTGAGAACTTGGAGATGATTGGCTCCATGACATGGGGCCGCACCTGCCCGGACCCACAATGGCAGCCCAGTAAAGCTGGAAGGCTTTGAGAGTTCTGGCATGTGAAGCTGAGTGTGGGAGGAGTCAGAAATGGGGCTGCAGAGGAAGATTGGTGCGGGGATTTAAACTCGGGCTCGGCAGCCATTGAAGGGAGAACCGTGCAGCTGTGGCAGTGCAGGGAGGACCGCGGCCACTGAGGAGAGAACCGTGCAGCTTTAGCAGAGTGGGGACTCCCGCAGCCGTGCAGACACCGTCCGTGATGCAGCCGCCTGCGGCTCCTCTACTGCCTGGCTCCGAGCCCCGGCCGGCTCTGCAGCCGCGGCGGCCGCGAGAAGGGGCCCCCAAGTAAGTGACTCGGGAGCACCGGGTCACTGCCCGGCCACTGCAGCCACTGCCAGGCCTCTGCACACTGCGCCGTGCTCTCACCGCTCGGGCTCAGCCCACCTCGCAGCCACCTGCTCTGGCCAGGACACGATGTGCTCCGCGCTGGCCCTCTCGGTGCTGCTGCTGCTGCTGCTGCTTCTCCCAGAAAGGGGGATCACCCCCCTCCCCGCAGCCATGAGAAGAGTCACCACGTGGCTTTAGCTGGAGATCCTGGCAACACACCAATGGTGCTGGGAACTAAGGAAGGCCTGCCGGCTGAGCACAAATTACTGGGAAAAACCGCGAGCTGCCTGAGCCACGGACTTCTATGTCTTCTCCTGAGATACGGTACCCCAGACTGGGCAAAGGCGGGGAGGAAGGACTGTGTGTGTTTGTGGGTGTTTCAAGGGACTTTGGGATTTTGACAAAGACATTTAGTCATTCTTTTAGTCCGTATAACTTGAATAAATAACTTTTCTTTTTCACCAATCTCTAGCATGGAGAGCTATAATTCTCTGGCTTAGGGAAAGGTGAACCTAGTACAGGGGGACCCCAGGAGAAACGGGGATTAATTCCGTAGCATTGTGGGACCCTCTTTCCTGGTGGCCAATCGGGGAGGATCATGGGAAACCACATGACAGTAGCTTTAATGAAATTACTTGTACATGCTCAGTAAAAGCCCGCCAAAACTAGCCAGGAAGGATCTGCCCTATAATAGAGTCCCTCCAGCCCATGAGGTCCATCTCTGCTTGGAGTTGGCCTGCTCCCGTGTTCTCTTCTATGAACTCTGGGTGTTCGGTTCAATTCTGTGTCCCGATCACTAAGAACCTGTGCCCACCTGTGACAATACAGCACCCCAGACTGGGCAAAGGGGGAAGGACTGTGCGTGTTTGTGGGTGTTTTAAGGGACTTTGGGATTTTGATGAAGACATTAAGTCATTACTCTTAAGTCTGTATGGCTTGAATAAGTAATTCCTTTCCTTTTCACCAGTCTCTGACATGGAGATCCATATAATTAATTCTCTGGTGACAGGAAAGGTGAACCTAGTACAGGGGGACCCCAGAAGAAGGGAGGGTCAATTAGATAACATTGTGGGACCCCCTCTTCCCTGGCAGCCAATCAGGGAAAATCACGGGAGACCACGTGCACAGTAGCTTTAAAGTAACACAACTGCTCGTACATGTGCAGTAAAAGCCCACCAAAGCTAGCCAGGAAGGATCCGCCCTCTAAGAATAGAGTCCCTCCAGCCCATGAGGCCCATCTCTGCTTGGAGCTGGCCTGCTCCCATGTTCCCTGCTATGAACTCTGGGTGTTCGGTTCAGTTCTTTACCCCAATCCCCAGGAACCTGGTTACCTGTGCCCCCTGGTGACAACACTGCAGGCGATTTCAGACCAGTTAGGCATAGTCCTTACTCTAAAAGCGTATTAAAAATGGAGCAGTTACATGGTCTCTCCACTTGTAGCCGCTACTGACTTCACGCTACAGATTTTTTGGGCTTCTGTTCCTTTACAGACAGACTTCAGATCCCGTCGGGTCTCACACAGCCGCCGGAACCGGGCCGCCCGGAAGCGCCCGGGCTCAGGGCTGGTAACTGCGACCCGAAAGTATGGAACGCCGGTTGGTTTCCACGCGGAGGCATCTCAGGGCCGGGGCACGCGACCAGAGGACAGGTTCCCGTTCTACACGGTGCCCTGGCCTTCCCCGGTCACAGGGGAACCCCGGCGGGTTCGAAGGGAGGGGCTGCAGCGCTTGGCCTCCCAGGGGGTGGGGTGGGGGGCGGTGGCTGGTCGGCTGCCTGTCCGGATGGCCCAGGCAGTCACAGAAACAGATGGGGATGCGGCCGGTCAGCCTTTCTGGGAGTATTTTATCCTCCTAGCGCTGTGAGTTGGCACAACCTTAAATTTCCGACCCTTGTGCCAGGAAAACACCTCCATTCATCCACAAGACAGAGCTATAAAGGGTCCCGTTGCCTTTAGGGGCAGGACAGTGTTCAAACTAACATAATGTTCTTCTAAGACAACGGACACCGACATTTCAATCATTTTAGGAACATTAGTTTCTTGCGTGCACAAAGCTGTTAATGAAACACAAACATGGAAACGGAGTTTATGTGGTACATTTATTTTTTAATTTTAAAACAAAGCAGATTTTAGAAGTTCTACCCCGAATCCAGAACCCAGCTCCACGAGTCCTTGCGCCGGGCGCGGGAAGGCCTGCGCCTGCCCCCTCGCTAGCAGGGGACGCCCAGCGTGTCCATCACCATCTGAATGGCCTGCAGGGGGGCTGTGATTTCTGCCATGCCGTTGTCCCGGCCCAAAACCCAGTCCGGCTGGAGCCTGCGAAAACGGTAAAGGTCTTGCGTCACTCAGGCTCTTCTCTCGGAAGAGTCTCCTTCGCCCTTGGGCCTGCACTAAGACCTGGCTGCCCCTGAGCCCACGCTTCCCTGGCACCAGGCCCAGCAACTCATCCCCTTCGCTAACGCCGCTGACTCCCACCCCTCCCAGCTACCAGGTCAACCGGAACGTCCTGTCCGCACTTCGGGGCGAGCCTGGCACCGCCGGCCCGGTGCAGGCCGATCACCCGTGCTCTGGCCCCTGGCGACCGCTGCACCGTGACGAGGACAAGGGACAGGAAGCCGCCCGCACAGCCCCGGGTGAGGAGGACAGGGCCCGGAGCGGCTCCCCGGCACTGGGCGACCGGGGACATCTGCCTTCTTCGGTGTCACAGGAAACCCAGGACCCTCTGTTCTGTCAGCCACACCCACCTGCGCCTGCCCCGCCGCAGCAGGGACCCGCCCTGCCGGCCCCCTCCGGCTCCCCCTCCACCTAAGCGACCTCCCAGCAGCATCCGCCCCCCGAGGGAGACGCCACTGTCCTCGGAACGTCCTCCTCCCGATTAGCCGGTCCCCGCAGCTCCTGGCTGGCTCTGCCCCGTCTGACCTCGGGGGGGATGGGGGTCACCTTGAGACTCAGCTGGGGACTCCCGTTTCTCTGAATTCTCCTCCCCAGGGCGCTTCCTGAACCTACTGACCCCCGTGCACACCCGCAGGCTGACCCGACTGTCCACAGCGCCAGCCCTCGCTGCGCTCTTTACGCAGCTTCTCCCCCTCAGGTGCAGCAGCTTCTCCTCCTGGTCCTCCGCCGTCCCATCCTCAGACGCCACACGCAGTTCGTGGCCGCCTGTCGGCTGAGGTCCGCCGAACGCGCCGACGGACAGCGACGCGAACCCACGGCACACCTGCCGCTCACCTGGGAACTGCCCTGCTTCTCACAGGTGCTCCGGGAGTGCTTCTCGAAGCATTCTTATTGTGTCCACAAGGTGTTCTTTCTCTGTTCACCCCGTGTTTACGGGCCGTGAGTCTGTAGATGCTGTGCACACAGTCCACAACTCTGGGCCTGTCCCAGACATCCTGAAAGAGAAAGACACGCTGACCGACACTAGTGCGGAGCAAACGCGACACTCCGTCTGTGCTACCACGGTCAACCCTAATAAATCAACGCTGTGCAGTAAACTTGAGAGCTTTTAACAGTCGAAGCCCAAGCTCGCCAAGTCCAGAAGTCAGGCTGGCTTGCAGTATAAGCTCATTTGTACGACAATTGTAAGGAAGGCACGTGTTCAAACACTGCACACTTAACACCGAATAGAAAGGCAAGTGTGAGAGTCAACGCCCAGCACACTCAGGCACCGGGCCAGTGGACTCCCGTCTTCAGAGCTGCCGGGGACGCGGCCCTGGGCCGGGCACAGCTGCCGCCTGGACCACCGCCTCCCTGCGCGGGCCCCTCTGCTCCCAGCCCCCACCCCCGACGCGCCCTCCGGAACGCACCCGCACCGGCAGCCGCAGGGCCGTGAGAGGTAAACCCGCGCGCGCAGTGGGACTCACGGAGGCGCGGCCCGTGGCCTGCAGTAAGACCACTAACAGACAGCAAGTTCTGCTGAAGATGCTTCTGCTCTTGTCCGCGACCTTGTCGCCAGGCTTCTCCCGGTACACCTGCAGAAGCTCCAGCAGCGTGTCCACACAAGCCTCCGCCCTGTAGACGGCTGGCATCGTCTTCTCGTACTTGAAGGGGACACGACGAGACGGGAAGTTACGACAGTCACAGGCATTCTTAGGGACAACCCGACCAAAAAAAATACATCTTCCTAGAGCCGAGCTTTCGGATCCTCGGCAGCAAGAGCAGACGACTCGGGAGAAGGACTTCTGGGTGTCCCCGCCAACTCTGAACCCACCTCATGGGATTCACGGCACCTCCCGGGATTCACGGGCGCACCTGCGCTGTCACTTTTCCCTTCCCTACCCACGTGAAGCTTCCACAGACAATGCATCAAGTCCCGACCTCCGACAGCGAAGCCCCGGAGTCAGCAGAGACAAGCCTGCAGTGAGCGCCTCTCGGGATGCAGACGCCCTGTCTCCGCCGGGTCGCCGCAGGCGCGACCGAGACTCAGGCTCGTCTGTGGGCCGCCCTGCGGCCGCCGCTGCCGGGGCGGGGGAGGGGCTGCGCAGGGAGCGCGCCGCCCAGCGGTGAGTCTGGGGTGCTCGTTCCGTGCCTCAGTGCTTAATGGCTCCATTGCCCTTTCTGCAACGGGCGCGGAAAGAAGCGAAGCTGATGACAGGGAGGCCGAAGTAACAGCCAGGCCAGATGGACAGTTCACACGCGTGTGGCACGTCCACACGCCACACCCTGACGCACCACATCCTCCCAACAGCCCTGAGGCAGGGACGTCGCCACACCCACCCCACACCCAACGGCAGGCGGGGCGCAGAGAGGCTCAGAGAAAGCTGCGGAGCTGGGGTTCGAACCCGGGCAGTTGGCATCGGAGTTTGGGACCCTAACCTGCCCTCCTCCCTGCGAGAGTACAGGGCGAAGGGCTCGGAGTGTGGCTGAGGGGCTGGGCGCGGACGGCAAGCCCGCCACCTGCTCACCCTCGGCTGCCTGCGCCCGAGTTCGGTGCCTGGGGCGACGACGTCACAGCCGTATCTCGTCACACGCTGCCGCACGTGCACACAGGAGGGTCCCCAGTTCGGTGCAGTGCGTGGAGAAAAGCCCCAGTCCAGCAGCACACGGACAGGGGTCCGAGTCCAGCTCCAGAGCTCGACACACTGGCGCCCCCCCGCTAAGGGACTTATGTCAGAATTGTTCCTTCTCATTCAAATGGGAATAACGCTATGAAGTGCCTTAGAGGTAGTTCTCAATAAATAAGTCCTCAATCGGAGCTACTAATCGCTGTTAGTAGCACTACAAAGACAGAAAAAACAAACCATCAAATATCAGTGTTTCTTCAGCATCATGCTAGCAGGTTCAACACCTCTCCCTGCCCCCGAGACTCCTGGGAGTAAAGGAATGTTAACTTGGGACCCGAGTTCTAGGGACGAGCAGAGAGAAACCCCGTCCGCCGAGCGAGACTTCTGGGCCCGCGGAGGTGCCACGGCAGGGCAGAAACCCACCTTGGCCACGTTGAGCAGGACCTGCACGGCGTAGCTGACGACGTCCATGCAGGGGACGCTGCGGTTGCAGCTCCGGATCAGGGCCAGCACCTTCGCGACGCCCCCGCTCCCGGCCACGCTCTCGCAGCAGAGCGGGGACAGCCTGGTGACGGCCTCTGCAAGGCAAGGCGCAGCGGTGAGCGCGCAGCCACAGCGCGAGCCCTCGCGAGCACGGTGGCGCCGAGCACGCGCCGCGCAGTCTGCGAAACGCGCATCTGCCGCCTCCCCCGGGCACGGCGGGGACGCGGCAACTGACCCAGGTGCTTCAGAGCCTCGAGGACCGCCGACAGGTGCCTGTAGGTCAGCAGGCCGTGGAGCGCGAGGGCGGCTCTCCGGGACAGCCGGTTCTCTTCCCGGGCCTCCGCGTTCACCGCCTGGAGGCTTCTGCGCACGGCTCTAATCTTGGCACAGTCGTTCTTCTTCCGCCAAGAGTAGCCCCTCCACAGCGCCTGCGAGGCCAGACACCGCGATTGAGAGCCTGCAGCCCACAACGCTGGGAGCTCCTGTCCTCGTGTGTGTCCCCGAAGGCAATGTGCTCGCCAAACGTGTGCGATGTGAGCAGGCCCTGCGCACCTAACACCCCATCCCAGCTGCTAAGGACGAGCCAAATCAACTTCCTAAGAGGAAATGCATTCATATTCCTGCACATAAAGTGAAGTTCATTCCTTGACCAAATATTTAACCTCTATTCAAACTGCTAATGTGCTTTTCATCTCTCAAACATAAATTTCCTCCAGGAACTCTGAAAAAATTAAAAAGGGCTGCAGCAATGAACTTGTGGTAGCTGAGTACTGATGACTGATTCTCTCGGCCAATCTCAGGTTTTCAAAATGCGTGTGACTGCTCTCAAAATGTCAGGTTTCCTGTAAGTGAACTGCTGACCGCGGTCTTGGACTCGACTGACAACAGTCCCGGTCACCTGCATCTGAACGACCCCGTTCCTGACCCTCTCCAGCTCTCTGCGGCGGAGGAAGCGGCGCACGGCCCTCTGGATCAGCGACGCCGCCCGGTGCCGCCTCTGGCGGTCTTCCGCTTCGCGGTTTACGTTTGCGACGCTGTGACATTTCCGCATCTGCCTCCTCAGCTGTAATCTGGTTCGAAACCATCTCTGTTTGAAACGTATGAAGACTTGACTTTAGTTTTTAAGAAGTTAATAAATGCGTGTATACACACGTACCTAATGAAACAGAACCGTTCATTTCTAATCACACACCGGAACCGCCAGTCAGCCCTTTTCGGGGGCGTCACTCCCCGCCCCCGCGCTGACCCTCCGGGCTGTGCCGGACCGTGGGTGCGTCCGACTCCACCCTGCGTAGCCCTTCCTCCCACGAGTTCTGTGAGTCACTTCACGCTGCACGTATCTTTCTGCGATACACGTCTTCGCTGGGTGTTTTATGTGTGAATATGTTAACACGTACAAACAGGACTCATATGCAGGAACATATAGAGAACCCTAATAAAGCAGAAGTGACGATACCCAACATAAAATGGGCAAAGTACACATTAAAAAACACATTAAGAAAAACACACAACACACAGATAAGAATGGAAACCCAAAACAAGAACCGCGCCCCCCCCACCAGGTGCTGGCGAGGGTGCACAGCGGCGCCCCCTGGCTGCGCCGGCAGGTGCGGGAACGAGCGCCTCCCCCAGGGAGTGAGCCACAGCCCCGCTCCCGGGTCGCAGCCCACCCACCTCTCCCCAGCCCACCCGACCACCCACAGCCTGGCGGCAGCAGGCCGGGTGCTGTGCGGCCTCGCAGGGTGTGCCTGGGAATTACTTACCGAACACCGGAAACTCATAGCCCAGTCAGTCACATGCCGCAGTTTCCCTGCAAGGGAGCAGCTCACCTGAATGCGGATGGCCGCACGAAGACGACGTCTGGCTTTCTCCACGGCCAGGTGACGTCGGTAGGCTCTCTGGATCCTGAGCGCGCTCAGGTGGTGGTGCGCAGCCGCGGCGAAGCGAAGCAGCCGAACGCTGGCTCTCTCGCCTGGGATCTAGAGGAGGGAAAACAGCAGTCAGCTAATATTACTTCTGCACAAGCTCAATGTAAAAGGACATAAGTTAGCAATTAACTCTTAAATATTAAGGTGGTCTACATTTCAGTAAGTACCTGCATGTTTAAGGCGCTCGCTTTAACTTTCTGAGACCTCCGTGTCTGCAGACGCCCTCTCGTTCTGGCTTGAACAGTGACAGCGCTGCTCCCGGCCCGTACACACGCCCGTCCCTGACGTCCTGCGGACGGACAGGCTCGCAGGCACGTCGGACAGACCGCCGCCGCCCTCCGCCACCGCGAGAGCTGTCTTCTGGCCCGCCGCGCCCGGAAGGACAGCTGCAGGGTGACCGCAGCCCGTCTCTGCCGGACGAACCTTCTCCGACACGCAGCCGCTCGCAGGAAGGGCTGAATTCGCCGGGCAGCCCACAGCTCCCAGTCCCGGGTCCCCGTGGCCATTGTGTGAAGAGCAGTGGGAACGGCCACCGCAGCCCTGCCTCGAGAGCGACCCGCCGCGGGCCGAGAACCAGCAACCAGAGCCTCAGAGCACACGGGAGGCCCCCCCGCCGAGCTCCGGGCAGCTTCCTGTCCCGTCTCAGCCAGGCCGCAGCGGGAGGCAGGCCGGTCAGCGGTGGCTGCCAGGTCTTCCTCGGCGGTGTCTTCCAGTTCAAGCCGAGCCAGGATGCTCCTAAGTGCAGCCCGAGCAGCTGGAGCAGACGTCTGGACCGCTGAAGAACCCCTCCTCCCTGCTGTCCCTCGGGCACGCGGCCTGCAGGGACTCTGCACCGCAGCCGCCGCGCCTCCCTGTGCTGAGCGGGCAGCGTGGGCCCCGTGCGTGCTGCAGGCGGGCTGAACGGGTGGGGCTGCCGGGGGCCTGCCCGAGGTGCCCCCCTGCTCCCGAGCGTCTCCGTGAGAAGCCGGGAGGCGGAGGGCTGCCAGAGTACGTGCCGCAGCGATCGCTCTGTGTTTCCTGTGGACGCAAGCCACGGCCGCTCTCAAGCGCAGGTGACGCTTCCTCCCTCGGAAGTCTCTGAAGTGCTTCTCAACAGCGGTGGCAGCCAGCTGTTGCTCCTGACCCTGCTTCCCCACGGCCAAGTCCGGGGAACCCACCTGAACACGGGCTCCGGCTTCCGCCGGCGCACTCGGCGCAAGAGCCTTCCCTCTAGTTGCCCCGTGTTTCTCTTGCATCGCCTGTGTGGCCCACTGACCCTCATGGCAGAAAACAGGCTGCCCGTGCGTCCCGCATGTGCCCTGTTCGAGGACGGCAGCTCTGTGCGCTTCCTGCAGCAGCCGTCTCGCTCTCAGCCCCCTGTAGGCGGCCTGAACGGCCACCGCAGACCGCCTCTGGCGGACGAACCTCTCTCTCTGCAGCTTCGCGGCTCTGCACGCCCGGTAACGCCGCTGCACCAGGACCGCGGCGTGTCTCAGGGCCTGGTAGCTCGCCTGCGCTCGGTGCATCCTGAACGTGGCCTGGATGACCGTGGCGGCCCTGCTCATCTCTCGCAGCCTCTTCCTCACCGCCCACCCTCTCACCGCCGACTGGATCGTGATCACGGCCTGCTGTAACCGCAGAAACGCCAAGTGATGCCTCGCGAGAACTCTGGCGCGGTACCTCCTCTGGACGCAAAGAGCAGCTCTCCGGAGAGAGAGGAACCTCCTTCTCGCCCTCAGAGCCCTGAATCTCCGCTGAAAGAGAGCTGCGGCCGCGTGCATGGCTTTGACACGCCTCCTGGCCCTCGCGCCCCGGAACACAGCCTGGAGGAGGACCGCGGCGCGCCTCAGCCGCCTGTACCTTCGCAACTGTTCCTTCCCCGCCTTCAGAGCCCGGAACCGGCGCTGCACAGCTTCCGTGGCCGCCTTCACCTTCCTGAAGCGCGCCTGCTCCCGGTGCCTCCGGTAGTGCGACTGCACGACCACCGCGGCAGCCTGCATCTTTCTGAGGCGCCACCGAACCCGCGCTCCCCGGAAACTCGCCTGGAGAATGCCCACGGCTTGCAGAACCGCCAAGTACTGTGCACGCTGGGCTCTGCCTCGGCGGTAGGCCCTGTATCGGACTTGGATGACGACAGCCGCTGCTCTCATTTTGCAGTACCTCGTGGTCAACAGGTGCGTCTGGAACGTGGCTTTGATGAAGGTGGCTGCCGCGTGCATCCGTCGAACATGTCTCCTGACTCTCCTGCCCCTGTAAACGGCTTGGATTCTGGTCGCCGCCTTCCTTAAACGAAGGTACGCCTCGCGCTGGCGGTGTGCGACTCGGGCACTGCGGTACCACCTCTGAATGGCGACAGCTGCGGCCCGGCGCCTCCTGGCTCTGTAGGCTCTGTACCCGGCCTGGATGGTGCTCGCGGCCCCACTGCGCTCCTCTGCTCTCCTCCTCCTCTCCCGCAGCCGGCGGTAGGCCGACTGCAGCACCAGGACGGCGGCCCGGGTCTTCAGATACGACAGCCGCTGCCTCCTGGCCCAGCAGCAGGCCCGGTACCACGTCTGAATCAGGCGGGCGGCCTTTCTCGTGGCCACCCACCTGCGGCGCTGCGCGTGCATGCGGTAGCAGGACTGGATGAGCACGGCACACTGGTGCTGCCTCCGGACCTGCCTCCGCGCTGCACGGCCCCTCCACGCCGCCTGCAGGGCCAGCGCCGCCTGTCGCAGACGCAGATAGTCCCGGCGCGGCGCCCGGCCAGCGGCCTGCGCCCTGCGACGCCTCTGGAGGGCCAGCGCAGCGGCCTTCAGCTGTTGAAAACGCCGTTGGGCCCGGGCCCGTCGAAAGGCAGCCTGAACGGCCACGGCCGCCCGGCGTTCCCTGCGGACCTGCTCGCGAACGCGCCAGCCCCGGTAAGCGGCCTGGAGGGTGAGCGCCGCGGCCCGCCTCTCCAGAAACTGAGTCCGGAGAGCCCGGGCAGCGCGGCTGGCCCTGTACCACCTCTGGATCCGGACGGCGGACTGCAGCACGCGCCGGTAGTTCGCCCGCTCCCTGTGGCCCCGGAGGGCACTCTGGATGGTCAGCGCGGCCAGGGCCCGCCGGCGCAGGAGTCGGCGCACGCGGTGGCCTCTGAACGCAGCCTGCAGGCAGGTGGCGGCGCTCTGCGCACGCAGCGCCTCCCGCTGCCGGAGCCGGAGCCGGGCCCGGTGCGCACGGAAGCACCTCTGGACGACAAGCGCCGCCCGGCGCATCCTCAGGAAGCTCCGCCGCGCCGTCCTCATCCTGAAGTGGGCCTGCAGGGAAGTGGCCGCCGCCCTCTGCAGCCGCGCCTGCCGCCGCACCAGGTGCCCGCGAGCCCAGGCCTGCAGCCTGACACAGGCCTGCAGCACCCGCCTGAGCTCCTCTCGCCGGCGCGCGGCCGCTTGCAGGAACCGGTACCTCCGCTGGACAAACACCGCGGCCGCCCTCAGCTGCAGGAACCGTGCACGGGCCTGTCGCATCCTGACAATGGACTGGAACTTCACCGTGGCGTGCCTCAGGCTCAGGAAGCGTCTTCTGCAGACGTGACCTCGATAACACGACTGAATCCTTACGACACAGGTGAGGGCGTGACGGACCGTCTTCCTGGCTCGCCACGCCCTGCACGCAGCCTGCAGGACAATCGTGGCGGAACGTGTCCTCTGGTAGGACGCCTGGGCTGTCCGGGCGGCGATGTGCGCTCGGAAACGCGTCTGAATGACGAGGGCGGCTTGCCGCACCTTCCTGTACCTCTGCGACTGCTGATGCTTTCTCACGTGCGCCTGCAGCGTGACGGCCGTTCTCCTGAGGGCCAGGAACCGCAGCCTCTCCTGTCTCGTCCTCCAGTGCGACTGGAGCACTCGGGCAGCCCCGTCCCGTCTGCGCAGGCGCCGGGCACGCGCCGCCCGGAATGCAGCCTGGATGCGGACGGCCGCGGCCAGTTTCCGCAGGTACTGGGTGCGCGCCACCTTTGCCTGCAGGTGCGCGCGCCAGCGGGTCTGGATGGTCCGGACGGCCTCCCTCTGCCTTTGATACACCCTCTGGGCTTGAAAGCGCCGAAACGCGGCCTGAATGGTGAGCACGCAAGATCGGGTGCGAGAGTATCTCCGCCGCTCCCTGTGCATCCTGAACCACGACTGGATGAGGGTAGCGGACTTCTCCTCCTCCGCGCGCTTCCCGGCGCGCCACCGCCTGAAGGCCCGCTGCAGTCTGACCGCAGCTTCCGTCCGCAGGCGCGTCCTGCGGTGCCGCCATCTCCTGAACGCGGCTTGGATCACGAGGCAAGAGGCCCGGAGCGTCCGATACCTCTGCCGGTCCCGTCTTCCGCGGACGCACGCACGCCACCGGCGCTGGATGGTGACGGCCGCCCACACGCACCGTTTGTAGGAAGCCACAGCCATTTTCGTTCTTATCCGGGACTGCAGGATGATTGAGTAATGTTTCAGTTTCAGAAACTTCTTCCTAGTGGAATACCTTCTCCAATGTTTCTGCAAGAAATAAGGAACACCAAGTAAAAGACACACCTTTGTATGCTTAACACATTTGAATGCACAATTTTTAAACATTCTGCTTAAAAATACATTAAATTAAAAAGCAATATATTTTTTAAAAAGTTTGCCTCTTTTGTTTGTAGTCTAGTTTCTGCAATGCTATAGCTATCACCAATTCAGAAATCCTGGTCTCAATCCTAATGTTTCTGTTGCGTTTGTCTTCCAGAGACTCAAGGAATACAAGCCAGTCTACATCAGAACAACGTCACACGCGAGAAGAGTCACAAGGAAGCTGCCGCAATGTTCTCTGCCCACTGACTGATGCGAAGCAGTCTCCAGGAGGAGCGTCTCTCCGAGTCCTACAGCCGGCCTGCGACGGCTGCAGACCGTCTGGGGGCGGCAGCCCGTGCTGTCACAACGCGGCCCGACCACGTGAGCACAGGGACTCCAGCACCCAGGCAGCCAGGCCGCTCTCAGCCGTCATTTTCGTGAGAGCTAAAACTGCTTCCTTCTCCCACAATCAGAAAGCGAGGCTACGTGGTTAAACAGCAGAATTCCGAAGAGACGCGGGAAGAGAGAAACGTCTGTGTCTTGAACACGGCGCAGCCTCCTGGGAAGACAGTCCGGCGTGTCCTCGCCAACAGCAGCACCGTCCACCACGGGACCCATGGCATTCACACGGGGCCAACGTGAACTGCACACACCTCTCTGGTGTGACCAAAACAGGATCTACGGTAACGCCAGAAGCTAACACACAGATGTGAGGAATGCCCACCATGTAAAGTAAGCACGGTAAATACTTTTCTACTGGGAAACTAGCGTAGGCCTGCCACGGCCGCAGTGTAAGTGCTGTTGCCATTCCGTGCCCTCCACGCGGGCTGGAGGGGAAACTCGCGTGTGCCCTGGGAGAACAGCTCCCGGGTCCGCAGGGCAGGCAGGAGGCGGCGCCTGGCGGCTCAGGGCGCGCCGCGCAGAAGGACGGGCCCACGGGCCACGGAGGAGAGGCCGGAAAGCTCCCCAGACAGGCGGCGAGCGCGGCCCTGGCCAGGCAGGCCGTTCGCCCCTTCGGAGAACAGCAGGCGTGTCGCTCTGTCGGAGCCTCGTGCCAAGCACCGCGGAGTCGCACGGGTAGGAGGGAGGCACTGAGTATCTGCTTGTTCCTCTTTCATTTTTATGCGAGTTTGCGTCAAACTGATGACACATGCTGGAAGCAAGAGCTCCGGTGCTCCCTAAGCATTTGCTAGAGCTGAGTACCAGATAAAATGCAGAAACCTAAACTACAACAATTTAAACTTTATCACATTTTGCCTTCTTCCTCCCAATGCCCTGAAAACTTCCTAACTGCAGAAATCCCAGCAGACTCTACCTGGATAGCCAGCGCCGATTCATTCCGAATCTTCTCCAGCTCTGCCTTTTTGAGCATCAGCAGCTCTCTCTGCCGTAAGACCCTCCGCCAGTGCTTCTGGATGACCCGGGCCGCGCCGGCCGCCTTCTGCAGCCATCGCTTGGCCAGAAAATGGGCTGCAGCTGACTGGATGATTCTCGCGGCTCTGTCTCTCTCCTAAGAGAGAGAAGAAAAAGGTTAAACCCTCACTCGAGACCCGGAATTACTGTTTGTAAGAAACTCACCCATGAAAGATTAATCGAACTGACCCTGGAAATAAAACACCCCCCCGGAACTCACTGCGTGTGGGACAGCCTTTCCCGTCCCCACCCAGGATGGCCCGCCAGGCCAGGGTGGGCTGGGCGCGGGGACCAGCCCGGAGCCCGACTGTCACTCAGCCGTGCTCAGCGGCCCAGGTCCCCGCCGTTCGGGACACAGTCAGCCTCTACGGGGGGCTGCGGCTTCACGCTCCGAATCACAGAGGGGCACGTGCGACCACGTCACACTGGGATTGCGTGACGGGAGCGCGGTCCTCGGGAGGAAGGGGAGAAGCCGTGGTCTTCGTGAAAGGGGGCCTCCACTACTCGGGCCACAGACACAAAGCAAGCAAAGAAATCGCACCAGCGAAAAAGCTAAGAAACCTCTGCAGTTAATATCCGGTCAACCGGGGGGAATAAAAAACAATCTATGGGAAAAAAAGCAGATTCCATCCTTAAAAAAAAAACCCAAAGCATTCTGACCGGCGTTTCCTAGAATTCCCGGTCCAGGAGGAAGGAGCAGCGCCGGGCCAGGCGCCCCAGCGCACTGCCCCAGACTTACACGGGGCAAGCCCCCCCACCCACCCGCGGCGGGCGGAGGCGGGCCAGCGGCCGGCGGGGCGGGGCGGCAGGACACCGCGAGTGAAGGCAGCGTCAGGGGTGAGGCAGGCTCGGCCGCCCCCAGCTCAAAGCCCACAAGGTCGTGGGAACCCCCAGCGTGGGCACAGCGCAAACCCCGCCGAGCCCCCGCCGAGGGGCAGGCCGAGGCCTCCAGTCCGCACCGCCGTCCCCGTCCCGACGCACCTGGTGGCGGCGCCGGTCTGACCTCAGCTTGTGCTCCCTCCACGCCGTCTGGATGAGCCGCGCAGCCCTGGTTTCCCTGCGGAGATCCAGGAGCCTCGCGCAGAGAAACGACAGGAAGGTGATGACCACCTGAGGACACGAAGCGCGGAGTCAGAGGAGCGACAGGCGGGGGAGCCGGCCGCCGCCCCCGGAGGAACGCCCTCTGCGAACCTTCTCGTCCGGGATGGTGTTGGACATGTCCTCGTGGCGCAGCATGGCGGGCACGCCCCCCAGGTCCCGGACGGCAGCCCCGACCAGCCGGAAGTTCTTCTTCTCGTTCTCCAGGAGCTCCCGGTGCACTTCTGCCGCGCCTTCTGCTGTGCAAGGGAGGGAGACCAGAGGGCTCTGGGCAGGACTCGGGCCTGGCGCAGCCGAAGCCTGAGACCCGACCCACAGAGGGGACCCACCGCGAGGGTCAGGCGCTTCGAGGAGCGCGTCCAGGCAGCTCTCCTCGGACTCAGAGGACGAGTTCAGGACCACCGAGCCCGTCTGCGCGCACTCCACCGTCTGAGTGGTCCGCTGGCAGATGGCGTCGAAAGGCAGGTAGCCAGGGTGGTAGTGGTGGACCAGGTAGCACAGCACACGGCCGTCTGAGAAGGACACGGTGAAATTCTCCACCTGGTGGGGACGGCCGGGAGGGGTCAGCTGCGTTGGGGGGGGGAGCAGAGACACGAACGGCTCTGCAGTCGCACTTCCTCCGAATGGTGGAGAGCCGCCCGCCGCCCGCGCCCGCCGCCCAGTGCAGTGAGTGGCGCAGTCGCAGCGCTGCTCCCAGCTGCGGGCGGTCAACGCCCCCAAACACAGACGGATGCGGACCACGCTGCTCTGCTGGGTCAGACCGGTCCGTCCCAGATTCACATCCCTCCAGAGCCCCAGGGTGTGACACGGGCAGACTGAGGCTCACTGCAGATGTAGTCAATCGGGGGGGCTCACACTGGAGCAGGGTGGACTTTGACCCCAGGGTGGACTTTGGCCTCCTCACAAGCAAAGGGGGGAGACACAGAGACAGGCCCGTGGAGAGAGGGGCCTCTCGAGGACAGAGGCCGAGGTGGGGACACCGTCTGCGCGCCAAGGATGGCCAGCAGCCCCGGGGGTCCAGAGAAAGGCTGGGACAGAGTCTCCCCAGGGCCCTCAGCGGCCTCTGGCTCTTAAGTCAAACCCAGAAGGCCACCCATGTACTTCCCAAGCTCCCCACCGGTGCTGGTGGGAGGTATAACCGCTCACCGCACGCAGTCACACGCACTCCGTGTCGGCTTCCGCGTTCTGTTTCCTCACCAGACGCCCGACTGGCGTGTGTCAGCTCGCAGGCGCATTTCACGCCTCAGCTCAGACTCTGCCCCCCTCGTCCCCCTGCCCCTGGTCAGGCTCTCTCCGCCCCCTTTCTGCGGGCGGGTTTCCCTGCCTTCACCGTCACCTTCACCCCGAGATCCGACCCCCGGTTCTGTGCACGGCTGTGCTGCTGGATCCCCAGCGAGGGCATGTGTCTCTCTTAGGGACACCCGAAATGACCACACACCGTCGCTTGGGAAACACGAAGCGGGATCCACGCGCCGACACTAAGGACGTCCGCCGAGGGTCACGGGACACCCGGGGCAGACACGCGGGCGGCGGCGGCGCTTACGTTCTTGCGGTAGAAGGCGCACACGGCGTCCGCCCACTCCAGCAGCAGCCCGACGCTCTCGCTCCCGCTCTGCGGCGCGGAGGGCCCGCCCGGCCTCGGGTCCGCCCGCGCGCCGCGGCCGGCGTCCTGGCGGCTCGAGAGCGTGGACGCCGTCTTCTTCAGGCGCCACGTGTGCCTTAGAAAGTCGATTTCTTCCCTTAGCTGATGTAGATTAAGAGAAATGTCCACCTGCAACACAAAATGAATACACATTTCTGTCCTGCGAGCAGATCCCAAGCCCTCTGATACGCTGCTTTCACGCCGCAGAAGCCACGGCCGTGTATTGTTTTGAGGCAGACGAGCCCACAGGGAAGTGACGGGAGGGGCAGCGGTTGGGCCCCGGACCCCAGGCCACTCGGGGCCGGGTCCCCGTCTCGTCTCCGTTTCCCGCCCGTGATGCGACCTGTCCCTTCAGTCTCCTCACCCGTGCGGTGCGGTAACGCCCACCTTGGAGGGGCGGGGGCGGTGAAGTGTGAACCGAAACAAGTGTAAAGCAATTATCACAGTTCCTGGGACAAAGTAACGCCTGGTAAGCAAAGTTATTACTGTTGGTCCTTACTCAGCAAATTGACAAAAATGCACTGAACATACAATACCTGGAAAGCCAACGCAATTTTCCAAAGCAGCGCGAGGGTTTTTTCTCGGTGCCTGTCCACGATATCCTTGGCCAGGATCGCACTCCCTGCAAGGAGAAGACCGGCGGTCAGCGCGGTGCGGGCGGGTGGGCGCCTCCGCGGGGGATGAGGCCTGGCCCGTGCGCACCATGCTCGTCCTGCAGCTGCACGCCTCGGGCCCGCAGGGCCTGCAGGGCCAGCTCCACGTTGTGCAGCTTCTGCAGGCGGCTGATTGCAGGGACCCGGAGTCTCTTGGAGAGGTCCCAGTTCTGCGTGAGCAGCTCCACCGCTCGCCTGACAGACAGGGAAGGGGTTTCCAGACGACCTCGTTAGGTATAACGTACACGGAGATAAGATCCATGTAAATACGGTTCTCGCCCACGTAAACCCCCCAGCTCAGAGCCCCGGGTCAGAAAGACTCTGAGTCCCGGCCAGCCCTGCCGCCCTGCCACTCTGCCGCCAGCAGGCACAGCCGGCGCTCACAGTGGGCCCAGGGCTGAGGTCCAGGAGCCGTGGGGAGAAAGCACAATGGGACACACACACACACACCCGGGAACACACCCTCGGCCCGTGCAGGCAGGGACAGCCCTGTGCACAGGACACAGGGGTCGGGGCCCCGAAACCGACACCACTTTCCCAGCAGTGCTGCAGAATGTGCTCCAGGTTCCCAACCCTAAACGCATTCCGGCACGTGAAAGAGCAAGAGAGACTGTGTAACTACAGACCAAAAGTTCCCCAGAAAAGTCCAGTCCGCTCCCGAGGGAAACGATCCTGTGTCTGGTACTCACACAAGGCGCACCCCGCACTGCAGGTCCACGGCGAGGTTAGTGACGGCAAAGTCAAACTCGTCGAACGGCGTCTGGACGTGGCTGACGGGGAGCCCCAGCCAGCCGAGGTGGCGGGAAAGGTCGCCCTCGCCGCTCAGGAAGTCTCGGGAAAACGCCAGCAGGAGGTCTTTGCTCGCCTGCGGAGAAACACGGCACGGGCGTCACGGTCCGATAGCCTCCTGTGGCTTACAGAACAGGGTCCTTTAAATCATTCTGTGCTTGCAAGCCTTATCAAAGTCTGCTCCGATGAACTCCACACTTAAAACCCAGCGCTCATTTGCTAACCCAGGAAATTAGGACAGAAATGCCCCCCAGAAACTGACTCCCCGGAAGCGGTCTGCTCGTCCCCAGCGTGCAGCAAGGGCCCCGGGCCGGGGGAGCGCTGCAGCCCGGGGCGGGCTCGCGGGGCGCGCCTCCCGTCCCCTCCGAGCACTGGGCCTAGAGAAACGAGCTTCCCCACAGAGGAAACACGTGCAGTGACAGCCAGCGGAAGTCCGGAGTGTGAACTGCTCAGCACAAGGTACGAAGTGGACCCCGCACCTTGAACTCGGCGTCTTTGCAGAACAGACAGGGGTCATGATCGATGAGTCTGGAGACTTTAGCGTAATCCAGGAAACAAACCAGCAGCAGCAGCTTTTTCAGTGTGAACTGAGACAAAGCCTCTTCGTGGCCTTGAAGAAAGCACAAGAAAGCAGAGCCAGTCCACGTGTGATGGCCCGGCCCACCTAAGACGGACAGCAACGCGCTAGCGGAGGAAGGGACAGCGGCCGGCACGGCACACCACGCGCCCCTCGCGGTGCTCCCCGAGACTGGACCCCTGCGGCACAGCGGCGCCGCGAGGCGGGTTCCGGTGGGGCGCCCAGTCCAGCGGGAGGGGAGGCACGCGGGCCTCGGGGGCCTCGGCTCACCTCCCTGACCCAGTCCTCCGTGAGCACCTGCGACGGGCAGGCGCCTTCCCCGGGGCTGCAGGCAGCATCGACACAAAGCAAACACCATCCCCACAGGGCGACGGCCCACGGCCACAGCCCACACAGGGCCACGGCGGGGAGAGACGACGGACAGGCAAAGATAACTGGGGGGGTGGAGGAATCATGGGGACTGCAGCAGGGAGGACGGGCGGGGCGGAGTGGGGAGAGGACCCTCCCTACGCTGGTGTCTCTGGCGGGCAGAGACGCACACAGAGACGCACACAGAGACGGGAAGACTGGGAAGGAGCCGTTTCCCCGCCCGGGGTGGGGCAGGACTGCTCACCGTCCCGGTACAGGTGAGGGACAGAGGGGTGTCTGTACTCGGCGGCTATGTCCGGGTTCCACAGCAGGCGGCCCAGAACGAACACGGCCATCCCCGTGACGTCGCTGTTGTCTTCCAGAGCTATGAGTTCCCCGAACACCGTCTGGAAGGGGGTCGGGGCCGGAGTCAGGACCGGCTGCTCTCGGAGAGGCGAAGGGCCGCCACGGGAAGGCAGGCGGCGGTCTTCCGAGGCCTGGCCACGTGGCGCCTCGCACACGGCAGGGGAGGGCCCGGGTGTCTGCCTGGTGCCCTCCTCAAACCAGGCGCGCGCGTCTGGTGCACCTGTGAGTGTGTCCAGTATGCACACCTCACAGTGGAGACGTCAAAAGCTTGGGGCTAGGATGAACTCTTTAAAATCTGCTGACTGGTAATATTTGTATTTTAATCCCTTTTCCTTTAAGTTAAAGAACTCCCCAATGTACACATGTTGTCAAATTAAATTGTAACTATCCCACTAAGTGTATCCTGAAGATGAAATAGAAACCAAAATATGGTCAACTTTCTAACAGATAAGTTTAAAACCATCTGTAAATCACCGAAGGCCATAATCTGAGAAGTACAGACCTGTTTACAATGAATGAATCAAATAAGAAATTAGTTTAACACCATCATGTGTTTATTATGACTTTTAAAGCAATTAACCTTTCCAGCTGCCCCCCTTTCTCCCTCTGCCGCCGAGAGCTCCGGCACATGGGGAGGTCCCTCGGGGCCGAGGTTCCATGGCGGTGTGACACGCGATGGCTCTCAGGCGTCTCACTGAGAAGTGAGAGACCGAGCTGAATTTCAGTTCAGTTACCGTGAGACTAAACAAATCCTAGCAAGCACACTGTCAACTTATGTGACATCGATGGGCTTACTTAGCATGTGCCCTCTCTAGCCCTCAATTCCCTGATAAAGGAAAGCCCGATTATTAGATTCCTTTCGGTCCCAAAGACTGGTCTGTTCCAAAACCTGCAATAAACTGAAGAGTAGGGTCTCCCGCACGACGAAGGTGGATGCCTAAACAAATACGAAAGCACACCAGCAAAACACAGCGGGCACTTTCAATGAAGGCTTGTTTTTGTCAGCTTGAGCTGACAGGGGCACGTACCTCGAGGCCGATCCGCAGCCACAAAGGGTTGTACGACAGCAGCCAGCTCAGAACCTTCTGCCGTTCTCCTGCAACGCGGGGGGAAGCAGGAAAAATCAGCCACAGGAAACAAAGTTCCGTGCAGAGAAACCAGGGGGGACGAAGGATAATCACTCATATGAAATAAGTTCATCTAAGTGAACTATACTTCCACTCAAACGGATGACATTCAAGTATGTGACACGGTACGCGGCACAGCCTTCAACTCCAAAACACAAAATCTCCGCGTGTGTAAAGAAAGAGCCACAGCTGTGCACAGTCTCCTCACCCACATCCTTCCAGAGGTGCCTGTCTCTGCGAACGGCCAGCCGCCTGGCTTCGATTTCCACCTCCAGCTTCCTGATGGCCCGCACCATCGGTTCCGACGTAAACAGGCGGCACGCGGCGCGGCGTAACCTGTTCAGCCGGCACCGGGCCGTGTAAGCCCTGAGCGACATCTCGTCCTTTGTGGGGGCCCGGGGCACGCTCAGTTTATGCTGGCTCTCCGCCCCCAGGAGCAGAGCCGCGGCGTTTACTGGGCGAAAACAAAAGAAACACGCTCTGGTTAAGCAGTGGGCACACACACCCTCAAGTCCAGCGATGAATGCCCTTGGAGACGCCGGGGCAGAACCTACTCCAGGCCCCTGCCTCGCTGGCTCTCTGCTGCTCCGTCTGGGAATACGGCGTCGCCACCGGCTCGGCCCCTGAGGCCACTCTATCGCCACAGCCTGTGGCTTCTCCCTGGGGAAGGGGCCCCTGCCCGGCCACTCCTCCCAGCCGCGGCCACCAGCGCCCCGCCCACACATCGTCACCTGGAGCCCAGACCAGTGAAAGAGCCCCCTGAGGGGCTCCTCTGCCTGCACCCCCTTCAAAAATCAAACAGGGAAGCTCCGGGGGAACGCGACTTGCTCAATCAATTAAGTTTTGCAGTGCGGCTGGAATTTCTGTCGCGCACACTCGCTCTCAAGAAGGGGAGCAAAACGACAGGCTGCGCTCAGGCTCACGCTGCAGCTAGAGGACAGGGAGGGAGTGGCCTCGGAGCCCAGGGGCCGCCCGATGGGTCTGCCTGCAGGGCCTTTCCCTCTTCCCGAGTTGCTGGGCCAACCCCTGCCACCTCCACGGGACAGCAGCGAAGCTCAGCTTCGCTCCCTTCCAGGAGAAACCCTGCGGACGTCGGTGGACAGCGTGTCTCCGTGGTTCCCACAGGAGGCCCCCAGGACGAACACCGAGGTGCGCGGAACCCGCCCTACAGCAGCAGGGTTTGGAGCACGCATGGTTCTCGCGCCCGCCTGCCAGGGTCGGGACTAAGGAGCCCGGTGGAAGCAGAAAAACAGAAGAAGAGGGCGGAGACAACGCGCCCGGGCGAAGAGGCCACGCCACAAAAATTTCTCCTCCGGGACGGGACGCCCGGCCAGCATGCATGACTCTGAGCCGACTTCCTTAGCAGCCCCGTGTCACTGCAACTCGGACCGGATCAGCATTGAGATCATTCACCTGGGAACCGCTCTGGCTGATGTGAGCGAGTGCAAAGTGAGAAGAAGACGCAAAGTGTGGGATGTTCAGTCCAGAGTCCCCTGAACATTCTCACCAACACAATTCTTAGCATACATGTCAACAGACTGGCGAACCGTGCCATCAACTGGAATAAAATGTGTGCAATTAAAAAGGAAAACTTCACGTTAAGCCCTCTCTGCCCGAACGAGGGCATTCTTCAACGGAGACAGGACCGTGGGGTCTACCTTCGGAGACGCTGGTCTTCACAGTGAGGTCGTCGGGAGTCAGCACGAAGTTCAGCCACCACGTGAACCCCTGCTGCTGCTTCTCCTTCCAGCGCTCGTCGTAAAACATGTTCCTCGCAGCGAACGGCATCGGGTGCCGAGGAATGCCTGAGGACGCAGCCAGGTCACCGCGTGAGCAAGTCCCCTCGAAACTGCTACATAGCATACAGCAAGAGACCACTTTTCCCAGCAGGGGCTCTCAACAACACCCCCTTCCCCAGGACTCGCCAGAAAGAGAGGGAGGCATTTGGGGCATGAAACGGAACCAAAGTAAAAAGAGATCGGGCAAACGAGAGAAAGGACTCGTGGACGTGGGAACAGTGGGTGACCGCAGGGGTGGGGGGTGGAAGAACGGATAAAGGGGGTAAGTGGTCATGGGAAAAAATACCATCAAAAGCCAAAGTGATTTTTTTCAAACAAAACAAAACAAAAAGAAAAAGGGGAAAGTAAGGCAGCACCTCCCGGTTATTTAAAAACCCCAAGTCCCAGTGAGTTTCCTGCAAGTCTGAGAATGCACCCCGACTGCTGCGTGAACGCAGACGCCACAGTTCTTCCAGCCTTTTGTTCAAGAAAAATTCCAGCTCATTTCCGCCGGAAACACAGTCACTGCTTCACTGTGTGTTGGGTTTTCAAAGACGGTCACGACAACGGACACTTGCCTGTTTTCAAGGGTTTTATCAAGGTCAGAGTAGTCTGTGCCACCGGAACAACGCGTTTTGTCCTCCTGTTTGTTTTAGAATTAGGGGTTTTGTGTGCCAAAGAATCTAAAATAAATTAAAAAGCAGAATAACAGCATTACAAAATGAAGTAAGTTCCCTGAACAAACTGCTTTAAAGTTCCAGTTGGGGCTCCCACAATCACATCCTCTCGGCACCAACACCGGGCAGGACAGTGTGACTCGGCGGGTCCATCACACCCACGGCGGGAGCTCCGGGCGCCCAGCATCCCGGGAAACGGGAAGAGCGGGGAGTGAAGGGGCAAGGCCGGAGGCGCAGGGCTGAAGGGCGCTCTGCAGCGGCGGAGGTAGCCGTGGTGAGAACCTCGGTGGAACAGAAGCAGGAGACAGAGCAGAGCGTCATTTGAACAGTACGACCGACAGTCTCCGTCAGAAAGGAGGCAAAGGCGGTGTCAGAGGCTCCTGGAGGAAGAAGGCAAGGTGCAGAGAGTCTGCAGCAAAGCGATCCGGTCAATAAACCAGGAAAATACAGCCAACAGGGGCTCAGGGCTTCCTTGAGGTTAGAGGTCGTGACTCTGGAGACCAACCACAGAGTTCAGGCACAGAGCAAGCGGAGCTGGAGTGCGGCTGGAGTGTTCAGACCCGCACAGTGAGCGAGAGGCAGAGGCCTCTCCTGCGTTGCCTCGGACGGTATTAAGGGGGCCAGGCACTTAGCTGGGCCTTCCCACCTGGACCTTGACTAAGGAGACGAACCTGAGACGAGGGAAGGACTTCCCTGGGTCCAAAACTCTGAGTGTCTCAAACACTCAGTAGTGAAGGTAAGTGTTTGAATGCCATAATTTTAAAAAATCAAAAGTCATGACAAACAAAACATCAAAACTTAAATACGAACAAGATCACAACTGTTCCAGAACCCAGCCCCACGCCCCACGCGGCCCCCCACTAAGCAAGTGGGGGACTGAGGAGTGCACCCTAATTCAAGAGCCCCGGCAGCAAACCTGTGAACCAGGAAACAGGAAACACGCCCTTTACAAGGTCACTGTCACTCAAGCTCTGCAGACAACTCACCAGTTCTCTTCCTCGGGTGGAGCTTCTCTCTGCCGCTGCTCTGTTTGCAGACAGGTGTGATCACCCTTCTTGTCTTTTTAGCAGCTGATGTTGTAGGCTCCCAGGGAGAAAAAGGGATCCTTTGGGTCGCCAGTGCCTCGGCGTCATCTGCAGCCCTGACCGGCACGCACGCCTCCTCCTGGTTTCCCTCGCTCCTTCTTTTGCGAGCAGCCGACGCTGCCTTTGAGGAAGGATCTATCCCTTTTTTGCAACTCGCAGAGCCACTTACTACTGAATCTATAACTGGGAGATAAGAATGAAAAGCATCTTCCTCCTTTACATTATCAGTTACTTTTTCACCTCCACCTTCTACACTGCGGAGACACCTCCTCGCCTTCGGCTGGCGGGTCTGGGTTTTGTTTTCTCTGGTACCAGTGGGCTTCAGCTTAGTAACAGTCGCAGAAAGGATTGGGCGTCTCTTGAGCTGCGTGTTGTGGCTATGACCAGAAATACCCTGAACTGCAGAAAGTTGAGGCTGATTGCGTTTTGTCAAACTGTCACAATTTGGGTTCATTTCTGAAGATTTAGGTTCTTCAAAAATAGTTTCTGGAGAGTTTGAACCCTGGCATTCAGGAATATACAGTAAAACTTCATTTTTTTTCTGAACTTGAGGAGACGCTGAGGCCTGAGAATTTCCGTTTAGTAATGGTGATAATTGACACATTGGTTGAGAGAGAGATCTATGTGTTATATCTTCTTTCACAAACCGACTTGGGGACAGAACTAGAGTCACTGGTTCCGACCCCACCCCCTGACTTAGCCCATAATTGTCCTTTAGGAAAGAATCTGGACTCAGAATTGTCCGGTACACTTCCTGCCCAGTTTTGGATTCCAAATGCACGGGCCTTGCGTTGTCTTTCAGAAATGTGCCCGGCGAGACACATGGCACTAAGTGTAGTTCATGACCAGCTGCGTGGCTATTCTTTAGAAAAGAATCTGGACTTAGAAAACTCCCATGGCTCTGTGTGACGTTCAAAGTGGGAGGACAGTTCGGGGTGAGACTAAGTGGACTGCCCTCTTCAACTTGGCCGTTGCTGTTTACGGAGCTAAAGGAAGTTTCAGTTAGGACTTTCTCATTAAAATCTTTGGAAATGTTGGCCTCTTCTAATTTCCACAGCCCCCCATTCTCAGGGGCATGAAGAGACGTGTAGGTGGTGGACCGACGGACACACAGGGGCAAGCAGGGCTCCCCACGGTGCCCTTTAAAAGTGGGGCTGATCGGTGAGATGGGTATTTTACTCTCTTCGAGGACCAAAGAACTGTTTTCTGCTGGAGAACAGCCTTCTGTCCTGCCCAGGTTTTCACAAGCCTGCAGTGGGCTCCTAACTCTGTCCACTTTTTGGGAAACACTAAACGTTTGATTAACATTTTGAATATTTGAAATCCTCCTCTTACGATTTGAAGGGGCCGAAACTTTTTTCTTATTGATGGTATCCCAAAGACTCCTCTGTAAAAATAAGCAAAAACACAAATTAAGTTGGTGGCCATTGAAGATAGCCTTTAGGAAGAAGCTTTATGTATGTGGCTCACTTCAAGAGTGTTAGCAAAGTAATTCTTACATATTCTTTTCTTGGAGTACATCACAGAATAGTGAAAACTGGTTACCTTTTTCTTTTTTGGCTCTTCTGCATTCCCTAATAATACCACTTCATGCTTCACAATGCCATTGACATGAAATGTCAGAATCTCTCTTACTCGGCCTTCTTTTACTGGTGTCCAGGTCACAGAAATAACATTTTTTTCTTTTGGCTGTAATCAAAAGAAAATTTTAAAATTACTTCTAACAGTAGATGGTGCATAGTAACCGAAACATATTATATACAACTTAGACTATGGCATAGGACTAATGATTGTTAGTTGTCAACACTCTACACCATAATAACATTTAAGTCCAATAACTTCCCTCACATATCTCACTTGATCATAAGGAAAAAAGCTACTAGTAATAACAAGGTTCACAACAAGATGAAATTGTAATAAAATCTTCATTGTAAGTAAAGCAATAGAACAGTCTCCAAATCATTTTTAGTTATCAGTGGTTGCTTAAATTTTAATCACATATTTCTAGTTTTTGAGAATATGTATAGTGCTTCCAGTTCAAATAGAAAAGAATTTTCATTATGAAGACTTTCATCAAAAAAACATGAAAAGAATCAGCTTAAATTCCTTCTGCCCACAAACTTCTGTGACCACATCATCATGAGCACCAGTGTTCGTTGAGCACTTGTGTTCCAGGGTCAGTCTCAGGAGTCCCCGAGAACACTCCCCACCCCGTCCTCACATGCCTACATGCCCAGGACGCAGCACTGCAACGGTCACATTTGCCAGACCATAGAGGCAGGGTAACCACGGGCCAGAAAGCTTTATGTATTTAAGTCAAACTGTGAGTAGGCAAAACCCAGGCAGTCCTTCTCCAGAGTTCAGACTTTGACAGCTACACCCACAGCCCGAAACCCTCACAGGGCAGAACAAACTCTGTGTCTGTGCATTTTCTAAGGGGTGGTGGGGGGAGGACGACAAAGTTTGATTTAAAGGGGAAACTATCAACCATCAAGAACAGCTGGTTTTAGGAAATAAGGACAGTGAATGCTTTCTCTACAAAACAGTGAATTCTAAACAAACAAACCAAAAACCTTTTTTCATTCCACATCACAAAAGGAATCATTGTGCCCTGGAGAGAAATGGGGAGGAGGGGGACACTGTTGAAGCTCAGGCCGGTGACCTGGGCTTAGAGCGGAGCTCAGAGCCCCTGGTAGCCAGGCCTCATACTGGTGACATTCGGCTGTATTTTCATACTTTCTCGGGTTCTTGCAAACGGAAAGGCCAGCGGCCAAGAGGAGCAGTGACCTGCTCTGGTTCTGGTGACAAGGACCAAAACACTGGCCAACGCGGTGCGGAGGAGCCACCGGGGAATTCTTGCAAACACCACCGATAAAATTACATCGGACCCGTTCACCGTGAAAACTACACGAAAGCAACACCGCACATGCTTGTGGACAAGAACCCGAAAGCGGTGCTTCTGTGTCTCCGGTAGGGACACTCCGCCCAAACAAAGCTATCTCACCCGGACAAGCAGCGCCCCGGAGTCTCGGTGGGCCCAGCTTCCCCGACTGCCACGGCCACTGAAATGCATTTATATGCATTTAGGATGACTGATAGGAGGCAATAAAAAGATGATCCAACGAGGGTACGCCCCAGAGCGTCATTAAAAACACACAGAGAAAGGGGGTGGCGCATGAAAGGCGCGGTCTATTCCTTTAGAACTGCAAAGTCCCACGACGCCTAAGTCGACGAAAACGCTTTTGGAACTGGCTTCTGAGATGCTCCGAAGGATGCTCTGCGCACGCGCGCTAGCCAGCGGCCCCTGCCCACCGCTCCCTCCCGGAGCCCAGAGACTGGGGACCGGGACGTCCCCAGAGTGGACGAAAGGACCTGGCTTCATCCTCTGAGGTCCCTACCCCGCGTCCGTAGTTTTCCCTCCGGCCCGTACCTCCCCGGTTCCCACCCCCGGCAGGGTGGAGGGGTGACAGGGAGACGCGACCGCGCGCGGCGCGCGCACACCCACCTGCAGCTCCAAGGCGCGCGGCCGGACCCCGAAGCCCTGGGCGGCGGCGGGACAGCGCGGCAGCGTCACGGCGGCCGCCTCGGCGTTGGGGTTGAGCAGAGCCAGCGGCAGCGTCTTCGAGGCGCCCAGGCGCACGTCCCCGAAGCACAGAAACGGCTTGGGGCAGAAGTGGCTGAGGGTCAGGACCGGCGGGGACCCCCGCAGTCCCGCCGGCGACTTCCGCTCCGGGGGACTCGCGTCCCGGCAGCCTCGCCGCGTCGTCATGGCAGTCCGACGGCCGCAGCCGGCTCCGCAGCGAAGTCACCTCTCCTTCTCCCAGTCGTCCGCACCCCAGAAAAAACGAAACGACCCCACAAACTCGCCACAACAGGGGTGTCTCAGGTATGGGCCCTACCGCAACTTAAACTTCCCTCCTCCACCAATGGACACTCGCAGCACCGCCCCACGCCTGCACAGAGCCGATCAGTGAGCAGCCACGCCCCTGAACCTGTTTGAGGGCCAATCGGTGAGCAGCAGCGCCGGGCCAATGAGACGGCAGCGCTTCATTTAAATGATTGCTCGGTGGCCTCTGGCTGTCTGCGGAGCCGGAGCCGAAAACCTAGGCGGGGTCTTTGCGACACTCGTGGCTTAGAATTGAACCCCGCCTTTTGGATTTGAAAAGAGGTGTCGAGGGGAAAAGAGTTACACCATTTCCATAATGAAGGTGCCAGGGGCAGCCTTAGGTAAAACCGTTAAGGAGGCAAATAATGATTTCAGCCATGCTCCCTTCCAATGTACCCCACCAAGAATTATATTCCTTAGCTCTCCTTTCGCGGTTCCTGGGCCCAATGGGCAGGGGAAAAAAACAATTAAATGTATAGTTTGTGTGAACGTGATTATTTCCGTGAGTGACCACAGCAGAGGGCAGTAAGTTTGCATGTTCTTTTTTTCATGTATTGGGGTGACATTGGTTAATAATATACAGGTTTCAAGGGCACGATTCTATGATTCATCATCAGTACATTGCATTGTGTTTGCTGGCTCTTACCTAGAGATCCTGGGAGCAGAAACTAGATGCAACCTGAGATTCACAATAATTCACAGCTGATGGTGTTGACAGGCAGTCCCTGGACAAATAACTCCTTGATCTTATTTTAATTGTAGGTACCCACTAGTACTGACTGCAGCCCTTGCCATGTGTATCTCAAGCCTGAGAGGCGGCACCCATCGCCTGTATTTTAGAGATGAGCCTTGGGGCGGTGAAGAGGCAGAGCCAGGATCCCTACCCAGGTGGTTTGGCTCTCCTCTCGCCCTCCGCGTAGACCACCCGCCCCTGAACACAGCAGGAAACTTTAAAACTACACGCGATGTGGGCATGACTACACAGCATCCGTAGGGGGAATAAAACCCGAGAGGAAAAACAATGAGGAAGATGGGAAAGTAAATTACATTCACTAACACCCACTGTGGCCTTAAGTCAAATCCTGTTAGGAGAACAATGTTTTAAAAAAATCATTACAGAGGGTTTCTTTTTAATCCGTTGACATTGACGTACAATGAGAATGCTACTACGTGGTTTCTTGAAGAAAAAATGTTAATATGAATTGTAACTTTCAAAAACAATTTACATTATTTCATACCGTGATCATTGACCAATTTAACATTGCAAATACAAGCCCTCATAAGCTTCCATCACAGACATATTTGTCTCAGTTCAACAGAGTGTAGTGTGTTTTGTTTACGAGTCACTATTAGTATTTAAATTTATATTAGCCACTTAAAACCATTAAATCATTTAATGGTTAATACATTCAATATGCAAAATACTTCAGAATAATATCGAGCTTATGAGAAACAATCTGTACATAAATGTGCCCCAGAAGCTCTGGCATTCCACTGGTTCGGTCCCTGTGCCCGCCATGCAGAGTTCTGCACCCCACGCTGTGAAAGTGTGTTCAACAAAACCTAGATGTGCTTTACGAGGACCAGAAGACTTTATATTTATTTTTAAATATCAAAATAACAGAAAGAACTAGTTCAATATACAATACACTCCCTAGTCTTCACAGAGAATGAATTTTTCTATAAAGACATTGGTACTTAAGAAACACAAGACAGCCGAAGTATCTATAAAACTGACAGGATGACTTTATACACAGTTGACGAAATAACGAGTTTTGATATTTTAGATTTTTCTTTGTAATGCTTTGACACGTGTCCCTAATGATTAGAAACAAAATGTATGATTTAAGACTGAAACTAAGTTTAAAAAGTTTAAAAGCATCTTCTCTTTAATGTACATTGTAGATCCCCTTCATCGGAACATTGACTGCCACACGGAGCAGCTCAATGTCCACCTCTGTAATCACCTCCTGGCAGCCCCGCCCACCAACTGTAACAGTTCTACCTACAGGCATAAGAAAGTTCTGTAATTATACAACAGTATGCAGACCAACATTAGTGCAAGCAGGAACACCAAGCAAAGAGGCTAAGTAACCATGAGAAGGGTGCATGCGCTTCATTCAAGAAATGTTCTAGAATTCCAACGGTAATGCAAGCACTGAAAATACTTCTTTACCTAAGAATTTGGAAAAAAAAAAAAAAAGTATGTCCATATCTGTATAACCTCTATTCTGTGACTATAATTCTTCATTTCTGTTTATGTAATGGCTGCAGAGGCTAAATTTAAATTCTTTGGGGATTTTCCAATAGTCATAGGCTTGAGACCAATCAATACACAAGCAGGTTGACACATGGAAGGTAAACAAACAAACAAAAAAGGTGTTTAATCTACCAAAACCTTCTCTCATCTTCCACACCACCTAATCCTATTTTTCCTTTTTCATGCTACTTCAAAAAGGAAGTGCAGAGAGCATGCCAATATTCCAGGAAAAAAGGATCTTTAAGTAGAAATAACTTTGGAGGAAATAAGGTGATCCCCAAAAAAACCCTACAGGCTGTACCAAGAGGAATGCGCAAAAGAAAGTGGAGAACCTAAGCAAGAGTGGGCTTAAACACTGTTAAAACAATGTGAAAATTATTCTCACGTTACCCATCATTCACTCCAATAGCAAGTACCATTTACCATCATCCTCTTTAAAGTTTTAGAAACGTGACTTGTTTCTTTTACTTTCCCCTCATTTTCGATGTGGCACTGAGTCTTCGAGAATCCTCACGTGACTTTAAAAGTCCTGGCTGTTCCTGAGTTGACCAACTCAGGTCGCACGTTGGTTGGGACGCTGCGGCTCTTCAGGGGAAACTCACGCAAACCATCAGCTCCTGTTCGGTTTTCGGCAAACTGGCGTCAGGAGCAGTTCGGGGCAGAGCTGCGGTTACTTTTAAACGGCCGGTGGGGGGAGGAGACAGAGAGGCAGGCACACAACTCATTTCGTTTTATTTGTTAGGTTCCTCCAAGAAGCGTGTAGAGACAGGCCAGGAAGTGGCTTCACAGTGACTATAAGGGCCAAAACAGACATCAAACACAAAAAACAAATATTCACACAAGTACTTAGTGCCTATTTTCCTACATAAGCATAAAGCAACCTAAAAAAAAAGTGCTTTCTGACCAGCAGGGGACATAGCGTGGATGTTAGACCCATAACAAGGACAAAGTCAAGCTCATCGGTTAACTGGCGAGGTCTGGCCAGCAGAGTCCCCTGGAAGGAAGCAACTCCCGCACAGTGAAAAGGCAGAGAGCTTTCAGGCTGGAAAAGACGCCCGGTGCACGAGCAACGCTCCGAGCCCGACTTCTCACGGAGGGGATGACAGAATGATCGAAGGAAACGCAAACTTACAAATGTACCAGTTCAGCTGTCTCTTTAATGTGTCTGCAATTACAGAATGAAAAACAATGCATGACATTTAATTACGTATTAGCCCTTAACTAACAGTTTATAGTCACTCCACTATGACACTTGGACACTTTGAAAGTCGACAGAAGATTAGTAGTGTACCTAGTTCATGGCCTGACGTCACTTAAAAGGAAGTCACTGAACACAGCACCAGTTTGAAGCCCTAGCTTTGCTGCTCCTCCTCTCCTAGCAATGACCTGAACTACTTAAAAGCACGCGAAGATCGCCACCTTCAGAGATGGCTAGCTCTTGCTGGCATGAAGAACAAACCCGAACTTCAAATGGTATTTTAGGCTGCAAAATATAGGCAGGGTTTCTTACAAAAATAACTTCAACTTGTTGTAAAAAAAAATTCTAAGGCAAATGATTTTAATAGTGTAGTGTAAAAAATAAGCTTATTATTTTGCATTTAATAGTGTCCACTGAAAAGATAACATTCAATTAATTAAACTGAGGAAAACTGAGTATTCTTACTTGTAATTTGTCAGTGCGACTATTCCCAGAGTGTTTTCAACACAAACATTTAATTCTAAGTATTCAGACTAACAATTTTTTTTAAATTCGTAAGCCTAGGACTTCAACTGTGCTTCTTTGGACAAATATTTATTCAAACAACAAAGAATTTAAATTCTTTTTAACTATTTTAATACCTACTATAATCTTTGGTGCATTTAAGTAAAAACCGATTAGGTTAACAAATTTCTACACTTAATAAATTATTCACCTTTCATATTAAGTGCTAACTGCTATCAGCTAAAAATTAATTTAAGACAATAAATTATGCTCATAAAATATTCTGAATGAGGCTAAACTTAGTTGCAAGATTCAAAATCTAAGTACAGATACAGAATTAATGAATTTGAGAGTTAATGGAACGTTTGTCCAAAAAACTCCCGAACGCTACAGAGAAGGTTAACTGAAAAGAGTAGGCCTCATTTCCTATTTTTGTGCCAACTTCAAAAACTTATATACATTCAGTTTGCCCAAATCCATGAGGTTTTTACAACTTTAAAGTTTCTTAAAATCTAATTTGGAAATGAGAGGCAGCAGAGGTTTGTCTGCTCGCCCCCTAAGCCTCGCTCGCTCTTCGTGAGAACCGCACTCTCGCCCCCCAGCCTGCTGACCCCCCAGCCTGCTGGCCCCCCAGCCTGCTGACCCCCCAGCCTGCTGACCCCCCAGCCTGCTGGCCTCCCAGCCTGCTGGCCCCCCAGCCTGCTGGCCCCCCAGCCTGCTGACCCCCCAGCCTGCTGGCCTCCCAGCCTGCTGACCCCCCAGCCTGCTGACCCCCCAGCCTGCTGGCCTCCCAGCCTGCTGGCCTCCCAGCCTGCTGACGAGCACTCGAGAAAAGGCAGGGCGGGGCGCCTGGGGCACCCTCAAGAACTCCACGTCTCCCTCCTAGAAACTAGCAGCCGCCACGTACTACGCTGTGAGCCTCCTCGCTGCGTCCTTCAGCTCAGACTCTTTATCTCTAGGGTGGGGGCAGGGCGCGTTTGCGCTGCTCCAGATCCCGACGAGGTTTAGGTGAGGTAACTTTTCCAGTTGAAGTCACCCGTCACCCCCAGCAACTACATACACTGGCATTTCCCTTTCAAGAAGAGATGCATTCTAGAAACATTGTCTGCTGTAAACCAATCCCCACGATCAAATCGTACACTTAAAGCATTAGGAGATTATTATGAAAAGAACCCTAAAGTAAATACCTTCAAAAACCAAAGTGTTCCTTTCAACATGAAAATGCGACACCTCTTTTCCTGCTCCCAGTCCTGAAGAGCGCCACGGACACGCACGCGTGCTCCGTCCGCCTTTCTGCGGGTCCGAGGTCTCCCCCGGGCGCTTGTGTCAGGCAGGCGGCACTGTCGGCTATTTCTTTCCGCAACAGCAGGTTTCTCAGCTAAAAGCCTTGTTGTTCTTTATGATAAAAGTCGTCAAGAGAGGCCGTTTGAAAGTCAATTTAAAAGACTAGCAGACTAACAGTACCTCATAATCAAGTTCAATCATGTAAGTACCCCAAATAGAACATTTCCACAAGAGAAGGAACATTTCAAAAATATGAATACACTCATTACAGCTACTGGTCCTAGGATGATTATACCCAAATCTTAATGAGCGAGGCAGACCCAGGCTCGCCCCACTATTTACAAGAGCTCCTTGGGTTGGGCGCCTCCACCCTCACACCTGTCCTCTGCCCCCCCCCCCCTGCCCCCAGGGCACGATGCCGCTGTGAAGTGCCTGCGTCTCCTCCGGGCTTCGGCGAACCCGCCTCCCTGGCCAGGGGTTGAATTTTATTCACTAAAACTCCATTATTTTATTTGTGATTTTTTTCACAAGGCCTAGGTGAGACTTTACAGTTTACACACACACACACACACACACACACACAAAAGTGCTTAACAGGAGTGTAAACAAAACGGAAAAAGAAAACTCTCAAAATTGCTATTTTCCAGTAACTGACATACAAACGACATGCTAAGAAAAATCGACCCTGCCCATTCCAGTCCTCCAAGCAGCTCTCCTAGGAAACACTGTCCTGGCTGAAGTTCAAATTGACTTGAAGATATGGAAAGTGCACATCTTTAAAGGTATTTTATAATGACCTAGCATTTGACTATTTCCTCACTTTATTTTAACCAGTTAGGTTTTGCTGTAACTGCCATTTCCTTTCGCCAAGTGCTCAACTTTTGTCTCATACAAAAAAACAAGGATAATGAGAAAGCAGGCCTATGTGAAAAACAAAGATAAATCTGGATTACATGTAAATCTGTGTCCACACAGTGGTTCCCTCTCGTTAAAGTGAACCCCGTGGAGTGAAGTCCGACACAAGCGTTCTGGCTGGCTTGGCACCTCTCCCAGCAACTGGTGTGCGGCCCCTCGGTTCTGCCTCCCCAAGTCTCGGGGGGCCCAGGGCCATGGAGCCAGGAAGCTCCATCAAATCTCGTTAATTAGATCTCGTTTGCTTCCCTTACTGACCTGAAGACGTAGCGTCAATGTGAGGCCCCCCTTACTGAGATGAAGACGCATCGTCAATGTGGAATCGGCGTCAAAACATAAAGGTGAACTTAGCTTGGACGGTCACCGTCATATTTTGTTTTGAACGCATTACCAACTTGTGTAATTTAATGCCTAGACTTATATCTGCATTTCCGATCCATAATTAGTATGAATGATTTCTTATTCACAGTAATTGTAATTAGTATGAATGATTTCTTATTCATAATAACTTGCATTTCTTACTCATAACCAATAATTTGGATAACTATTTCAATTCTACATCTCACTGAACAAGCTGCTCTTACATCAGGTAGCTTTCTGGCTTTGCCTTTCTCAAAAGACCAAAGGATAATGATAACCTGAAATTATGGCCAGATAACGAAACAACACAGAAATACCCAAGACTTTCTTATAAAGTCAAATTCAAAATATCAATTATTTAAAATCTGGAGGCAGTAATAATGACTCTCAGGTTAGGATCAGCGTCAGTTATCAGTAAACTTGCATGGATTTTCCTGCCACCTACATGGTCCTTAAACTTTTCTGGAAGATAGGGAAGGGAGAAGAGAGGAGTAAGACTACAGAAAAGTAAAATTTCCACTGATGATTAAAAGAACATAATGTCAACAGCTAATAATTTTTAAAAACTTGAGATACTATTTAAAATTGGCACTAAATAATCTTTTAAAATCACAAAAATGTTCACTTCAAATATACCTCAACACGCGTCCCCATATTCCTACGCTCAGTAAACGGAGACGCATTTTTCTGGAGCTGAGCCGTTCTCAGTACTCGGGAGCGAGAGAATGAACGTGCGCCTGCGCGGGCGCCCGCCGCCCCCGAGCCCCCGCGCCCCCGCCGCCCCCTCCGGCCCCCACGAGCCGAGCGGCCTCACGGGCGGTGCTCCTCGCTGGGGAGGCTCTGGACGGCGGGCGCGCTGTCGAGCCCCAGCAGCGTCCCCAGGTAGGACTGCTCCCTGGGGTCCAGCATCTGCTCGGGGCGCACGGGGTGAACCAGGGTGGCGGGCTGCGGCGTCAGCGTGTACTTTTCCAGGAAAGCTAGGTCGGCTGCCCGCGGGAAGTCTGCGGGCTGTGGCTGTGGCGACGGCGACATGAGGTCGTGCGCGGGCGCCGGCAGGGTGGCGGCGTGCCGCCCCAGGTCCCCCGGGGGCTCGGGCATCTGCACGGGCACCAGCGTCACCGGCACGCACACCTCCGCGGGCACATGCGGCAGCATCGCCTTGGCCTCCGCCGGGTACCCTTTGGGCCCGTCCGGGTAGGGCTTCGCCTCCGCTCGGAAGAGCTTGTTGTCCACCGGGCACTCGGCCGGCGGGGACCCGAGCTTGTCCTCGGCGCCCAGGGGCTCGTCCGCAGCCTTGATGCCGTGCACGTGGTCCGTGTGGTACTTCAGCTTGTCCTTCCGCTTGAAGGTGGCGGTGCAGTGCTGGCAGGTGAAGGGCCGGGCGTCCGAGTGAATGACCAAGTGCTTCGTCAAGGTTTTCTTAATTCTAAAAGACTGATTGCAAATTTGACACTTGTACGGTTTTTCACCTGCGTGAACGACAAGGGCATTAAGTGCAAAATACACGCGCTTGGTGAGACAGTGATTTTAAACAGCAAACTTTCCATGTGAATTCTGCTAAGAACTAGCAACAGCAGGCACGGTGTGTGCCAGCGCGAAACTGCAGGCTGGTGAGCGGAGCGGCCGCTGCACCTCGGGTCCTGGCCGTGCCGCTGGGCAGCCAGGCCTCGGGGGAGGTCTCGGCTGTGAGCCCCGCTTCCGCCCCACCCGGGACGGTGCCCTGGGGGCTGACCTCACCGGGACGCACTGGGTAGACCTCCGCTGTGGCCACCCGGCTTGCCCTTATTCTCACTAGAACCTCCAAGTTCCCCCAAATCAGGACTTCCGCGTTTGGAGAGAGGCGGAACTTGGTTTTCACAGCAGCACTGCACCAGTGATAAATTCTTCACTGTGATTCTTGGCCACTGAAATGGCCCAGATCTACTTATTTCTCGTTCTGGTATTGATGAAAGCGATTATTTTTCTCCCCCAGAACAGCAGTTTGACAAAATGCAAACTAAATACAAAACAAAGGTATAAATGCATAAATGAATTTTTCAAAAAAAGAAAGAAAAGCATTAGAAACTGTGTAAAACTTCATTTACACGAGATATCCACCATGGACACACAGAGGGAAGAATCCCACACAGTCTACATTTCAAATTTCAGCAGCGTAACCACGGGGGGGAAACAGGATTTAGAAAATGGCAATTTCTGGAAAGCAGCAGAAGCAAATCGTCCTACTCTAACTACCTCCGAGTGACAAGTGGCCCAGAGGAAAACTGTGCAGGGGTAACTTGGCAACCCAGACGATGAGGCCATATTTGCATTTCTCTTTTAAAGGAGAAGAAAACACATGTCTTCAGAGAGGCACACACAGAGGACCCATAAACAAGCAAAGAGGAAAATGAGAGCTAAGAGCTGAGCAAGTTCCCAACGGAAAAAGTTTTCTCGAACTGTGCGGAACGGTGCGCACAGGACCGGAGCTCATGTGACAGAGAAGGGAAGACCAGGACATTGCTCCTTCACGCCACCGACTTTCCCCCGGGGAGTGAGTATCTTAATGGGGAAAAACCAAAACTATTTCACTAGCAACAAAGTTTAAAGGCTCATATTTTACTCCTGAATAATTACACCAAAATATACATAAACTGCCCATTCAGTTTTACCTGAATGTGTCCGAAAATGCATTTCCAGACTGGACTTGCCTTTAAAAATCTTCTTACAAACATCACATTGATGAAAGGTTGCTTTGTATCTAAGAAAACAAAAAGGTTTGACTTTTTCAGCATGAGTTTAACAAGTGACCCTCCGCAATCAAAGGACACCGACGTCCCCGAGGGCAGCACCGCTGAGCCGGAGTTGGGAGCTCAGGCAGCCCCGTTTTGCATGGAATACAAACCATCTCCCTTGAAAGAGTTAAGGGCAAACCACAGGTGCGCACTAGAGAATTTGGCAGACGTTTTCCCAAAAACTAAATGAAGTGAGCCCATCACTTCAAGGGGAAAAACGGACGGTTCGTGTTAGTGACGGGACCTGAGCTCTCCGGCCGCCGTGAGAATTTTGGAAGCCGTGCACCTGCCCCTGTCCCGAGCCCCTCTACCGCAGACGCGGAGGTGGGGTTCGCAGGTGTGGTCAGCGATCTGTCCTGCGAAACACGCTGACGTCTGGAAAACCCGCGGACCTCAGGGAACCCCCAGTTTCCCGATGAACGTGCACGGCGCCGCGGTGTTCTGGGCAGGCAGAGCACCGTCCAAAGTGCCAGCTGACCAAGAGGTTAAACGTAACGGGGTAGGGAGACTTCGTGCCTCTTGTTTCAGATTCCGCCGTGCTGCTTCTTCCCGTGGCAAAGGCGGCACTTGTCTAGCTGTAGGGCAGCGGCCAGGAGAGGCACCCACAAGTACCCGAGAGAAGGGCTCCCCCGATACTCCTCTTCCTACCAGCCACGTGTCTGAGTGAGGCTGCACTGTCTCCGTTCACGTCAGCCAAAACGACACGTGACCAAATGTGGCAATGCAGCCACTGAAGAGATTGACAAAAATGTAGAACAATACCACTCTTTTTTAATGGCTGTTCTGTTTTGTAAAGTACTTACTTTTCACATAACTACTATTTATGTTAGCATGTGATGAGTATCTTATTTTAAAAAATAAATAAGAACTTCCATTTTTTCTCATTCTAATTTCTGTGGTTCATGTAACCTATTTGAACTGTAACGTAAAACCGATGGTGTGGTGACCCAAAGGGGCTGAGGAGCAGGGTCCGGGGCTCTCTGGAGGAGGTGACGCCTGAGCCTGTCCCCGCCCTTTGGCAGTGAGCTCCAGCCCCGTCCCCTCCTCGACAAGCCTTGTGGGCGCTGTCCTGTCCCCGCCCTCCGAGGCACGGCTGCCACCTAAGGGGCACGCGACTACAGTGACGACACTGAGTGCATCACTGAACGGAATCGGTGCAGGGAGCACGAAGCCACACGCGAACGTGCAAATCATCAATCATCGCGTGGGAGTCAGCGCTGCCCGCGGGCCCCCCATCAGCCCGCAGTCTCTGCGCGAGAATGCGGGGAGCGCTGCTGTGCGGACCGCGCTCCGCGGCTGGTGAACGGAGTCCCCACCCATTACTGAGCTCTCGCTCCAAACACACCTAGTCAAGAGCATGAGCTCATTCCATGTTTCACCCCCGGCAACTCAGTCACACTCAGACACCTAGCTTGCATCGAACAGTTGCTGTTCAGGACAGTGCGTGCCTCCTTCAAATAAAACACCATTTCAAAAGCTTATGTGACTATAAACACTTCCGATAACTGCTGTCTCATTAAGTATCATACACAGGCAGTGTGTTTATATACTCCAGGATCCACGGCAACTGAACAAATGAACTCCCCAAAGAATGCCGAGAGTTTACGTTCGTCCTTCCGGTCACCTCCTCGCCTCTGAACGACTGAAAACAGGCAGGAACTGCGTTCTCAGTTCCTTGGGGTCTGCAGAGAAGCTACGGTAGCGAGAGAGGAGAGAGCTGAGTGACCGGCCTGTCCCTACACAGGCGAAGTGAACCGTGAGATGGGGTAACACCCCCCAGCCCAGACGCAGCCCACGCGGCCCCGAGGACAGCCTGCGCCTCTCCACTTACTTCTGCCACACCTTCTCTCCCAGGTGCACGCTCTTGTAGTGCACGGTGAGGTGGTCCCTGCGGCCAAAGCACTTCCCGCACTCTTCACACTGGTGCGCCTTTTCACCTTGGAGACCCAAATGTCCGGGTTATAACGGGCATCGCAGTTTCCTTCCCCCCGACACCGGTGACCAACAGGAGGAGAACACGGGGAGGCGGACCCCGGGAGCGGCAGGCCACCCTCGGTTCCGGGCTCTGGGCCTCCCCTCCGCACTCAGACACCGCCCCCAGGGGCCCGCGCTCAAGTTCAGGGGCACGGTCCTCTGCGGCAGACTGCGCCCCTTGCCTTCCAGTGTCACAGAGCAGGAAGGATGGCACTGCTCCAGGACTCGGGGCTCGGGGGGGGGGGCGGGGGGGGAGATACACGTCTGGACATCAAACACCTTCAAGGACCACACACGGAATCCAGCTGAGGCTGTCTTACTGTTTATGAAACGGACCTGAACACTTTCCGATCTTTGTACTTTATGTTTAAAAGACTGTTCGTCTGTGGGGACTGCTTACATGCACAGTGAGCCAAAATACAGACATGCAGCGAAATTCTAGATGAGGCCAATTTCTTACACTCAGTAGCAAAGACCTGCCCTTCAAAAGTCCTTTCTCAACTTAATCCCAGCGTGCAATCTAACCCTGTGGCCTCTAGAATGGGAAATTTAGAATTCTCCACCTAGAAATGGAAATGTGCAATAAGTATCTTATTTTTAAAAAATAAATAAGAACTTCCATTTTTTCTCATTCTAATTTCTGTGGTTCATGTAACCTATTTGAACTGTAACGTAAAACCGATGGTGTGGTGACCCAAAGGGGCTGAGGAGCAGGGTCCGGGGCTCTAAGTATCTTAGAGCATCTTAGAGTATCTTATTGCTCTAAGGGGCTGAGGAGCAGGGTCCGGGGCTCTAAGTATCTTAGAGCATCTTAGAGTATCTTATTGCTCTTATTGCACTTATTGACTTTTCCCTCCAGTGGGAAAAGTCACCGAGACCTTTACCATCCCGACCCAGCCAGCCTCGCGGGAGCCATTTCCGACCGAGACGACCGCAGGCTGCCCAGGCAGCACTTGCGTTTGCAGTGACAGTCGTGGTCGCGGCTCCACCAGGCTCCCCGCGCCGGCTCTTTTTAACCCTGTCCTCTTTAACCCTGCCTGGGCATCCGCCGGAGAGGAAGGTGGAGAGCAACCCCCAGGACATAAAAACTGTGCGTGCAGGAAAGAGATTGGAATTGACCCCGGTGATCCAGGCCCTCTTTTCCAAAGACTGGTTTCAAAACTTCACTGTGACATAAACTTTAATGCCCAATGACAATCATGTGTCTTGAGACGTGTAAGCTTTGCTAACTTCCTTCAGCCTCAGTCAGAACGGCTGGCACCTCCCCCTTCGGGGGCTGTCAGCAGCAACTGCTACAAATGTCCCTGTATAGGCAAAATGCCAATTTTGAGCGTTTTCATTAAAACAATTTTAAAATATGGTTTGTAGTCAGAAAAGGCCACCAGATGGGTAAAATGACAGTGAAGAAAAACAAGCCATAAAATCACGCCCCTTTCAGACACTCCTAAAGCATGTGGTCAGAACAGCAGCCCCCGGGCTGGCCAGCCCACCCCAGTGCCCAGAACTCGGGCCGCGCGCACACAGCACAGTGGGCCCTACCTGAGTGGATCTTCTTGTGCTTCGTGAGGTGGTCGTGACGGATGAAGGTCTTCCCACACTCGTCACACTCGTACCGCTTGTCATCGTGATGGACCCGGAGGTGCAGCCTGCCGGAAGAGGAGGGGAAGACTGAGGGCGGGGGTGGGAGGGGAGGGAGCCTGGCCCCACTCCCACTCGAGAGCGGGAGGGGCAGGGGTCTCTCCTGTCAGCCTGGCCCGCACTGCTGGGCTCCAGGCCTCCTGCTCCGCTCCCCTCTTTCAAGAAGCACTGCTACCCCTGCCCCGGCTCACTGGACTCTGGGCCACACTCCTTCCCACCTGTTCCACCCTCCTCCCCGTCACTGAACCTGCCAAACGGCCAGTCCCTCTGCCTGGCGGGCGGGAATCCAGAAGGAACCAGAACACAGAAGGAACGGAAGGGGCCCTGCTGGGTGACCGACGGCTCACGTCTGAGCCGGCAGCTGGGAGTTCCGTGCCCCTAGAACTCGCCCACTGTCTGACAATCACACTGTACTGCCGTCCTCCGCATTCAGCCAGACGGAATGCGGCTCATTCCACAGCCACCCGAGGACACACAGTAAAAGGTGCCGATCATCCTCGCAGCCCTCCATCATGTCTGTCTGTCCCAGGGGAACGAACGGCTTCCCCGTTCGATCCGCCCCGCACGCAGCTCTGCTGTAACTAAAACCGCTCAGCTGACCGAACCACACGTAAGGGGAAGTCCTCTGCTTCAGCTCAAACAGAAGTAGCTCACAAAGGAGCGGATGCACAGCAAAGGGTTAAGACTGAAATTCTTCAGCACCGTTAATAAAAGGTAAGCTGTACATATATCTCACACATAATCCCTTCCTATTTACTCAGAAAGACACTTTTAAGAAACTCTAAATGTGGTCAGGGATTCAGTTATAAAAATAATTACATAAGTTTAAACCAACAAAGACTTTCGAAAACTGAGAATCCTGAAGTTTTCCATTTTGCCATATTTTCATACCAAACTACTCTGTGACAATAGAGAACGAGGAAATACACTAAGTCCAGAACACTAGAATTATAATAAATCTGATTCAAAGAAAAGTAATGACATAAACTGTTAAATGACAATAATTTAGACAGTAAGGCACACAGCCACTTTGGTGGCGAGGAAATATTTAACAATATTTTATACTCCACAATGAAGAGAGTATTAAAATGTGTAAGGGAGAAGTCTACAAAGTTTTTTTGCACAACTTTGCTTATTGTAAATGCTAGGAAATGTTTTAATTCAACAAACAACCAAACCACGAATAAAAAACGTAGAATGAAAAGGAAGGCAGAATTCTACCTTCCTTAATATAAAGAAAAAATCGCCCCGACCTACCTGTACGAGCTTCCATGACGAAAACTTTGCCCACAAATGCTACAGAGATGAGGCTTCTCTCCACTGTGGATCCTCAGATGCTCCTTCAGAGTGGTTCTGTGTTAAAAAAAAAAAATGCAATGAAACAAACGACTGTTCAGTGTAGAGTAAACACACATTTCCAGAAAGCTCGCTGGGAAGGTGTTCCGGCGACCAGATGCTCCCTCCTGAGCCCAGTCGCCGTGAGAAGGGAACGCACACGACCACAGTCACTCCGCCCCTCCGTCCCCCCGCCCTGGTCCCAGGTGGGCCGCGGTGTGGCCCCGGCCGGTCCACACGCATCCCCAGCCCGCCCAGCAGTTCCGTGTGACGCCCAGAGACTCCCCCCAGGTGGAGGGCGCACAGCGCCATCGGGGGAAGAAGGCACGAGGCCACAGGCCCGGCCCTGGCGGACTCCGGCTGCCGCTGGCTCCCCTCCCCAGGTGGGTCCAGGGTGTGCTGAGCATGCAGGCCGCGCTGAAGGGAAGGCAGCTGCCTGCCAGGGGGTGGCCGGGTCAGCGGGCGCACCAGCACCTCCCCGGGGAGTCTGCAGGGGCACCCCGCACTGTGGGAAACGCCCGGAAAGCACTCCCAGACCCCCACCTATTCAATATTACTAGACCCCCACCCATTCAGCATTAAAGTGAAAGCACGGAAAGGTTGTGATGGCTTTGGGTTGGTTCGCTTTTTGGTTTTGGCAGAAGGGAGTTTATGATGCATAAAATAACCTTAATAACTTATTAACCTGCAAATACGCATTTTCATATAAACACAGCGTGTTGATTTCCCTATTCTGCCATCATATCCCTGTTATTTTGAGGAAGTGGCATTTCCAATTTCTTATTTATGCAACTTAAATATACTGAAGAGTGTAAGTTACACATACTGTTTTAAAAACATCAGGCACAGGCCGCTACAGCTTGGGGTAGCTGCACACGCACCCCAACCCCAGCCTCCCCACCCCCCTCCGTCGGAAGTAACCCCGTGGCACGCACCCCCCCCTTTGTCCTGCTCCCTGCGTGGTGTGCGGCACTGACAACACAGCGTGCGTCTCTGGGACACTGAGTAGCGGGCAGACGCCCACCCGCACCGCCGTTTCTAGACGAGGGGCCCACAAGATAACATGCACAGGGCCCCCCATCCAAGTGGGCGATGGCTCCCCTGAGGTCCGCAAGAGCCCACCCCCGCAGGTCAGTGGGCCGAGGGCCAACAAGCCCTGGGAAGGGAGCGCGCCCCGGGAGGAGCACCCCCCCCCCGCCCCGAGCGGGGCGCCCAGGCACCGGCAGTGTGGCAGACACACGAGCAACGCAGGCGGGCTGCCCCGGCACGCGGCCGCTACACTGGCCGCCACCACCCCTGGGCCTCACACGCCGACGACAGAGGGTCTGTGAACAAGACCAGCGTGCCCGGCTGAGTGGAGCAGCAGGGCAGGAAAGGGGGGGGACCGCATTAGCTCGCAGGGGCTGCGCAGAAGCGGGGGACAGGTGAGGACCGGGGTCAGCGAGGGGACGAGGAGCTGCTGCTCAGCGGGCATAGGGCCGGTCACGCGGGTGAGTCCCGAGGCCGGCCTGCCGTGCGGCACCGTCCCTGCGGTCGGCCGCCGGCTCCGCGCCCCACACAGCCGGGAGGGCGGCGTCCTGGTCCTGCTGCACGTTCTCGTCAGCTGAAAACAACGTCACAGGGCGGCTCTGCGTCAGACCTTCTGCTCCCCAGTTAAGAGGCAACGGCAGGGACCTTCGCAGTGGCGGTCTGCAGCGTGGCACGGGTCACCGGTGGTGAGGACCGAAGGCCCACCGCACACCAAGGCGAGGCCTCCGACGTGGTGGGACCCTCACCGCCCACCCCGCCGGACCGCCCCGCCTCGCTCCTGCGTAAGGGTCCCCATTTCCAGGAGCCTCTGTCTTCAGTCTGGCTTCTCCTTCTGGGGGAGCACGGCCCTAGCTGCCTCCAGGGAACGAACGGTTCAGTGAGGCTGGTTTCCTGACGTCATGAAAGATGTCTTTATCACCCTCACACTTGATGGTTCGTTTGCCTAAAGACAGGATTCTAGTTTGGGAACTTTTTCCCTTCAGAGTTCTGAAAGTACAGCTGCAGGGAAAAGCCCAAGTAGTCTGATTCTTATCTCGGGGCTCGGTTGCTTTCTCCCGAGACAGAAACAGAGGCGCCTCTCGCCCGCAGTGCCCCGGGGGGCCGGCGGTGCGCCTCAGGCAGGGCTCTCTGCGGGTGCTGTCCGGGGCTCCTGATGAATTCTCTGCGGGTGCTGTCCGGGGCTCCTGATGAATTCTCTGCGGGTGCTGTCCGGGGCTCCTGGTGAATCACTGCCATCTGGCAGCTCACGGCCTTCAGTCCTGGGACATCGTCTTGAATGATTTCGACGATTTTTTTAATCCATTTTCTCTGTTCTTTGTTTCTTGACCTCCTGCCCAGTCAGCTGAAGTCCCACACTTTATGTCACGTTCCTGCACCTTTTTGTCTGCGTGTCGGGGGGCTGCCTCCACCTGGTCCTTCGGCCCTTCCGTCATGTCTGTCCTGCTTCCGTCACGCTCTGCGTCCCTGGGAGCCCTGAGCTATGAGGTCGGTGACTTCTGTGCAACATCCTGTTCTTGTTTAGTGGCTGCTGCATCTTCAGCTGGGAGCATCAATAACAACTGTTTACTTCTTGTCCTGCAAGTTCCCTTTCCTGCAGAATCTGCTTCCCTCGGTGTTGCTAGTTTCTCTGTTTGCGTTGAGGTCTGTCCTCCAGGTTCGACGTCCCCTTCTGCGCCTGGCGGCCCTCCGCTGCAGGCCCTCCGCTGCAGGCCCACGAAGTGTGCCGGGGCGAGAGCTGGGGAGGGAGGCCCACGGCATGGGTGGGTGTGGGTGGGCGTGGACGCCGCTGCCTCACGGCCGGCGGTCTGGGTGGCCTATTCAGGAGGGAACACGTTTGCCCGTTGGTTGCTCAGATTCCCGGGAAAGTGTTTTCTAATCTTCTGCCTGGAAGATAAAATCTATAGTCCACGAGGTCAGCAGGGACCGGGTCCGGGGCAACCGTCAGGACGCGTGCCCACACCCGCGGCTCTGGGAAAGGGCGGCACCCACACAGGGGCCCCTGCGGGGGACGGGAGAGAAGCGCGATCTGAACTCTCGAGCTGTTTCTGCTGCTGGGCTCCTCTCTCCGCCTCGCCTCCACCCTGGCTCTGGCTCCGGGGGACAAAAACGAGCCTCCCCTCGTCTACAGCGCCACCTCGGACTCGGTTTCCTTAGGTCTCTGAGTCGGTTATCACGGACCCACGGGCTTCCAGCCTGCTGTGTTCTCGCTCCCTTTCCCTTCGCCCTGTCCCTGCAGCTTACTGTCTTTAGGGTAAATAAATAAACGAGTAGCTTTAATGTATCTCTAGTGTGACTTCAGGCAGAGACAAAACGGTATCTACGTTACATTCACCTAAACCCACGAATCCTGACTTCATAGCGTCTTCTGTGACGTTTTATATAATTTCTTCTTTTACCTTCCCATTTCAAATTAAGGCACAGTTCATGTGCCTGCGCCGTGCACTGCTCTGACCCCGCGCGCCGCCTTTGTCACTGCCACCGGCAGTGCCAGCGCTGTCCCGGGTCTGGGAACGGGACGGCTCCTCACCTCTCCCGCACTGACTTCCCACAGATGAAGCAAGTCCACTTTCTCTTGCCGCCGTGGGTACATTCTATGTGGCGTTTCAAATTCCCGGTGTCATTGAACTGGCGCCCGCATATGTCGCACGGGAAAGGACCTGAAGAGGAAAGAACAGTGTGCACATGAGGGTGAGAGAGTCAGTTCCAAGTCCCCCTTCACTGGTACCTGGAAAGAGAGGCTGTGGGTCGCCCGGGGACCCGCTGCTTGGGACTGGCACCGAGGGTGGGGGGCGGGGGGGGTGTGCTTGCAGGACTGAGCCCTTGACCGGTGGGTGGGGTCTGTCCCTGCCTCCAACCAGTGAGCTAAGCTGCAGGACACCCAGGTGCCATCGGAGACGCGCTGCCTGTCGCGGGGAGGAAGCCCACACGTCTGGTGACCGGAAGCTGCAGAAATGAAGGGTTTTGTGGGAACAGACTGGAGGGGGGCGCACCAGGAAGGCACGGCGACTACGAGCGGGGGTCTTTCTCCTGTCGAGTGTGTGACGGGTGTGTGCCTGCTCTCGTGAGTGCACGTGCAATCGCACAACACAGCCGTTTATCCGGAGTTCTCTCTTCCCGTCGGTCCCTAGAAGGCAGATCGGCGATCACGTCCGAGTCCCTAGAGCCGAGTCCAGCGCAGGCATCTAACACAAAAAACGCTAATGAACTAACGAGTCCACAGATTGGAGCGCCAGTTCCTAGACGGAGATCAGACGGGAGAACGTCACGAATGTTACACGCTGAATGCCTGGAATACGGAAGCAATGAAAAACTTTGGGAAAGTGAAGAGAGTTCCGGGTTTGAAAGCGTATTGTTCAAGGAAGCTGTGCATTTGGAAGATGTCTCAGGATGTGGAAAAGTAAACCGAAAAGGGAGTTCGCGGATCAGTTAATGAAGAACTCGTTACAGCAGCACGATGGGAAGAAACGGCGTTTGAGCACGTTTGGAATCCGGAAGCCTGTCGGTGGGCGGAGCCGCTCGGAGGCCACGCCCTGCAGAGAACCCGCACCCGTCACACACCCCGGACAGACGGGGAGAGGACCTCCAGGGGCGCCGGTTGCGGGTGTCTGCACGTGCGCTCACTGAGCCCCTCCCTCCCCCACCTCCCACGGGAGGAGTCTCTTCTCCGCTCCCCAACCCTGCAGCAGGCGGTCATCGGTGCCGCGTTCCCGCGCTGTGCGAGGTGACCTGCCAGGAAATGCCCCTCCTCCGCCTCCTCCACCCAGCAGCTCCCACCCAAACGTGCTAGTGCGTCCTCTGCAAAATGAGTGTGGCTTCTGGGCGGTTTTAGAGTTTCCCCAGTGACTGGGGAAAGTCAGATGGCCCTCGTGTCCGCGACTCTGTACTCTCTTCATTAAATTTAACTCATGTGGTTTGACCTGTTGCACAGCACTGCACTGTCTCTACACTTTCCCTCTCTGCTGTGTGGGTTCACTCCCCCTGCCGAGCCTCACGAGCACGGAGCACACGCTCGTGCCCACGCTGTCCTCAGGCACGTGGCCAGGGAAGGCCCCTGGTCAGCGTGGCAGTCACTCATCACCGGGGTCACCGGTCGGCAGTCACCGCGCCTGGCTGCACCGCCATCCAGACCACGAGTCCCCACGTGGCCACAGGCACTGGGGGCAGAATTCATCCAACGGGACACTGAATTCCAGGGAGACTAAGTTTTACTGTACCCCCTGAAAAACGAGCATTTCCCCGACAAAAAAAGCCATCTCCCAAGCACTCGCGAAGCCGTCCAACCATCAATGGGGAAGAAACGCAGTCTACGGTGCAGGACACACGGGCCACCGAAACGATAAATCAGCAAACAGACGTATGTCCTCGTCTCCAGGAACTGCAGCAGTTGCGGAAACCAACCCCCCGCCCCGAGACCCCCAACCTATGTGACACCTTCTCCCCGCGGGTCGGACGGGAGCGGGCTCCGCCGCAGCTGTGCAGCGGCCGAGGGCCGTGAGTGCGTTCAGACACTGCGGCGCTTACCCAGGTGGAACTTTTCCTGGTGCTTGAGCCGCGCGAACCGTGACTTGAAATGCTCTTCGCAGTAGGTGCACTTGAACGGCTTGTCTTGCGAGTGCAGAATCATGTGCTCCTCCAAGTGGGGTCTCCGCGTGAAGGACTTCTTGCAAATCTGAAAGAACGTGCACACAACGTGGGAGCCAGAATTAGACATTAAAGTGCGAAGCTCACGACGAGGAACCAACCCACAGGCTCAGAGCAGCTGAAAAGCTCCGTGGCTTTCGCAGAGGCTTCCTGGGCCCCGGCGGGCGCGCCAGCAGGAAGCGCGAGCCGCCGCCCGTCACGTGACTGAAGCGGAGGAGACCCCGGGCCCCGGCCACCCGTCCTCACCCGTCCTCACCGGGCTCCCCGCGGTCTGTCGGCCAAGGGAGCGAAGCCGCTTGGGAAGCCACACCAGGTCAGCCCACCCACAGCTGCACACGACCAGGTGACCTCAGCTGACACCGTGTGAGACGGAAGAATCACCCAGCACAGCCCAGCCCTGAGTTTGTATTCACCACCCATGAGATGGTGAGATACAATAACCGATTACTGAAGGCCACTGGGACTGGAGGCGGTTTGTTAGGTAGCAGCAGGTCATCGGAAATGGAGGAGAAACTGCAACAACAGACTGGCCTGTACCGCCCTGACGTCACAGTGCGCGCACAACCTCGAATACACGGCGGGGCGATTGCATTAAACTAAAGCTGGGGTCCCGGCTCATCTGGGCGTCATCTAAAAACTCGCCCACACGGGCCTTCACTTATCAAGATGCGAGGGCGTCACTGCATGAAGGAAAGGCCCGCAAGGGAGCCAAGCCACGTTCTGTGACTTGGAAATCTCATGGCTTTCCCAGGAGGCACCGCTACACTTGGTCTGGTTTTCTATTGCAAATTAAAGGCTATTACATCACATTTCCAACTTTCACTCTTAGTCTTCTTAATGGAAATAAATTCTTGTGCATTTTCAGGATGAAATCTGGAAAAGAAAAATAAAAAGATTATTTAAAAAGGTTACATTAGTCAAGTCAATGTTCTGTAGAATCTGAGGACAGTGACGACAAGACCCAGAGAGATTCCTTTATCACACAGAGAGACGCGCACGCGCACTGGAAAGGGGGGGCGCATCAGTGCCGTCTCAACAAACAAATGGATACGCCTCGGGTTATGCAGAGAGCGTCCGAGAAAAGTCTGGACGCGTTTTAAATACACGCACGGACCTAACTATTCACAGATCGTCTTCAAGGGAATTCACTTCAGTTTTTTTTTTAGGCCAGGTTTCAGTAAATTTAATTTCTTAGAGTTAAACATGCAAACCATACTGAATACCCTTTCACAAATTTTTATTTCATCCACCGAAGGCCCAGCTGAGCCCGGGGAATAAGTTTCCTAGCGTTCCAAGACCGCACTGCCTTGAGAGCGGACTCGCCGAAACCCAGGACAGAACACAGGACCGCCGTCAGTTTCTGCGGCACGGGCCGCGGGCCCGTTTCAACGCCAGGCACTCCCTCTCGCTGGCACTAGCGACACCCGCGAGCGCACTGGCCGACCCCTGCGCCCCCAGCGATCCGAGGCCTGCAAACCGGAAGCGGTGGAGGCGCCGCACACGAGCCCGGCCGGCCGGCCGTCCTCAGCTCGCTGTGCGCGTGGAGCCCCGAAGGCACGATCAAGTCCGTTACGGAAGCAAGATAATACTTGCCTCTTAACATGCTTGGCTAAGGTCTTCTTGCTTGCGTGAAGTTTATTACAATAAGGGCACTTGTGCTCCTTCTTATGAAAGTCTGTTTCATTACTGTGCTTCTTTCTGTGAACAGTTAGGTTAGACTTTGTCGAATAGCGCTGGCGACAAATATCACACTCAAAGGGCTTCTCACCTGTGTGAACACGTGTGTGGCTCTCATATTTCCCTATAAAAAGAGAGAGTGTGCAATTAAATTCAGCACATTCACCAGAGTGATCGAAATCTGACAGTGGAAAGGAAAAAAAAAACCCTCATGATTAATAGCCTAATTAATAATACACAGGCACACACCCACACCTAAAAAATCACTTCCCTAAACTTACAACTTTGATAAACCTCAGAGCCTTATTGTCTTGAGTTCACTGCTCAGAATACATCTTTCCTGGAAAACCCGGGTCCCCACACCCCCCTGCTGTGTTCGAGGGCTGAGCTTTAACCTGCACTTCAGTGGGGACAGGAGCTCTTGCGTGTCTCCAGGTAAAACCTGGAAGGAGCTTCCACAGACGTCCCAAGTAGCAAGCAAGTTTTGTAAAAGAAAAGGTAAGCGACATTATGACTTAGATCCGTGTTTGCAAACTGGAGGTCCTCAGGGTGCACAGACTCGGCTCCTCGGTGTGGCTAGCACTGGGGGCGGGGACGGAACGTGGGGGAACTCGTCAAAGCGCGTTCACACTGGCCGGCGAGGCAGAGACGCTCGCTGGACTGCACCAGACTGATGAACGTGCGCGCAGCTGGCGCTCCTGGGGCACCCTCTAACCCTCACGCGTTCTAAGCGGTTCACGAGGACGGCCCCTTCAGCCCTCAGAACAGCCCCCGGAGAAGGTGCCAGGCGCACCGTCCCGCCCCACTCAGAGAAAACAAAGGACAGACAGGCCCGAGACCTGGATGCGAAAACACAGGCGGCGGGACGTCCCCCCACTCCTGCTTTTCTAACCACCATGATATGATCCCAACCCCAACCTCTCTCCCAGAACAGAGGGCCAGTCCGCGGCCCCAGTGAGGCGAAGCAAGAGGCGGGGAGTGGTGAGTAAAAGAGAAGTAATGTAAAACACATTCAGAAGGGTGGACTGGAAATAAGCCCATACTGGGACCTAATGGTTCCCACAGTTACCTGGGCTGCCCTTGGTCTAAAAAGCTGCAAAAGGCCCTGGCCGGTAGCTCAGCTGGTTAGAGGTCTTCCCAGTACACCCAGGCCTCGGCCCAACCCCCGGCCAGGGCACAGGCCAGAAGCCACCAAGGAAAGCATAAACAAGCAGAGCGACAAACCAGTGTTCTCTCTCTCTCCCTTTCCCTCCTTCTCCCTCTCCCCCGTTCCTCACACTCAAAAAAAAAAAAAAAAATCAATGTATTGAAAGAAAAAGCTGCAAAAGGCTTTCCTCCTAGTTTATCAGGAACTTCATCTTGAACAGTATTTTCCCAATTATGTGCAAAGAAGTCTAGTTTCCTGGGACATTAAAAGAAGTACCCCAAAATGCCCTGTGATAACATTATTTCAGGAAATGCCAGGTTCAGGAACATCAACAGGTGTCTCTTTGCTGAGAACCTGACCGAGTGAACAGCGACCGTGAACTACCACGCACGGCTTCCCGGGTCCCACCTGCACACACACGCCTCTCCTAAGGCGTCTCTGAGACCCGTGTGCTGGGCCACAGCGCCACCTGTGAACTCATCCCCAGCTGCAGTGGGTCGAACGAAGGCAGAGGACGGGAAGCATGTGCTCAGAACACAAAACCTAAGAGAACCTACCGGAAAGATGGAATGCTGGTGTATCTCAGCCCAAAAAGTTGTTCTCTTCTCTACACCCTGCACAACGTGTGTTCAGAGCTCTGCAAGAGCATCTACCCAGCCCACGCTGAACAAGTTTAAGTGTTCTTCTGAATCAGTTATGCAAGAAAAGTCCTATTATTCATGTCCGTACAGAGCCACCCAGCAAAACAGTAATAAGTTATTAAACTGGGGTGCCAAAAGCAGTCTGGTTTGGCAAGAAAACTATTCGGAGGCATAATAAAAGCAAAATGAGGTCACTGCTGTTAGGCCACCGAGTATGCTGTCACATACTTTGAGAGGCAGTGACCGCCGACACCTTATAAAGCTAACTTCCACCTGCACCAGTAACATAAGCAACTCAACACGGCAAGACACCCGGGCACACAGCAGACGGAGTCAGTAAGTGCGCAAGGCCAGACCACGCCCACCTGTTCCTTTCATCACCACATGTGGTACAGTCTACAATTTCCTAACTTTGATTTATAGAGAAATAGGGTAATTGTTGCAATTTAAAAGTTCACACTGGAACAGTTCATAAAGACCTCCAAAAATCATTTTACTAGCAAATATTAGATCTCTTGAACTTAAATACCCGCTGACATGTTTTTAACTTATGCTGATAGACCATATTTCCTATGTAAACTTTTCTAATAAGGGAAAAGTTAATTTATTCATTAATAAAATATCAAAGGACCTACTAATTAGGCACTTTCTAAAAGGCTGTACCTACAAAATTAAATTACATCCAGTACAGTTTTGTTCTCAACTATATATTCGTGTATTCTGAAGCATCCTGGTTCTAAACAGTACTAGACACTGGAAATGTGACTGTAAGTTCAAGGGGAAATGGTATACAAATTATTAAATTTAATACAGCCTAATTCAATTCTCTACAATGACTCAAAAATAGCACTTATCTATGAAATTAAATTAGCATCTCATTCGAACCACTGTATTCAGCATAACGGATACTCTGGCGTTTCCCATACCAAATATAGGAACTGATGATCTGTCCCGTCGGGACACAAGGAAGACAAAATAAAGACAGATATCCACACTTCAATTAACTCCTGAAATCACAACGAATTTACACTAACGGGATAAATTGTGTATTAAAAATCAACGACCCGCCCTCGTCAAGAATTCATTGTAAAATTTACTTTCCAAGCTCAGTTTTTAATCATCACCTTTAAAACAGCCCTAAAAAGAAAGTGACCAGAGACAGGACAGCGCTCTTTTCTCACCTATGCGGTCAAAGGTTTTGTCGCACTTCGGGCACTGCAGGATCTTTTTGCTGCTGCGCTGCAGGACCACGGGCCTTAGGCCCTCGCGCACGCTCGCCCCCGCTGCCCCGACCTCCGGCTCCTCGTCCGCGTCGTTCGGCTCTTTCTCGCTTTGCTCCTCCGAGTCCGAGTCCTCCTCCGACATGTCCTCCTCTAGCTCATCCTCCTCGGCGTTATAGTCACTGCCGGCATCCTCAGAATCGTTTCTGTCCGACTTCTCCTGGTCGAAATTTTCCGGATTCAAAGTGTCGGACCCGTCGGCACTGTCTTGCTCCTCCTCGTCACTGCTGTCGTCGAACTTCACGGGGCACTTGCGGTTCCTCTTGGATCTCCTGGCGGAAAAACTTCTCTCCAGCATCTTTAACCCATGTTGTTTCCCTAACAAAAGGGACCTATGGGTTTTAGCCAAATGATTCTCTAAGGACTTCTTATAACAAAAGTGTCTGCTGCAGAATTTACACTGATGATCAGTGGATAGTCTTGCGGTCAGCTCGCTTAGGGTTTCTCCAGGCGATGACTTTTCGGCTAGCTCAGACTGGAACGGCGCAACGCTCTCGTTGTTGAGCAACTTCACGGCGTCGATAATGTCCAGGAATTTTGCTGCCTCTAAAACAAGAGGTATTTCATACTTGTACACAAAAAATTCCGATGTGTAAAGAAATTCGAGCAAGTGCTGAAAAACCGAGTGTGTCACGTGGTCCAGAGTGACCACATCCGTGCTTGGGTTTTTGCTCAAACATGCGTGGAAATAGCTGCTCCCAACGGCGACAACCACCTTATGTGCGCTGAATTCCTTCCCTTCGACTATGATAAGTAAGTCACAGAAAGACGGCTGCTTCTGCCTATCATCATTTAAATACTTGAGCAAATTCTTATTGTACTGCAGAGAGCTCAAAAGCTTCCTCTGATCTGGGGACGGGGGAAGGTCCTGGTAACGGTGCAGAGCTTCGGCGGCAGCCGGTCTCTCGGTGCAATGGGTGTAGGTTAGCGGGTCGCACGCCCCTGCCACATGTCCTCCCGAAGAATCTTTGTGATAGCCCAGGTGGATCTTCTCGTCAAGACTGGAAGCAACCTTTCTCCTTTTCTTCATTGCAGTACAGCAGCTTCAGAACAGGAAACTTCATAAGTGCCTTAAGGGGTGTATCAAGGAAAAAACAAACAAAACACTAGATTGTCTTGGTTAACAGCTTCTGGAGGGGCGTGCCCCAGGGTTTCATGGCTGCAAGAGAGTAGGAACCGCGTTAGACAGCTAGCTCCACGGCAAAGCCACCTCCCTAAATCCTGCACGCCACCCGCCAATCTTTTCTAAATCGTAAGGACATGATGAGAAAGTCACGGCTTCCACTCGTTCGTGGCTGCGATTTCAGGGCGGAGAGCGCGGAGGGCCGCGCTGGGGGCTAAAAAAAAACAGCTACCAACAAAAGAATCGTCCGGGAAGCCCGAGCGCACCTCTGGGGCAGGACGCACGCACAGAGTGCGGGGAAAGGAGGGCAGGACCGGGAGGGGCGCCCGCCGACCACCGCGGGTGCAGGTGGACAAGGGGCGCGGGGCTGGCGACAATAAGGCCTTCGCGGCTGCGACCTGCAAGTCTCTCCGCTAACATGCTTTCCCAGGGCGTGCAAGGCGCACGACTTCGTGGACGGAGAGCGCCCCTCGGGCCACACCACCCGGCGAAGACGACCCCAGGGAGGGCGCCGCGCAGGACGGTGGGGTCAACCGGAGAGACGACCCCCGCCAGCACCAGCGCCTCTGCAGGCCCAGCCCCGGCGGAGACGGCACTCGCCCGCGGCCCGCCCGCTCCCCTTGCCACCGCGGGGTCCCTGGGCAAACGCCCCACGGATCCATTACCGGGAACCCAGGGCTCCCCCGCTGGCTCGCGGCCGCTGAGCTCCACTCCGGGCGCGCTCTCTCCGGCGCCGGCCCACTTCCGGGTTCAGCCCCCCTCCCTCGGCGCGGGCCCCACCGCACACGTCAGCCGCGCGCGCCGCCGCCCCGCCGCCCGGAGCCGGGCGCGCGGCCCGGCGCCGGCCACTGCGCATGTGCGCGCGCCAGGGAGTGCGCAGGCTCCGGGAGCCCTCCAGCCCCGCGCGGGGCGCCTAGCGACGCGCGAGGTCCGTGCACCCGGGTTTTCGCCGTGGTCTGGTGGCCCGCGGGTACTGAGCCCGTGGAAACCGCACCGGGAGCCTGGCTGCCCGGGGAATGGAAGCGGGCGGCACCGGCGGGCGTTGAGGCGCTGCGTTCAGAGGCTGTGATCCTCCATGCAGCCGCCCGCGAAGCGGGTCCCCAAACACTGCACTGGAGGAACCCGGGTGGACGGAGTTCCCTTGTTTTTCTGAGTCAAACGGCTAACGCGGTTGCTCCTGAAATTCTTTAGCTTCTTACCGGGCACAGAAAACATGGGGAAAGGTACATGCAAGTATAATGTAAGTTGGTAGGCCAGGAAGAGAAGCCAAAAGGAAAGGAGAACCCACAAGGACAACTTTTGGAGCCAGTGCCTAAGATTTTGCATGTCTGACGGAGTCCCAGGTGATGCTGATATTGCTGGCCTGGGTACTTATTTTAACAGGCTCATAAAATTGATAAATATCTGCCCTTCCATGTGATAGTTAAAAAGGACACAAGAAAAATTTTGTTCATTTTGATTGCAGTGTTTTCCATACTGGATGCATACATAGGTCACCACTGATCAAATGAAACTGCATGCTCAGTATTGCATGACAATCCTAAATAAAGTCATTTTAAAAAAGAATGTCACACAGACACAAGAACAATGACAACTAAGTAGAAATAAAGTAGACCTGGCTGGTTTAGCTCAGTGGATTGAGTGCAGGCTGCGAACTCAAGGGTCTGGGTTGGATTCCCAGTCAGGGCACATGCCTGGGTTGTGGGAAGTAGGGGGCGCTGGAGGGGCAGCCACACATTGATGTCTCTCACCTCCTCCTCTTCCCCTCTCTCTGGAAAGAAATAAAATCTTCTTTAAAAAGTAGAAATACTTATACATTAAAAAAGAAGTGAATATGGGATGTAGAAGAAGTAGAGATAAAATCTGGGACCAGAAACATCAAAACATTGACCTGGGGTGAGGAAGGTGTTCAGGATGGGTGAGAACACACTTCCCTAAAGCCTGAATGCGGAGGCTGACTCCAGGTTACAAGTGGATTGTGAGGCTTCCGTTTGCTTGGGGTGTGAGAGGTGAAGGCAAGGAAAGAATTAGGGAAATGGAGATTTTTTAAGGCTGTGCTGCAGTAGAGAGAAAAGCCAAGGAGGGAGGAATTTCAAGGAGAGATGAAAGGTAAGAAAATGACCTCAGTTTTAGGAGGTGCCCAGGCCTGGTTTTGATAATGCCATTGATTCCAAGAAACAGGAGAAGACGCCCATGTCTATGGGCGTCAACCACAGAAATGGCTCAGATGCTGCGGAATGAGTTCACGTGGGAACCAGACTGATCTTCAGCACATGCTGCTCTTCACATCTGGTGAACGTCCATGTTTGTGCTTCCTAGACCCGAGTGATGAACAGGAACAAATGTGTCCAGTCTTCCCCTTCTCCCTGAAATGTAATTTCACCAACAGTAATTCATATTTTTTACCTTGAAGAAAATCACACATTTTGAAGTAGAATGGGACATTTGCCTGATGATATGGTATAATCTACCTAAAATATTTCTAAAATAAATACGCAGTCAAGGATTTTTTTTTAGAAAATAGTCAACTTTATGCATGTGCATGTGGTCCAATTTCATTTTTCAATTAAATTTTAAAGAATTTTAAAGCTCTTTTATTTTTCCAACATTTAACATCACATTTACATAATACACTCAAACTCAGAGCAACTTCCTGGGGGCCCAGAAGGAATGCACAGTGACAGATGTATGTTGCAGGTCTTAAAATTATATTTAAAAATTCTTAGGGAAAAGCACATTTGAATATAGCAAACCTACAATGCAGACACACCCTAAATTTTTATGAATATTTTTTCCACTGGAGGGTGCAATTTGTCAGTATCAAGATTTCCACTGCTCCTTTAATGAGAGCACTTTATAAATAATAACAAAGGGATGATTATTTCCACGATACTAATGTAGGATGCTGAATATTAACGAAATTTCACTAACAGGAACCTGGGCCTATTCTGCAAGGAACTTGTCATTGAATTAGGAACAAGTGATTTATAAGCTGAACATATTCTTTTATTCTCCTTTTTGGATACTATTTATGACTTTCTTAATTGTTAATGCCATAAGAAAGTATCCCAATCATAATGAAGAGAAATACAGACTTCCCTATAATCAATAATACAGGGTGAGGCAAAATTAGGTTTATAGATGTCAGAATGGTAAATAATACAACAATTAATAAATAACAATGCAAGTATAAATTGTTTCACATTCTGAAAACTGTAAACCTACTTTTGTCCCACCCTGAATTGTATTTGTATTTGTTTTCGTCAGCAGTCTATGCATTCACTTAAAATTTTCTGTAAAAATACAAATCGCTTTCCTTTTATTCGCCTGTACACACCATAATAATGGATGGTCTGAAGTTAAATGTAAATCTAATAATCATAAAACTAACATACACATTTAAGTGAAAAATATTTGCTTTTATCATATGCCTGTTACAGAGTATGAAGGCTATTAGGTGATGTGTGCCGTACATATAATGCTAATGCAATATGAATTATAATAACAATATTTGTTGAACATCAGCTAGGTGTCGGGCAGAATTCTATACTGATTAGCTTTCCATGGGCCACCACTGACACCACAGCATGGGGGTGGCCTCATGGCCACTGGGTGGGGCACATGTCCCTATGACAACCCCCCCCAGGGAGGGGAGGGCTCTGCACCTGCTGAACGTGGTTGGAAGCCCAGGGTCCCCACTCGGCCCCCACATTGGCACTGGAAGGGCCCGGTTAGCACCCAGTGGGTGCAAGTCCTGGCTCCCTACTCAGCCTCTCTGACCTCCCCGAGCAGGAGAACCGGGGGGACGTTTTGCTGCCTGGCGGGCCGGGCGTCCTTGCTCTCCACGGGGCCTTCGCTGGACTGTGGAGAGGTGGGCCGCAGTTTTTTCTCTGGTGTTTGGCGGGTGCTGGGTAGTTATTGCTTAAAAGTTTTGTGTCTTGCTAGGTTGCCTCTTCTCTGGTCCTTTGGCTGAAAGAGCAGACTTCTGTGTTTTTTCTTGTCAGCATCTGTTCATATTTCGGCATTGCTGGCTCCTTCAGCCCTCGGTCTGGGACATATAAGGCAAAAAAGGGAGGGGGAGCACTTTAAAGTGTCCGTTTTTGAGCCCCGAGTCTGCCACTCAGTCTCTCTTCATTTGCTTTATACATCGTGCCCACGGTCTCCCGTTGGCAGAAGGAGCAGTGAAAAGTACACCCACTCCGTTTCCCTGGAAGAGGCCCCCAGCATATCTTCAGATTCTTAAGTGATTGGGAAAAGAGCCAAAGAGAAATAAAATTTTGTGGCACATGAGAGTTCTCTGACAAAGTTTGCATTGTCCCCGGCTGCTGTTGTGCCGCCGTGGCCAAGGCTGGTCGTTGCACTGGAGACCGCGGGGTTTGCCACGCCGAGCGCGCTTACTGCCTGGTCCTCCGCAGCAGTCGGCCGCCGTCCGGGTCACTGAATGGAATGAGTGGTCGGCCTTCTACTAACAGACGTGAGTGGTCGCCTCCTCGGTCAAACGAAAAGGAAGGAAACGAGTAAGTTCAGGAAGCTTCTACTCGGCCTCAGGCCCCGGTGAGCACAGGTTTGGCTGGAATGTCGGGCAGGAGGGATGACGGTCCCGGGGAAGGTTTTCTGCACTCCTGTTACCCGGTGTTCCTGTTTTTCACAAAAATTACCATAAATCCTTATTTCTCCCATTCTAAGAAGTACGTTTTCCACATTTCAACCTCTCTAGTGTGACTGGTCATAGTGTAATTGGCACCCCTTTTTTCTCTCTTAGTGGCAGGTATGAAGTGGTCACGCGTGTTACGAGTGACAGTGTCTCAGACGTACCGGAACGTGTCACTGCTCCGGAGCGACCACAGGTGAATCCTCGGGTAGTCAAACTGCAAACGCTTTAGAGCTCCTCGGGTTACACTGAATAACTTCTGCTTAACCATTGACCTCAAAGTCAGCCTTTTAAAGGTCTTGTTAGTACAAACCCTTTTTCCAGTTAAATGATTTTCCAGCAAAGCCTGGCACAAACAACATTAAATATTTTTCTTTTTAAAAAACACTTATCCATTGGTTTCTAGAGAAAGAGAGGAAAGGAAGGAAGGAGGGAGAAGAAAGAGAGAGAGAGAAACACCGATTTGTTGTTTCACTTACGTACGAATTCACTGGTTGACCCCTGTGCGTGCCCTGACCGGGGATCAAACCCACAACCTCGGCAAATCAGGACGATGCTCTAACCCACTGAGCTACCCGGCCAGGGCGCAGTTTTGTTCTACTGACCAAATGTTCCCCAAGAAGCTTGAATGCTTCCAAAAACTATTTCTCCTTTTGATCATACATGTTTTTGTGTCTTTGTAACTTCCATTTGCATGTTGGATGCTTATAACCAAGGCCATCCCTGTCCTAACATTGACCCATTCTCAATCTGAAGAGTCATAAACAAGCAAGCCCAAAACTAAATGTCAAAGGCACAATGCAAGAAAAAAAAATAAACCCAGTGGTACAATTTCCCACTTACCTAAGTTTTCAAGGCCACTGGGCAGTTCACAGCAGGGGGATCGGTACAGACAGACCTCACAATTAGAAGGTTCATTAGTGAGAAGGCACAGAATTCCAATCCCAAGACTTTCATTCGCTCTGACAAGGTGGCACCCGGCGGGCACTCATCAGTGACAGTGAGGCAGTTCCCTGGGGGTGGCAGCCACAGGCGAGGCGGAGAGAACATGGTCTTCGCCGAGGCGTTTATCAACTGTGAGCAGACCGTCGCCACACGCCACTGCCGCCGCCGACTCCCCGGA